ATAGATGGCCCTGGTAGATGATTAAACCACCAGGTAAACCAGGGCCATCTATCTTTCTACCAAAACAACCAACAAGGACACATATGGATGCAAGAAAAAGGGGCGTTCTAACCCCAGAGACGTTCAACCCCTTAAAAAGAGAGAATATTCCCAAAAGTATCACAGAAGTGGTTGGATTTTCTGCCCCCTTTCAACCCTTCAACCCCCCATAAGGGAGAAGATTCCCAAAAAGTATCACAAGAAGTGGTTGGATGAAGCCCGTGTGCTCAACCACAACCCTGGGACCCTGGTCGTCCTGATGGAAGCAGTGACTGCATTGCAGCTGCCGTCCCCGGCAAATGGGCTCCAAGCCTCGGGAGGTGCAGGCAGGCGGAAACCACTCGGAACCACCGGCGGCGCGTCCGTTTTTTTTTTCATTTATACTCAGTGGTTCAGTGACTTGGGAAAAAACCGGGAGAACCCTTTTTGGGGCTTGGACCATTTTAGTGGGGCAGCCACCAAAGGGAAACAGGGAGCCACTCAACAACTGAGTTTATGGTACCCGTGTTTGGGTGGCGGATTTTAAAGGGAACAGCAGGCTAAACCGGTCATTGTTGGGGTTCCCCTACATCCCACATGGTAGTGTTATCCCCAGAGTACGCAGAACTGGTTGATTTTGATCGAGGTCCCTCTTTGGTGGGGGTGTCCCTGGGTTTGGTGGGGAATCAGAATCATTAGTCTTGGAGGGGAACACCCCCCTATCAATAAACTAAACTGGGGTTGATTAAAAATGGGGGCAACAGTATGAAATGCCCATGGCGTCGGATAATAGAATGACACAACTACTCTGACTCAAGCCCACAAATGGTGGGATAAACCATCTTCCAACTGTGCAGGATAACCGTCCAACCGTAAGATGATCCCTGAAAACAAAACGCAGACCCTTGCCCAGTGGGAAAACGGGTGAGAAGTCGCGAGATTCATTTCGATACACTTCATCAGCTTCCACATAATTGGTGGTTTGAGTTCGGTTGCGAAATGAAGGGGTTCCCATTTAACCTCTACAAGAACTTGCACTTCAACTCCAAATCCAAACCACCAATCACCACCAATCCAAACCAGCATCTTCACACCCCGGATTCAAAACCTCTCTTGGAAGATACCCCCAAAGAAGCAAAACAAACTTCCCGAGTAGATGGCCCAAAAAACAGTCCAAACTGTTTATTTACTACTAAAACGCTCTTCTCAAAAGTATAAAGCCCAGGAACTCAGGAAGTGAGAAGTCTTCCCGGTTGGGACTCTGAATGAATTCTTCAACCTGTGAAACTCGCTGGCCTCTTTGCGCGGGACACTCCAACGGTTCTCCCTAACCGTGAACACCCTGGACGCCTCGGTGTATTCACCGGGTGCATTGGAACATCCAAACTCGGTTTCTGATTCATGTACAACTGTCCAAGCACTTGCAGGTTCCGCCTCGAACCTTGTATCTCAGTGGTTTTTGGACGCGAGAACCCGTTCCTCCGGGAATCCCCGCCTTGAGTGACCCTTTTCTGGATTCAGTGGACACCCAGAGAGCCATACAAAATGGGCTTCCGTACATTTCCACATGACAAGTGGAAACTCTTTGGAAACCAAGGTGATGCTGAGCCAACAAAAAAGAGGAGTGGTAAAAACCAGGGTCCCTGATATGAGCATTCCCAGAGTCTCCAAGGCCCTTAAAAAATGGTTGGTCATTGCCTAAAATTCAGGGGTCAAATGGGCCACCATTTTCTAGGGGTCAGAAGGAGACTCTAGGTTGGTGACATTTTGTTCAACTCAAAGGCGAACAAAGACTAACTCCCCATATAAAGGGGAAGATTCCCTTGTATCACAGAAGTGGTTGGAAAAACCCTTGTGATCCCACACCCCTGGGAGTGGTAAAATTCAGGGTCCCTGATATGAGAATATCTCCTCACTGGTCCCTTTCGGGACCTTTTCTCCAGTGTTCCGACTTCCTTCCCATTTTTTTCGCTTTTCGTAACTCCACTTCCGTGGCGCATGAATCAAAACCCGGGTTTAAAACGGTCGTAATCCCAGAACCATGGCTTCAAGAATGAAGAAGGTGGAGATATGCTTGCGCATTCTTCTTGGCTGGGAGTATCCCTTACTAACCTTCATCTACCCGATTCGGTTTTGAGCGAGTGGCTCCTTATGGTGAAAGGCTGTCGAATATGAGACCAGCTGAGGAGCAAATGGGGCAAGTCTCTTCCGACTGCACCTCCGGAATTCCTTCGATGGCTTTCACAACCACCTGATTCTCCTTCACGGTTGCAAAAAATCGGTTTGCTCCCGTGGGTGTAAAATTTAATGGGGGATCTTTGGGTGGACATGAATCAATACCCACCAATCTTGAGGGATGGTTCCCTACTAAAATCGTAGCCACTTAATAAGTGCCTAGAGTCTCCATGACCCTTAAAAAATGGGGTCATTGCCTAAAATTAAGGGGTCATGACCCCATTTTCTATTGGTCATGGAGACTCTAGGTGGATAGGCCAAACACAAATCCATCCTTTTGGCCACCGAAGCGTATTTTGGGGGGCCATTGTTCGAACACCCTCGGTTTAAGCATCAGCTTTTGTACCATTTGGTGAAGAACCCTGAAGCCTTTATGAATTGCTCCAAAAAGCGCACCGGACGTATTTGTTGGTTTCGACCATGGCGCCTTCTGGCTTTCTTCAAAACCAACCTGAATAAGCCCCGGCTGTCCTGAGAACCCCTGCAAGTGACCAACTTTTTGTGGGTTCCATTCGGAAACCCAGCCACTAAACCAACTAAACCTAGAGTCTCCATGACCCTTAAAATGGGGTCATTGCCGAAAATTAAGGGCTCTAGATGGCTGGGAAGCACCAAGCAACCCGACAGCCGAAAACGGAGCCAGCCGTATGGCCACGCTGTCCTTGGCCTTGCGCTCGGTGCAGGCGACGGGCGCAGATCCAAAATCCTCGCCCACGCACATGCGGCACAGCGTGGCCTCAGTTCCTTTCGGTTCCGTGGGTTTGGGACGCGGAAGTTCGCAGGAGGTTCTGGATGGATGGGTGGATGGATGTGTGGATGGATGGGTAGATAGAAGGTGGCCGTATTGGGCCTTGGCCTATTAACTGTCAATAGGGCTTAGTGAAAGCCAGCAGGGCCAATTGCAACGTGATTTTGGTAACAAACGCCACATCTGTCCAGCCGACACCATGAAAACCACCTTTCAAGTTGGACAACTGCGACCTGGTGCTCAGCAGGTAAGAACTGGACCGCGATTGCGAGAAAAGCCCATACTGGTCCGCCTTCGAATGCAGCAGGCCCATTCCATTTCTCATTCCCTCATTCATTTTGCTGAGCAAGACGCAAGAATGTCGGGCAGTTTGGAGGCAATCAGTGGCCAGGCAGTTTGGACCCTGGTCTCACTTGCCAGTTCGGACCTGGCAAGTCCGGCCAAGCTTTGTGGACCTCGACGACTGAACCCAAACCGGCTGTGGCTCAAAGACATGGAGCCCAACATGGCACCAAGGGGTACATGGAAAAGACGAAAACCTGCGGCTTGCCCTAGCTCTTTAATTTTGAGCCACACCCAACAAGGTCGATTCTGTCCAAGTGGCCAGCAGTAGCAGTGTTCCCACCACACACACGCCCACCACGAAACACAGCACGGGCAGCGTCATGGCGGCGAAACCGATGATGCAAGGATTGGACTCGGGCTTCAATACTGATGCACAAATGCCACTTCGCACCAGTTGGGATGGATGCAACTCCACAAATAGCGGGATCAACTACCAATCTCAAGAGCAGGACTTTGCCCATCCGCAGGGGTTCACCAGTTAGCGAAGTTAACGGATCGATCTAAACGGGGCTTGCTCGAGTTGGAGCCCTGAGATTGTGGGAGTTGGTGAGGAAATCCGCAGACCACCGACGTGTATTTCATTGCAGCTTGTTAAAGCAGTTGTTTGTTAGTGGTTTTTGGTTTTAAGTGTTTTTTTGCATTTGTTTGTTCTTAAGCATTTGATAGTTTTACTTTTGAGGGGCATGAATATTTGAGCACTCGGGGAGAGAGTCTTTCAAGACGCTGGCGTTCAGCTTGTGATCGCGGGCGACAGCTTGGGTGGGTCTAAGGCATCTATGGCGTCTCAGTGAAACCTCGCCCCGGCTTGATCCAAACACAAGGGCTGCGGGTGGAGAGAGTAAAGCAGGAAATAAGCTACCTGGACCCTCAAACGATGGTTGACCTCACCAACCATATTTTTGGGTTGCAACGTCTCTCAACCGTGTTGAAGGGTCGTTTTTGTCACGTCCGAATTTCGAATGCTCTCCCAGGGCCTGACGCGGGTCCTGGTATCTGAGCGTTCTTGAAGCCTAACAACAGGACCCTTTGGAGAAAACTCCCCTACAAATCAGCATGGAAACCCAGAGGTCCATTTCACAAGAGAAGATTCCTAGGATGGCTTTCTGGGCCTACTTTCCTCACATGGAAGAGCAGGGGAGGGGATTGAAAGACTACCATCCTCTTGAAACCCAAACAGAGCTCCCCCAAGAGGAGAGGATGGTTTTCTGGTCCCCACGTTAATTTGCAGGAGGGTAATACCAGCTCTTTGCAGAGAAGCTAGTGCTGACTTCAAACAGGTTTCAGCCATCTCTCTAGGGGACACTTCCCCATTCTTTCCAGGGATCCTTCTTTCCAGAAAACGATAGAACCCCAGGCGAAACAGCGATCGGTTTTTGAAAAGAACCTTAAACAATGGCTGGTTCATTGCCCAAAAGAAAGATTCGGGTCATGACCAACCCGGGTCATGACCAACCATGTTTAAAGGGTCAGAAGGAGAGTCTAGGCACCTCAAAAAAAGGACAGTAGAACCCGCAAACAAAATCCGGCTTGCTTGTTGTTTCCTTTAAAAGCGGCCCACAAAAACAGGTTAAACACATTTCAATTCAATCCCAACGCAGCACATGGCCCTTAAAATCCCGCAGCCCAATGCGTGGCTCAAGGTGGGCTCCCCGACCGGGTGGCCCCAAACGCTGGAGGGCTTGAAAAGCATCTGCGCCCTGAGATGTTGCGATATCAGAGGAATCCAACACGATGGGCTGGCTCTCAAAAGAACTGATCCACTACCTGGAGTCTCCATGACCCCTTAAAGATGGGTTCATGACCCCATTCTTTTGGGTAATGACCAACCATTTTTGAAGGGTCATGGAGACTCCAGGTATATGGTTGGTTGATGCTTGGTTACCTTTTGGCTTCGAACTCTTTAAATATCAACCTTTATCGTACGTGAGCTCTTTTCAGCCCCTGAATCCGTGAGCTTGCTATCATTTGCCCAAATGAGACTCTCCTTGTTAGCTTTGTTCTTGCTTGGGGATTGTTCTTTCATTTGCCCCTGAGACACCCAGACATAAAAAAGGTGAAAACTTATTCGGGCCATGACTAAACATGGACCAATGGGGCACCCAAAGGTCAGATCCGGTCGATTCGCTTTGGGCAATAAGTCCTTGGGAAACTATCTGTCTTTGTGTTTGAGGCTACCCCCCTTGTGTGTGTTTGTGCCTGGAGTCTCCATGACCCAAATCAAAAATGGTTGGTCATTACCCTAAATAATGGGGTCATGGACCTATTTTTTAAGGGTCATGGAGACTCCAGGTACCCCCCTTGTGTGTGTGCGTGTGTGTTTTAAAGGACCCCCAAAAAGCAACCCACCATTTTGGGGGAGATTGCGCTTCTTGCTCAGCTTGCTTGTGACGGGAAACCAAATTCAAACCGAGCCCCATGTTCAAGGACCCACACCCCATTCGAATACCAACCCTAGCAACAAGTAAATTAACCTCATGGCCACTTACATCCTAGGTACGGTTGGTTCCAACTCAATTTCGCAACAAGCAGAGAACAAGAACAACCAACTGTCATTTACCATGTGCACTTGTTTTTACTTGCCTGCATTTCAATCAGCATCTGGGATCTCCTAATTCCTTGTGGGCCTTTCCCCGCAAAGCCAATGTCTTCCCTATTGAGACTAGGTCCTCCAATGGAGAGGTTAGAATTTGGGTACCAACTTGTTTCAGGACGTCTATTTTAGTAAGGGAACCCTCCCAACCAAAAAAGGGGTTAAAAAGAGCACCTAGCTGGGGGACCTAGGAGAAACAAATACCCTTCCGCCCACATGGCACCTGGAGAATACCTCTAAGACCAGTTTGCGCTCAAAGGCACCGGGTCCCTATCGGGTGCCATGGCAACGTGGGGAGGGTATTTTGTCCATTCCTTCCAATCTTAGGTCCGGAAGCAGAATGGTGAAAGGCACGGCAAAGTCACCAAAATAACCCAAGGTCATCCGGGCTGCCTTTTGTCAACATAGGGTCTTTCATCCATCTCCTCACTTCCGATAGAGTGGATGGCCCAAACCAAACTTTCCATTTCTTCCCCCCCAAAAGTGACCAAAGTCCAGTAACTCAGCTAGTGAGTCTTCATCTCACGGCAGTGGGCCCAGTAGTGTCTTCAAATTTCATCTGCACTTGATACAACTCAGCAACCTGTATGAGCAAACCCATCAGGGACCTTTCACGGAATTGCTCGGTTTTAGATCGTGCACTTGGGCGGATCAAACACGCACTGGGCAAACTGGGCCCATTCAAGCGACATCCTGAAAATTACCCTCATGATGGCGTCAAAGGAAAACCGCCCCAAGCATATGCATTTCTTGCAAGAATACCAAAGCCTGAAATACGGATTATCAAGCATGTATATGGCCATGGGTCAAAAGCGTACCCCCAGTATCCCAATCCCCACGCAAATAGGATGTAAAATGCGTGGTGCACCTACCAAAATGGGATCCCAAAACGGCTTTGACTTCCACAGCCATAGAGTGTGAGCTTGCTTTGCCGGATCCTTTGGTCCTGTGACTTCCCGGATGTCCAACCAACTTAATAAGTAGGTTGTATACCCTGGCTGTAACTTAGGAAACTGGAGTTGATCCCCTTATCTTGGTTGATGTTGGAAGGGGAGCAGAACTTTAGATTCTAGCAGTTAAGTGCGGATTTCCCACAAAACCACAATAAGCACAAATGCGACATATGTCCCAACAACGACCGTGTTATAACCATGGTTATAACCTAGTTACCTCACGTTGGTTGGACATCCAAGTTCTCCGCAGAAGTGGTCTGCCCAGTCTTCATCCTGACGCTTGGACCAACCTAATACCAACAAACAATGGTTTAACCATGGCTTCTTGGGTTGTGCGAAATGGGTTTCGTCCACAGTAGTAAGAGTCACCAATGGCTGTATGATCATGAGTTGATGCCAAGTCAGCAACTTGAAAACAGCCCTTCTACATCTCGCCAAGGGTAAACGCAAGGGTGAATCACCGCCTCCACATCTTGGCGATTTGAGAATCATATGGTGTGGGAAAAGCAAACTGATCCGGGAAAGCCCTTCAGTTGAGCGTTTCGGTAAGCTGAGATCGGTGTTCCAGAACCCACTCTTGGAGCTTTCCAGGCCATGTGCTTCACCAATTCAGGCCCCCTGGAAAAATATGAAAGAATATATGGTGAGTGAAATCGCTCCCCTTTAAAACCAACAGGGAAAAACAACTTAAGCAAATGGAAGCAGGGGTTTTCAGTGAAGGGACTGTCAGAAAGGAAACCTTCATGGGCAGTTGCAAGTGGATTCGCCCTTGCTTTCCTCTTGCCTAAGTTTGTAGTGATACCCTCCCTCCCATCCTTGCAACTGACCCATCCAACGAACAAAAACCAAAAACACGTGGCTGCAAATCCGCTGAGAGCGCTCGAATGGATGGCTTGGTCTCAAATCCGGCCTTCGCACTGTGCAGGCCTGTGGTCCGCGCGCCTCGCGAGGATGCGAGAGCTTCGTTGGACTTTGTTGGAGTCAAAAAAAAACAGTGGATGGACAAACTCCTGCAGTAGGCAGGTGGTACGCCCCTTTATTTGCAGGCTTGATCCCTTTTGGAGCAAATACACGTCGGTGCTGGGTCCCGATTTCCTCACCAACTCCCACAAGCTCAGGCCTACTGGAGAAAGCGCCGTTGAGATCCGGCGAGTTAGCTGTGTTGATAGGCAAAATCCTGCAGTTGGGATTGGTGGGTTGCCCCATGGCTTCATCCATGGGGTAACTCCCAAAAGGTTTGCCAGGCTCCCAGGGTTTTTGAGCCAAATCGATTGATCCCTACAATCCCACTACTTGCGATCGGTGTAGGTAGGGAATGAGAAATGGAATGAACCTAGGGTTGGTTCTCTCGGGGTCATTTCAATTCTCATTCCCTGCTGATCGCACCAGCAAGACTATTTACAGGCTTTCATCCATCCCTGGGGTAACTCCCAAGGTCTTCCAGGCTCGCAGCACCTTCTCATGCCTTCCACAGTCCCTTCTCTTCTTCCCCAAGCGCAAAGTGTTTCACATTTTATGTTTGTGAGTTCAATTCGGACAAATTCCCACCTGTTTCAACAAAAAGATAAAGACCAAAGATCCGACAAAGCAAGTAGCCCCAAAGATGTATTCTCAAAATTTCGCTCCTACTGTGCATGGACAAAACCCATATCGCAACCTCAGAAACCCAAGAACTGTTTCCCTGTACATACCAACAAGCCACAGCTTCCCTTGGTTTCAAAGTGGGGCGAAATGAACTTCGGGTTAAGATTTTGCCCCTGCGATTCTGACTTTGGTTTTGAGGTACCTCACAACCCCATTCTATTGTTTGTGCCCTTATGTATTGATCCCATGATCCTGACTGACCAATGGTTCTGCAGTACCCCGCAAGCCTATAATACTGCCTAGACCCTTGTACTTGTGCGTGCCCCTTCCTTGATTTCTATTTTGCTCTTACTCTCTTGATCTACTCATTTCTTTTGTTCTGGCTTTCTCTATTTCGTTTTCTTGGAGTCTTTGTCGGACGATTGCATTTTAAAGACCTCGGGATTCTTGCTGGATGATTAGAAGAACTGTGGAAGAGAATGGGGATAAACCGGGTGAATATATGTCCCGAAGTATTCCCGGCCCACAGGAAAATCATGTGTGCACAGCTCAGAAGCTGCTTTAGCCATGATCTTTCCCAAAGCTTAAATCGCTTAAGTTGAGCAACCCCTCACATGGTCATGACTTACTGTTGTGGTTGATCCTTCAAAAAGGAACAAGTCTTTGGCCCAAGGAGGGACTGTAGGCTTGCCAGGGGCCCTTAAACAGGTCCTAAAACACGTTGGTTGCAACTTGCACAGGACAAGCATGTGCGTAGCATCCTGGAAAGAGAGGCTTCATTTTGACCAAGTTAGACCAAGGCCACTAGGAACTTGAGCCGAAGCACTTCAAGCACTTCTCGCTTGCATCTTGAGCGCTTCTCACAGGGAGACGATGGAGCTGGCAAATAAACAGGAGATTGCGCAGACCGAGCAAAGCGCAGTTGCTTTTGAAAGGAGAACGTGGGGTGGGGCATGGCATACCATTCAATTACGTATGTTCAATTATTATATCGATATATATATATATGTGCCCCCCCTTGAAATACTCAAGTTTTCGTCCAGAACTCACGTTTTTGGCCAGACTGGAAGGACTCTGAACTGAGCTGACAGGACCTTCAACTCCATGCAAAGTCAAACCAAGCAGAAGTTAAGCTCAACGTTCAGAAGGACCCCCTAGATAAACAGCTCGAACGCGAAGTGCGTTTAAAGTGATGCTGGAGTCTGCGAAGTGCACTTTGACAGCCCCAGCTCAAGAAGCACAACGTTCAGCAAAAGAGTAGTACGCGAAGCATGCTTTGGCAGCTTAGTATTTCTGTTTTACAAGGACACTCAACAAATAACCCACTTGGGGGAAAGGAACTCCAAATCAAACATACAAATACTTCATGTCCGCAGTTGCATCTACATGTTAGTTGGTTGTTTGTGCATGGTTCCATGTACATTCTAACTAAGTGTATTTGAATCAAACTTACAAAGCAGCTATCTCAGTTGTGCGTTACTTGTCTATTACGACTCAACCACTGTCAAGAACAGCTGTTGAAGTTCAAGTATAGGAAGAATATGACAATTAGAATGATTTCGAGTTCAAGTCAAATTCAACTTTAACCGGTTGCAGTTTCTTGTTCGATTCAAAAGTCAAGATTGGAGAACACAGCTAGTGTCATGGCCAATTAAAACTGGATAAAATAAAGTTCATAACGGTTGTTGTCCTTATCTAACTCCATGTGGTTTTAACCAATCAAGAACTGAGCCAAACCAAGGACAGAAAAGTGTTTCAACCTTAGACCTTATTCTTGGCAGACAATGCTGTAACACGCGGTGTTTCCAGCATTCGCTCTGATCATGTTGCCCTGGATCGAAGGCCAACTATTCAAGATTCCACAGACATCGTTTTAGAGCATCCTCAACCCTGGCCCCCAAAAAGCTTGAATGATATGTGCTACCACGCGTGCTAACACATCCTGGATTGAAAGATTGCAGAAAGAAGAATCCCAGAAAGAGTTGCGAGATGATCTTCGATCTTCAAGCCTGGATTGCACTCAGTACTGATGCTATAATTTAGGTCCAAAAAAGAGTCATTCTTAGAGCATCGTTTTTAGAAGCTGAAAACTGCATTTCACATGCATTTTGACAGCAAACATGTCAATGTTTGGACGAAAAGTGTCGATGTGTATGTGTAAGCACCTGGATCGCCAAGTTTCTGCTTTTGTTCCAGCCACTTTCCCCTGCACTGAAACTAGGAAAAAACAGCCAGCATCGGCATTTCGAATTTGTTTCCCAGCGCAAACTGCCTGAAGTATCCATTACCGTTCAAACATGGTTGGTCATTACCCAAAAGAAAGGGGTCATGACCCCATGTGTACAGGGGCCGTGGAGACTCTAGCGGTTCCTTCACTTATATTTGTAGGACAGGTCGTCAACTCCTGGCTCTCAAAGTCTACTCAACAGCAAAGGGAGCTAAACTTCACCCAGCCATCGGCTAAAAACCGTTTGTTCAGATTCTTGCGAGCAGCGGCCCGTTTTCCCCCAAATTTGGGTTCTGCCAAGATGGCAGTGGTTTACATAGGCCTCCGAGTTGAAGCAGGAAAGCAGGTTGAACCACCTGCTAAACTTGGTTGCTGTTGAACCCTCTGCAAAAGGATACCTTTTCGTGGGTCCAAAAGAAAATCCACAAAGTTCAACGAAAAAGTCAAGGTCCAAAGATCCAACCCAACCGCCGTACAATAATGTTGCCTTTTTGGGTTTGGGGCACGTCATGGTCAGACTCCCTTGTAAACACAATGAACATCCCTTGTGAACAAAAAAAGGTCCGGGGCAAGTTATCGGATTCTCTTGTAAAAGACCGGGTCTGTGGCATGTTGTGGTGGGAATCCCTTGAAAAAAATGAAACGGGGCCCGGGGTCACTTGCCTTTCCAGGGGAACAAAGGGCATCCGTTTTTTTTTGGGTTGGTTGACTTTTGAACAGGGATCCTTACACTATACACGTGAACATTGCCTTGTAAATGGTGGTTTCCCTGGTGGAAAAAAACGTGTCAAATGGGCAGAATCTATCTTTTGAGGAGCCCTGTTAAAGGGAAACCCTTCCACCCCACAAAAAATAAAAGGGCGCCACAGGGAAACTGAGCTTGGAATTGCCCTTCTCGGGGGGGCGAATCAACTCACACCGAAGCGCCTCCTCTACGATCCGCTCGGAGCAAATCGCCGCCGCCAGGTCGTAGAGATCCTCGGGGTCGAGTCAGAGCGATTGCCCTTGTTGACCACTTACAAACATAGGTCGCCTTTTGGAAAATAGATGGCCCTGGTAAATGGAAGAAACTACATCTAAACCCGCGCCAGCTATTTTTAATCAAAAAAGAGGACACCTATGTTTACTAAGGGGTGCAATTGAGACGGACCCCCCCAAAAAATGGTTTACCCAATGCCAACTACGTTAAACAATTTTGAGCTCTTCCGGGGAATCTGAGTGGGGAATCCTCAGGTTCATTCCCTCATCCCCTACTGGGCACCAACCAACTTACTACTGGTTTATTGTGCTCAACACAAAATGGTCCCTAGGATACATTTGGGCTAGAAAACACCAACCTTTACCAGCTGAAAACGGGGACTTGCTGGTTCAGAAAGTGGTTTTGGGTGTACGTGGCGAATCATCACTTTTGGAGAGGACCCCCCTTTTCAATACACTGGGGTTGATTAATATGGGGTCAACATTAAGACATCGGCGTGTCTTAAAATAGGGGACCCCCAAACCTTTGGTTTCCCTTTAAACCAACCCGAAAAGGGTGCCACCGAAAGAAGACAAACCCATTTGGACATACTGTGGATGGTTGCGAAATCCATGTCGCACCACGAAATAAAATCATGGTTGCAACCGCAACGCTTGCCTGGCGTCGAATCGAATCATTCCAAGCGTTCCTCAGGGGGCGCGGGGTTTCGTCCTGGATGGATGTTCGCTTGTATGGCGGGCGCCAAGAATACCCAGTGGGTCCTTGCGTTATAGTATGTGACCCTTCGCCGCTTTCCTTTTGGTTGTTGCATCGGCTGGTTGACCTTGGCCCACATCTGGGGTACACAGACTCAGACACTTCTGAATGTTCTATTGTTTTTTGTACTTCGTCAACCTCAAAATACAAACAGCTTTGGAGGAGACCCCAGCTTCCACAGTTGCTATCTGCTATACAGGAAATCGGTAAAGGCAGTTAAACTCACTGGATAGTATGCAACAATTCCTTCAGGTGCAGGCAGGTTTCCTACTCGTCCCAAACAAAAGCATGTGTTTCGCTGATCTTCTACAAAACCAGGGAATTGGAACCGCTACAAGTAGGTGGCAACCAGGGTTGCCCAATACAACAGTTGCTAAGAAACTTGCCTAGGGGGGAATTGTTTCCCTCCATGATCCTAAAACACTGGGCCCATTTGACACCTTTCTTTTGGGTAATGGACTCCCTTTTTTCAGGGCAAATTCGGCGACTCCAGTTTCGGTCCGTGCGTGTGTTAAGAAAGTTTATGAAGCAAGACATTAGACCCTCTACTGGTCCAGAAATAAATTATGTGAGACTCTCAAACACTCCAGAAAACAAAAACAACCCTTACTGAAGCTGACCAGCAAAATTAGATTTATCCGAGCCCCAACTCTCACCGTGGTTTCCTTTGCTCAGGGGCCTGAGAATTGGGTGTTCACGCTTTTGAGCAGCAGCGTCCAATTTCCAAACTCTGAGCCAGAGGTGTGGTAAGTTGTCAAAAACGTGTTCGGGGAAAATCTACAGGTTACCAAACATTGTTTTACCTCGTGCTGTAGTACATCTAGCTGCCAAAAAGACAAGGAATGTGCAGACATATTCCTTTGTAGGCTTGTCTTATATCATCACTTTTTAGCTCAGTGGGCAATGAACTGTGTCGGCAGCAAAAGGAGATAGGAACCGAATCCTAGTAGACTTGTTCTTTAGATTTCTAAATCTATGCCGGGTAGATGTACTACACCTAAAGGCGGTAAATCAAGGTTTGGTGACCTACAGATGTTCCCCGAACACGTTTTTGACAACTTACCACACCTCTGGCTCAGAGTTTGGACTTGGGCGCTGTGCCAAAAAAGCGTAAACACCTGATTCTCAGGCCCTTGGGCAAAGGACACCGAGGTGGTCAAAGCCAACCCAACCACAAGTGGACCTGGCCATGGAGAACACAGGAGCACTGATCTGCGGTGAGAAGCGGCATGACATGCGAGCCGCTCCAGGATGGACCCATGGTGTTGTGGACACCTCCATGCACAAGCACCGCCTCCACGTCTGCGTCAGGCACTTGGAAGTCGGCATTTCTGGAAAAGGCTGCTGGCACAGAAAGGCAGCTGAGTGCTCTCTGGGAGACACTGTTGAACTTCTGTCCTCATCGTCTGATCTGCTACCCCACTTCGGCTTGCTGGACCCCCAACCAGGATCAAAACAAGCCCAACCACACCAGTGCACCAAGGACAAGACCAACAAAGGCTGAGAAACACCTTCCCGGAGATTCATTCTCCATGAATTTCCTCGTAGTTGTCGTCTTTAACTTTTGTTTCCCGAATCTCGATGTTTTTGTTTTCGTGAAGTCGCCTAAAACTACTAAAGCTCCTATATGTTGATGATACTTCAGAATTGGCCCCTTTTGCGATTTTCCCGCCCGGAATTACCCGCGAAACGCCCGCAAAAAGCCCGCAAAACACGGCAAACGTCCGCAAATCGGAAGAGTACGTTTTTTGGGTTTGGGGGTAGGCCAAAGCTCCTAGAAGTCACTTGGAACGGCCAACACGCCCAAAACTACCAGGAAACCAAAACGCCTAACAAAAGGCCGGAGAATTACTCTCCAGGTTTGTTCAAAAATGAACCAAAAATAGAAATCCGGCCAAGACTCTGGATTGGCACCACCGTTTCTTATTCCCCATCAAACATTTAAGAAATATTCCAGACCCTGGTGAAAACACGTGATTTTCTTAACACACCGATCGACCGTGTTCAGTTTTTGTGTGTGCCACCTTCTGTGGAACATTGATCGAATTTCAGGATTCCTTGAGGCAGTCGCCCATTTTCTCAGAAAAGGTGGCAAACAAAACACCCTGGCACGTATTGTTTTTGGGTTTGTCGTCTTTTGATGGCGGGGAAACCCACCGAAATCCAGGAAAGTTGTTTTTGGGTTGAAAGTGATTTTGATGGCGCCATTTTTGGGGGTTGGTTAGGGAGACCAACCGAAACCAACCATTTACGAAATCCAGGTAACTAGTGTGCGCGTCACCCTACAAAATTGGGCCATTTGACCCCTTTCTTTTGGGCAATGGGCTTCTTTAAGTGCCATAGAGACTCTGGGTAAGGGAAGCCAAGAGGAAGCTGAGCATTGGGAGATCCCTTAAAATGAGAAAAGCCCAAATGAATGATGGGCTGAAGCAGTTGGGTTCCTTTGGCTCCCCATGCCCTGGACCAACCAATTGTCTCTGAGGCAACCGCTGCCGCTGAGCGCCAGCCCGTGGACCGCTGCAGCACCTCAAAAAAAACGCGGGGGAGCCCCCGTTTCTTTTGAGGTCCCCGGCCTTTTTTTGATCAAACAAAGTTTGGCCTGGGCCAAATTGGGGTCACCCTCCAAGTTTAAGAGAAAAAAGCTTGCAACTTGTCCGCCTCAAAGGAAAAAAGTCCCGAGTCATGAGTGTGACGAAAGTGACGAGAAAACCCGAGAACAATTCTAGTGGATGGAAGTCGCTTCCATTCTGCCCGAACATTGCTCGCCTCAAAACCAAGCAATTTCTCCCGGAATTTCGAACTTCAATACGCGTTGGTTGTCTAAGACAAAAATACTGGGCGAACATGCACAACAAAACGTCTGGTAAAACAAGGAATAAAAAGAAGGAATGAATAAATATACACAAGGAATAACATATTACCAATACACAAGGAATACATATTCCAACCAAACGTATGGTAAGAAGGTGGTGGACACTTACCATTCTAACCCCAGCGGCCCTACCAAACGCAAGTAAATGTACGTGGCAGGAACTTTGAGGCAACCTTGCTTGGCCCCTTTTGTGCCCCTTTTGTGCCCCCTTTCAACGAACATGGAAACACCAACCTAGGCCAGGGCGTGCCTATTTTCAATCGGACAACCACCCTCAACAAAATTGAGCAAAGGAAGCAACTCATTTGTGGTCTGGGTCAAGGGGACACATGGACAAACCTTGGTCAACACTCAACCCTAACCCTGAGCCTAAGGTGTACTTATACCGACCTACCGGCCCTCCCCCCCAAATGGCGGTGCTAATGGCAGTTTTGCAATTTGCCAGGTTCGGGGGTGGACATCTAGCCACCATGCAAAGAATTAAAACGGCGGCACCCCTTTCTGGTTGGGAGTATCCCCCACTAACCTTCCACGTGCTTGAGTGCCCTGGAAAACATACTTCCTGTAGTGACAGATTACATGGGGAAATAACACATAGTCTGAAGAAAGTTCGAAAGCGGCAATCGTTTCAATAAATTGATCACCTGTTGGGGGAAATCCCGTGACCCCTGTTGATGTCCAACCAACTTAGTCTTAGTTTGCCAAGGCCAACCTTTTGGTTCCCCTTTTTGAAGGTGACTTTTAGTCATGGCCCCAGGTCCCCCCCGTGTGCCTTTTAAAGGGAACATGGCGACTCGTTGTGTCTTTTTGTAACTTAGGAGGCCGCGCGCAGCCGCCGCTTCTGCATTTTGACAAAGCTAGCGGAATGTACTCCCACCATACTCAGGACTTGCGCCGGCGTCAACACCTCCAGGTCGGCCAGCTCCCAGCCCGTGTGCATCACAAGAGCCCTGCGAATCATCTTCGGGCCCATCTCAGAAGCAGGCCGCGACGTTCTCCGCCGGGATCCCGTAAGATTTCAGGGGCTGGATGTTACGCAACTTGCCTAACCTGCAGCGCGACACCTGCAGCAAGTAAGTTGAACATCCTCACAGTTCCAGGACCTCTTGTTTCTTGAAAGCACTAGTTCCATGGTTGCCAAGGGCCCCCAAATAAGTGCTCCCCAATCGCACGTGAGTCATAATCAAAACCCGGTATGAACATGGTCGACCCTGAACCATGCTTCAAGAATTAAGAAGGCGGATGTCCGCAGCAATTCTTATGGCCAGGGGATTGTCCCTTACAAACCTTCATCTACCCAGGTTTTGATTGTGGCTCCATGTTATTTTGTAGGGGAGCACAGTGAGGACTGATGAACCATTCTCATCACACATTCTTCGCTTTAGCTGGGGAAGGCACGGCTAGAGTTGGAGTGGTGCTTGGCCCCAAATCCTATCCACTATGGGGAGACCCAACTGACACACGTTTGTTGGAATCCCCCCATAGCTCCCAAACAAGAGACACCAAAAGAGCAGAACATCTACCCGGGCTTGGATTGTGGCCCACGTGGACCAATCATTTGGTCTCGCCTGGCGCGCCAGGCCGCGGCCCAGGCCGTGGGCCGCACGCGCCGCGGGGCCCGCGGGGCCCACAGCGCCCGCAGAAGTGCCGCCTGACGGCGAGGCAGAGAGCTGCGCCCGCTGCAAGGGACGCTTGTGGGGGGAGGGGGGAGGGGGGGGGTGCAAGGGGCACAAACAACATGTCACAAACACAGGTCCTTACTATGTATGTATGTATGTATGCATCTATGTTTATGTATGCATGCATGTATGTATGTATGCATGCATGTGTGTATGAATGTATGTGTTCATGTAGGCATGTATGTGTGTATGTATGTATGTGTTCATGTAGGCATGTATGTGATGTATGTGTGTATGTATGTATGCGTGTATGTATGCATGCATGCATGCATGCATGCATGCAGTGTGCATGCATGTATGTATGTATGTATGTATGTATGTATGTATGTATGTATGTATGTATGTATGTATGTATGTATGTATGTATGTATGTATGTATGTATGTATGTATGTATGTATGTGTGTACGTACGCACGTATGTATGTATATGTAGGCATGCATGTATGATTGCATGTATGTATGTATGCATGTATGGGTGCATGTATGAATGTGTGCATGTAGGCATGTAAGTGTGCATGCATGTATATTTGTAAATATGTATGTATGCATGCATGTAAGTATGTATGCATGTACGTATGTATTCATGCATGCATGCATGCATGTATGCATGTATGTATGAATGCAGGTATGCATGCACGTATGAATGTATGTATGCACGTATGCATGTATGCATGCGTATATGTATGTATGCATGTATGTGTGTATGTAGGTATGTGCGTATGTAGCCATGTATGTATGAGTGTATGTATACATGTATGTATGTATGCATGCATGCATGCATGCATGTATGTATGTATGTATGTGTGTATGTATGTACGTGTGTATGCATGCGTGTTTGTATGCATGCATGCATGCATGCATGCATGCATGTATGTAGGTAGGTATGTATGTATGTATGTATGTATGCATGCATGCATGCATGCATGCATGTATGCTTGTGTGCGTGTGTGTATGCATGTATGTGTGCATTTATATTTGTATGTATTCATGTATGTATGCATGTATGCATGTATGCATGTTTGTATGAAGGTATGTGTGTGTGTATTTATGTGTGTATGTATGTGTATATGTATGTATGCACGCATGTATTTATGCATGTATTTGGGAACCATGTATGCTTGTGTGTTCTCAGTAGGAACTATGGGAATATGGGAATGAGTCCCCAGCCAACCCAGTAGTCGTTCGAGAGACTGCGCGGTAACAGTGTAAAAGTACACAGGTGGTAACAGCGGAAACAAATGCTGCTTAGTAACAGCGCAAATTAGGGGGGGCACTACGAGCGCAAAACGTAAAGTAAAGGAGTTCATCTTCCCGTAGTCTTCTTTCATCTTCCCGTAGTCTTTTTTCCTCTTCCCGCAGTCTTCTTTCCTCTTCCCGTAGTTTTCTTTCCTCTTGCCCCGAGCCCGGCACTAGCAAACGGCTCGCGATTTGGGCTGCTATTCCAAAATTGAGCCGCAAATCTTGAGCCGCTTCTTCCTGTAGTCTTCTTTCCTCTTCCCGTACTCTTCTTTCCTCTTCCCGTAGTCTTCTTTCCTCTTTCCCGAGCCCGGCACCACAAACGGCTCAAGATTTGTGGCTCAATTGTGGGATAGCAGCCCAAATCTTGAGCTGTTTGCGTGCCAGGCTCGGGGAAGAGGAAAGAAGACTACGGGAAGAGGGAAAGAAGAAACCAACTACATTGATTTGCGCTCATAGTACCCCCTAGCTTTTGCGGTGTTACTGGATCCAGACTTTCTACGGTGTTACTCTCATCAGTTCCGGTGAAACTGACAATAAACATGGACCCCCACGAAAGCTATGGGGCCTATCCGCTTATTGACCCCTTAATAAGGCCTCGTTCAGGGCTTAACCGTGGCCTATCCTAGGCGTATCTAGGGATAGCCCCCCCATAGCCTCCTAAGGGTCCATGAAAAGTGAGCAAGTCTTGGGCTTGCTTTGCATTGGATGCCAGATCCGCCCGTGGATTCCCGCTTGGAAAGTGTCAACATGCTGAAACAGTGAAGCAATGGGCGAAATCGACAGTTCGGCATCCAACATGTCAACAATCATGGGTGTGTGGTTGTTTGGGAAAACCCTTCTAAAGAGATGGCTTCTAAAAAAAGAACCCCAAAAGCAAACCCTAAGAAGACTCCACCAACGGCAAACCCTCCATTTTCAGGCTTCCGATCCCCGCTTCCTTCCGCACTCGAGACTGCGAGTCGCTTGAGCCTTGGCCAGTTCTTTTTTCGTTCCAAGCCTCAAGAAACTGGGGCACCCCCAGGTCCCACAATCAAAACCGATCGGTACAAAAATGGTTGACCCAGAACCATGCTTCAAGAATGAAGAAGGCGGATTCCCGCAGCTATTTATGGCAAGGGGATTGTCCCTTAACCTTCATCTGGTGGGCCCCTTGCCCCTCTTGGTCTAAGGAAACTCGGCATGCGAACCGGAGCCGGTTTCTTCATTTTGGGGGCTGATTCCAGCGAACCCAGCAAACCCAGTTCCAAAAGACCTGGACGACCGAGCAAAGGACCTGGATCACCTGTCCTGTGTATAAAAAAAAAAACGTGATGGCGTGTCTCAAAATACAGTGGGTGATGAATAAACCAGCCGGAAAGTTTCTCGATATCGCCGTTTGGGCTCCATATGGGTTTAAGCCGTTTTTTTTGGGGGGGAGCCCCCTTTTAAATTGGCTTTGAAGGGAACCAAAAGGGCAACCGTTCAACCCACTTTTTGGGTGTCCCCCAGACTGGTGGTTGCGACCACGAGAGGAAGCCGCGGGGTTGAGACCGTAACGTTTGTTGGTCTTCAGGGGCGAATCAGCAGATTCGCCAAAAAAATCTGAACGGTGGTGCGAAATGGATTCGATTCCGTCCACAGTATGGGGCTGACTTTGGGGGGGTTTCGTGGAAAACACCTTGATTTGGCGAAAAGTTAAAGTCTTTAAAGATCCAACCCAATAGCAGTCAAGCATTCAAAGCCCAAATGCCCAAATCCGAGATTTGGGGACTCAAGGGTCATCATCTTGAGTAGAGTACTTGGGCCTTTTCCGCCTTTTGAAGTTTGTTCTCTTGTCAGGTTCTTCACGGTATAAACATTGCTTTCATCTGACATGTTTTGCCCTTCACCATGCAATCACTCTCATCTTCCTTTCCCCCTTGGCCAGCCACTTTTTCTCGGTTGCTTTCTGCTCCCTGCTAAAAGTGACCAACTTTTAGCGGTTTAATGAAACCCCCCTTCGTTGGCAAAAAGTTAAAGTCCTAACAGCCCCTGGCAAAATGCACCAAAGACTACCTAGAGTCTCTGAATCTGACCCGAATCAAAAATGGGCCGGTCATGACCCGAAAATCTGTCTTTTGGGAGTTTTGACCAACCATTTCCATGTTGGCCAGCCACTTTTTTGAAAACCAAGTTCAGACGCTCGGAAAGCCCAGGCCTGGGCTCTGCTCCGGCTCGTCCGGAGCCGATTCATCCGCGGCATCCCCGGGCAAGATGCAGAAGAAGAGCAAGCCCTGGCCAGAGAATCCGTGTCCAAGCTACTCCTTTTGTTTGATTTGGATTGGTGATTGGATGTAGATTTGACCCCCAGTTCTTTTTGAAGCCAAAGCACCAAGGCAAACCACCAATTGGGAGTAAGGTGACCAAAGTTGTTTTGATTAAACATGGCTTTTAGATACCCCAAGTCACCCACTTCTGCGGAAATGCGCAGGGAAGTCCATGTCCTATTTTCCTTTGCCCTTTCCACGGAGAAAGGGTCCCAACGTTTTTTTGTGATCCTTGATTTGCAGAGAAACTCCGTCAAACAAAGGGAACAAGCATAGCCAGGGTGTCTAAACGATTTAGGATAAGAGACGAAATAAGCAGGGAGTCTTCGCTTGCAAACTTGTCGGAGTTTCATGTGTGTCTTTCACACCCGCAGTCTATTGCGGTATGCCATAGTCAAATGTTTGCGGCTTACTCCATGGAATCAGGGAAGGGAATCAGGGGAAATCAAATCACATCAAACAGTCGAAATATGTAGTACCCATATGTGGGTGTCATTTTTTAGAGTACCTCTTTGGGACCGGATTGAAAGGGAAACCACAAATGCAAACTAGTCATTGTTTGTGTCCGCGAGATTGAGACACGCGGACAGAACATGGGAGAAGTTGAAGGTTCGTTGGTTCTGGCTGCATTGCTCTCGTGCACTGGTCTGGGAAAAGTACCTGATTAGCGAAAAAGTGGCTGGCCAAGAGGGAAAGGAAGATGAGAGTGATTGCATTGCGAAGGTCAAGCATGCAAGATAAAAACAAAACAAAAAATATTCGTCCAGTGAATAACCTGGCACAAACCCCTCAAAAACACACAACAGGCCCAAGTAGTCTACTCAAGCTGGTAAGGATATGTGGGATCAATACACAGAGTCCCCAACTCCCGGGGATTTTTGCCTTTTCCGGGGACACGGGGTGGAAGAAACCGGACAGCCCCGCTTTTTGTGGCCAGGCGCCTGCACGTCCGGGTCTTCTACATCATGGCCTCAGGGTGCCGCTCCGTTTCTCGAGGAAGTTTCGGGTTCCGACAAGAAGCAAGGGGGGGTACGGTCCAACCCAACCCAACCCAAATTGTTGGAAACACCATGCATTGGGGTACTTCCAACCAACAAGTTGGTGAAATCCCGAAACACCAACCCAAACCACCAACTCGGGAGGGTGGGTACATGAACTAAGGCCCGCCAAAAAGTCAAAACAGGGAGGGGACAGGGCATGGAAGCCGGCTTCCCAGCAGACACAGGAGGGGAAACCCCCGCGAAGGACGGGGAAGCCCACAAAAAAAAAAAAAACAGAGGGGACACAGAAAGGCTTACTGGTAGAAAGGCTTACTGGTAGGGGCTCAAATCCCGAAACACCAACCCAAATCACCAACTCGGAGAATTGGGGGTACATGAACTAAGGCCTGCCAGGGAAACACAACTTAGGTCCTCCAGATTTGAGAGGTTCGAATAAGGGTACCAACTTTTTCTCTAGTCTATGTTAGTAGGGGAACCCTCCCCCAGAAAAGGGCAAAAGGGCACTACTGTGGGACCTAGTCCAAATGTCAAAACTGGGAGGGGACAGAATCTCTTGGTTGACTTTGGAAGGGTAGCAACAATTTCGTTTTTATGCAGTTCACTGGTTGGATTTCGCACTCGACCACAATAAGCAAACATGTAACATGTTTGGTTTCCCACCAAAACACAAGGGGTGTCCCGCGAAGCACAGGGAAGCCCACAAACAAACAAAAAAACAGAGGGGACACGGAAAGGCTTACTGGTAGGGGATGTGGATGGTTGAGAAATTCGCACCTACGAAACCCTAGTTTGTGAGGATTCCACCCTGCAAATACGAAGGAACAGTCCCAGAGAGTCCAAGTACCTCATGAGAATGGCTTTTGGGGGGTAAAAACTCGTTCAGTTCCTCCTTACCAGGTACCAAGGGACCCTCTGGGAGTGGTTTCCCCATGGGCTTTCAAGTGGTACGAAATGGATTTTGTCCAGTGGGTGGGCTCCTTTCAGCTTTCCTTTAACCCCGCCCCCCCCCCCCCGAAAGGGCACACAGACCCCGGCCCCCCTCCCGGCAAAAAAAAAAAAACATACACTCACAAACAAAGGACACCCAAGTCGAGGATTGTTGTGTAGCCTTTGATAGCGCTGGCGGGTGATCTCTATGCTGGTAGAAGATATTTGGATTTTTTGAAGGTCCCCTCCCCCTTTTGGACGAAAACCAGCCCTAACCCCCATACAAAGGTTTCCTGTGTCTTTATCTTGTGAGGAAGGGGGTGGTAAACCCTTCTGGTTGGTGCTGGAAAGCCAGAAGCAAAACGAAGACTTTTGGGGGGACCAAATCCTCCGGACTCCGCAAAACTGGCCTGGTGGGTTGCTGAAAATCTTTCTGGTGGTTGCTTGAAGGGAAGCTCAGTTGTTCAGTGACCCTGGACAAAAAAGGGAGCCCTTTTTGGGGAAGACCATTTGTAGTGGGGCAGCCACCGAAAAAAGGAGAAAAAAAAGAAGAAAAAACAGAGAGAGAGAGAGAGAAGAAAACAAAAAAAAAACACGTGCCACTGAGCAACTGAGGAAGCACCCAAACGATCAACACGCCGACGTTTTTTTTGGCAACTTCTCGTCTCCTTCCCAAACGAAGGACTCGGTCCACGCAGAGGAGAAAAGAAAACGCAGGGGTTTCGCCCTAGGCGTCCAATTTTAGGGGGGAAATAGATGGGGTTTCCCTGGTAGGTGAGGAAAAACCACCAGGTAAACCAGGAATCGAGACCCATCTATTTTTGGACCAACACAACCAAGAAGGACGCCTATGCCCAGAAAATCCCCTTTTCTCGGTTGCTTTCTGCTCCCCTGCTAAAAGTGGCTAACTTTTAGTGGTTTACTTCGGAAAACCCCTCTTGGTTGACAAACAGTTATTCAGTCCGAACACCCCTTGGCCAAATCCGCCAAAGTTTTAGGGCTGGTGTTGAATGGAATGACCGCCATAAACCATCCAACATATTGGTATGGAGAACCAAAGACAAGCAAAATGCAAAGTTTTTATCCCCCAACAGCCATCCCGAGGTGCCGCCGAAGCTTCCCTCGACGGGCTTCGCGGCGACGGCGCATTTCGCTCTCAGCTCGGGGCCGAAGGTTTCGGCCACGAGGGCGGCCAGGCGAAGCCGTGAGAAGATGGTGTAGCCTCGCTCCCATAGCCAGCAATTCAGTTGGGTGTTGTGTGGAATGACCCAATTCCACGGCTCAAAACGGCGCCAAAAGGCTCAAAAGGCTCCAAAAATGGTGAGTGTGTGGAATGGCCCAAGTGTTCCACGGCTCAAAACGGCGCCAAAAGGCTCAAAAGGCTCCAAAAATGGTGAGTATGTGGAATGACCCAAGTGTTCCACGGCTCAAAAAGGCGCCAAAACACTCCAAAGGCTCGGTGAGTGTCCTGTGTGCTTCCCCCAGAACATGTTTGTCGGCTCCCCCCCCAAAAAGCGGACACCTAGAGTCTCCATGACGCTTAAAGAATGGAAGAATGAGGTCATAACCCCTTTCTTTTGGGTAAGAGTCTCCATGACGCTCAAAGAATGGATTAACTGCACAACACATAAATATTTCAGGTCCTAGTACATAGGGACGTGCCTTTATTTGAGGATACCCAGATTGTTTTCTTTTACAGGGGCACCAAAAGGAGAACCGATGTAATCTGTTGGGGGTCCATATCCTATTTTCAGGCACGCCCAGGTTTCGCCCACCCCTAAGAATCGTGGGACCTCAATCGGAGCTTGTTTGGGATCCAAAACTTGAGCAGAAGGACACAGCAGCAAACATAGAAAAAGCCAGTCACGGGCTGGTTTGACCGCAAAGCAAACATCTCCAAAAAGGAGCCAACAGGGTCAAATACCAGGTACAAACGGGATTGACGCAGGGCGGAGTTGGGGAGGAAACTTCAAGATGTCAAGGTTGAGAACAAATTAACAAAGCAAAACCAACTGAAATGCCGCTCGAAGCCAGAAACAACAATGGCGAATGCTCCCCTCGTATTGAGGCGAAAGGTTAGCAGGAGGTACGGAAGGTACAAACTGAATTTAAGCATACATGGGAGCAAAGTGGTTGAGGCTGGAGAAACTAAAAAAAACAAAACATCCAACGACAACACAGCCAATAATGTCCATGTGCATTTTTTGGAGTAAGTCGGGATACTTAGAGGCAAGATATGTTGCATCTTGAGAATGCGGAAACTACCACAAGACCGTAAAGCTCATACGCAGTGCGAACGACAGTTGCCCCCTTGCATTCAGCCAGACTGTTGGGAGGAAGCATGTGAGGTGCAAACAGAATTGAAGCAATGGGGATGAAAGTGGACAATGCCAAGGGACATCCAACCACAAAAGTCCGGCCACAAAGTAGAGCGTGATTCGTTTTCAATCGCTTCTGCTCACTGCCAGAAATGAGCCCGCTTAAGAATGCCATTCACGACCGTCGCCATGATGTGTTCGATTTCTCCGACCCTCTCTGTGCACACAATGCGAAGATCCTATGCGAAGTGCATGCAGTTTTGCTTGCGGATGTTGTAGTTGGCCGCATAGTACTGTTTAGAATTGTGAGCCGGCACACATGCTCGACTTGCTCAGGCAACAAGGAGGTACGTCGATGGTGAACCCCCAAGCCCACGCTGCCCTGGCAAAAAATGGAGGATCAGTAATTTTAAAGGGAAGATGCATAGTCTGAAAAATGTGAAGAAACAAAGAATCACTCACGAGACCCTCATGCGAACACGATACACGAAATCCAAAACATAAATAAGTTTCCCAAGAGTTCCCTTGTGCTGAGCCAAAATCTTAGCAGGAAGTGCGAATGGAATTGAAGCATACAAGGCGCTTGGGATTGGGGGTGAAGCTTGAACATGTCAAGGGGCATCCATCGACAACAGAGCAAAACATGCGCCATGTCCAAAGTGTGAAAGCCGGGACATTTGGAGTCAACATACATCATCGGAGGAGAACTTGGAAACCACCACAGAAACTGACACTCGGTTGCTTTCTGCTCCCCTGCTAAAAGTGACTAACTTGTTAGTGGGCTAAATGGAAAACCCATTCGTTGGCAAAAAGTTCAAGTCCTAACATCCAAGCAAAATGCACCAAAGGACATGTGGCGCGAAACCCCAAAAAATAACAGAATTGACGCAGATAAGATATCATATAAGCGGGGATGAAATGGTAGCATGCCAACCGGCATCCAACAACAAAATGCACATGCCACATATTGAAGGTCAACAAACTGAGAGGGAATCTGCAGCGTCGCATGTCTGCAAACTGAAATGTGGCGCGACTCCAAAACTAAATAGTTCGCAAGGCTCCCCTTTTTATTGAGCCAACATATTGGTAGGAAGTGTGAAAGCTAGAAATGAACTTGAAGCATACAAGGGAGTGAAGCGGTTGGGGTTGGGGACGAAGCCAAACGATGGGAAGGTTGATCCAACTATAAAACAGCCCAAATTGCAAATCTTACAATGTTCAAAGTCAACAACAAAAGAGGGAAGCTCTACTACCAGAGAGACACCACAAAAACAGAACCAAAATCACCACTGGCACGGGGGCTCAGCCGATACTCCAACCGGCACTCCACCGCGGACACCACCAAAGCGCCACTGGATCACCTTCTAATGGAGATTCCTTGCCCCCCTTCCAGTGGAATTGTCCAACCACGCATGACTTGGAAACCACCGGAAGTGAAACCTCTTTTGGGGGTCCGCCGTTTTAGGACCACCCGAACATTGTTCGGGTTGTTCGTTGCCGCTCTCTGGGGTGGTTGCCATCGAAGGCTTGTGTGTTGCAGGTCCTGGCCGTACTTTGGATGGACGAAACCCATTTCGCACCACGAAATGAAACCGTGGTTGAAACCAAAACGGTTGTTGGTATTTATTTTGCGGAATGGAATCATTCCACGCTTCTGAATTCGGTGGTGCGATTTCTGGATTTCGCCTAATCCACACTATCGGGTGTCTCTCCAAAATCAGGGACCGGTTCCTGCTGTTGGTTTCCCTTCAAAACCATCCGAACAAAGAGGTACCTAGACTCTCCTTCTGACCCTTTAAACATGGGCCCATTTGACTTGAATCTCTCTTTTGGGTCATGACCAACCATGTTTCGAGGCTCAGAAGGCTCCAGGTACCAACTCCAACAAAAGACCTTAGTCGCCCATTTCGGCCATCAAAAGACGAGTTCCGCCCGATTTTCGCCAATTTTCACACCCAACCCCCCCCCCAAAAAAAAAAAACGCCGCAGAAGCGTCTCCAAGCCGCAAACGGCGGCCGCTGGGCGCCGGGCTCAGGAAGGCGCCTGCGCCCACCACTGGCAGGAAGCGCATCACCAGAAGCTCCGAGACCTGCGGAGCTTGCGTCAGGGCAACCCAGACATGACCTGCTGCGAGAGGTAGGGAATGTGGGATTTTTGTACTAACTCAACAGAAATGGCTGTGGGTCAAAACCCTGGAAACCTCTGGTGAACCTGAAATTGGTGGGAAATGGATGTTCATTACTGAGGAGTTCGGGGCTTGGGGAAGGTGTCAGGTTAGATGCCCAGTGGATTTCCATGGGAAAAAAAAAATCGGCATCCGATTTTTTTGTCTGGTTGGTTGACTGTAAAAGGGACACCCTTCCCCCCCAAAAAAAAAAGAGAAAAAAAAGGGCACCACTGGGCAACTGGGGAACCCAACAGAAATGACCTGCTAGTGTGAGAGGTAGGGAATCCGGGGAATTCCCTACTGAACCCAGGAGCCCTTCAAGGAAACCAGAAGGGGGGCTTGGAATGTGGGAATGAACCCAGGGATTGCCGAATGAGGGACAGGTTCTCCTTAAGGAACCACCAGTTGAGTGACATTCCCTCAGTCGCTGCTGAGCGCCAGCAAGATGAGTGGCTTCCTTGTGGTCTCCCCTCAAAGCCATCAAGGTTGGCCCTGGTCAAACGGCCATGGGTCAAAATCCAAATCGTACCCCCAGCGAACATCCGATTCAATCCAACCACTAAAATAGGTTCTAAAATGGGTGGTGCACCTACCAACCAAAATGGGATCACAAAACAGCTTTGACAACCACAGCCAAATAGGCAAAACTCAGCCCAGCTTTTGTTTGAAACCAATCCCAAACGAACTCCCGGCGAGACGACGCCTTGCGGATGAATCGCTGGGACATGCCGCTCTCGTCATCCTCGGCCTCCGCCTGAAACACTCGGTTGCGAAATCTGCTCCCCTGCTAAAAGTTTAACTTTTAGTGGTTTAATGGAAAATCCATTAGTTGGCAAACAGTTTAAGTCTTAACATCCCTTGGCAAAATGCACTAAACAGTTTGCTCCCCACCAGGAGCTGGAGTCCCTGACCTGAGGTTCATTGCATTCTGCCCCATTGGGAATATTTGGGACCCCGACCCCTATTGCCAACCGAGCTCTGTAACTGGTTGCGAAAGCCAGACATCGCACAACTTTGAAACCATGGCTTGCTTGGTATTTACAGGCTTTCTTAGGTGGTGCGAAATGGATTTTCGTCCACCCGCAGTATGACCCTTACAAAAAGGGGGTCATCTACCAACTAGGGGCAGGTGTTGGACCTGGGAAAACGCGATTGCTTTTTCTCTTTGAAAGGGGCCATGACCCAGACCCTTTAAGGGTCATGGAGCCACCAGGTACTTGGGCTGCCTTAGCACCAGGTGGATGACCATCCCCGTTGACCCCAAGCAAAGGAACAGGTCTTTTGTCCATCATCCTGGTGTCTCCCCATCAAGCCATCCCTGCGAAAGCCATCTCTGTCAACCCCAAGTAAGGGAATCGGTCTTCTGACTATGACACATACCTAGAGTCTCCATGACCCTTTAAAAATGGGTCCATGACATCATTTTGGGGCATGGACCAACCAGTTTTGATTCGGGTCACATTCGGAGACTCCAGGTGAAGGCTTGTTCTTCCTAGGCCGAATCCAAATGGCGAGTCGATTTGGCAAGCCATGAAAGCCCAGCCGTTGAGTCGCATGACTCGGGTCAGGGCCTTTTTTTGTGTTCTGGAACTCGCTTCCAGGGCCTTTTTGAGAGAAGGGGCAAGACAAGTCGATGACTGCGATGCCTGGAAGAACCGTTCGAAGGCAAAAATCCCAGCGGGGCCGATGTCAAACCAAGGGCGCTGGACTCCCAAGCCGAGAAAACCCAGACAAAAAAAAAGAGAAAACATCGGCGCCCGTGTTTTGGTGGATTTTTCAATTTGGAATACACCTTACAAGCCCTCATGTTAAAGAGGTGGGTCCAAGGCCCTTCTACCTGGATTCTCCATGACCCTTAAAAATGGGGGTCATTACCCAAAAGAAAGGGGTCATGACCCCATTTTTTACAGGATCATGGAGAGTCTAGGTATTCAGGGTCCCAGAATTTTCATGGGACAAATAAATGGCACCCTTTCTTGGTGTTGCAAAGGTTCCTTCCAAGAACTCAGTTGACCAAGGTCCACCTTGTGACCTTTCAATTTCCCCTGTTTGGTAAATACTTTTCATTATTCTAGGGGTACCTTCCCCATTCTTTCCAGGCATCCTGCTTTTCAGGAAACCATCAAAAACCCGGGGAAACAGCTGGTTTTGTTTGGAACTATGGGTAATCAACCCCTAGAATCATGGCCCCAAAAGGTGAACCTTTTAAACTCCAGGTCCGACACGGGCAAGCGAGAGAAAAACTGGGGCACAAACAAATCGCTGGCTCGTCGCCACGCATCGCGCCTTCGCGATCAGCGCCGACAGCGCAGCCTGCGGGCTGCCGTGCTCGCCCACCTCGGATTGATCAAGTCACCGAGGAGCCTCCTCAGGTCAAAGGCCTTCATACTATGGAGATCGCAAATGGTCAGCAAATCACCTCATTGGTCTAGGTGCCTCCAGTAGAGTTTAGGATAAGGGTACCAACTTTTTTCAGGACGTCTACTTTAGTAGGGGAACCAAATATCCCCCAAAAAAGGGGAGAGAGAACGGCACTACTGGGGACCTAGTGACCTAGTGATGCTTGGGGGCAACCCGTAGAGGTTACGAAATCCATTGCGCACCAAAGAAACCCAGGAAGGTATCGATTCCCCAACGAAAATACCCACAAACAACGCGGTTCCAACCATGGGTTCCACCTATTACCCCCCCCCAAAAAAAAGGGCACCACTGGGCAACCGCGGAAGCTGTTGTCCGGTTTCCACCAAGCCTTAATTAAGGCGACGTTGCGCGCTTTTTACCCCTTTGGAAGCTTGAGAACTTCCCAATCCAGCTAGGATTCCGACCCCGCACATGGACGCCAGGCTGCGCTGCAATGGATTTTTACCCCCAAAGGAAAGCTCGAGACTTTCCCAAGGATTCCGAGCCAGGGAGACTGAACTGGAGACAAAGCCTCTCCTGTTGAAGGAATCTCCGAGAGTACCTGCAGGTCCTGGTGCGGGAGGGGTCTCCCCCAATGGACCACGGACCAGGCAATTTGACCCTTTCATACGGGTTACTGGTGTTGAATTCAACTTTTTGCCGGGTGGTGCTCAAAGATCGGATTTTGGGTAGCTACATGGGTGTTTTTCTTCAATAGTTTTTTTTTGGCGGGCCTACTCCAACCACTTTTGAGGCAATGCCAACTCTTCTCGGTTGCTTTCTGCTCCCCTGCTAAAAGTTTAACTTTTAGTGGTTTAATGGAAAACCCATTAGTTGGCAAAAAGTTAAAGTCCAAACATCCAACCAAATGACAGCAAAGGTCTGAGTTCCAGGCTGGTTTTAGGCGACCGAATCCTCAAAATGGGCCGGTGGTTCTTTTGGTTTCCCTTTCGCCAACCTCTCAGATGCCTTTTGGATTTTTGGATTTTGGGACAAAAAGTTGGCCGATCGATCCTCCTTTTGGTTGACTTTAAAGTGGAACCCCAAGCCCGAAAAGAAAAGCCGATAAAGAATTGGTTTTTCAGAATCCACTGGGAACTCAGCTTCTTCTTTTGGTTTCCCTCGAGCACCGGCATAAAAAAGGGGTACCTGGAGTCTCCATGACTCTGTAAAAATTGGCCCCTAACCCCATTATGACCAACCATTCATGGAGACTCCAGGTACAAACTCCAAAGACCGAGCCACTCTGAATTCACGGCGGTGTTCCTTTGGGTTGCCCTCGAGCACCGGCAAGACAGGGGGTACCTGTCTCCATAACCCGCTAAAATAGGTCCATGTCCCCAAAAAGGGTCATGACCAACCATTTTTAACGTTTTTAAATGGGGTCAGAAGGAGACTCTAGGTGCCAACTCCTCCAAAAAACCCGAGCCACGGCCTCCAACGCTCCAATCCGTAGGCTCCCTGACCTTTGACGCCCGAAAAACCAACTGAGGCCTCAGCGCAGCGCCTCGCCTCCACCCGCACCGGCAGAATCCCCAAGGACGGGATGCCTGCGACGGAAGCGCGGCACCGAAGCCCTCGCTGCCGGTGGGGTTTTGGGGTGGCTGGTTGAAAACCCTCGGGTTGTCTACCCAGAGGCTCCTGATGTATCTTGGGCCCTCAAACAGCCAGGTTTGGAGACCCCCAAACACCTCCGGTCTAATGGAGGGCTCGGGTCTTCCATTGAAAGCCGAAGCCACGAGCCGGGTAGGGTTTAGGGCTGCCTTTCTTTTTTGGCAACGGGTCAACCTGGGTTGGTTTCGGGCTTCCAAAGTCAAACACGCCTCGAAAGAAACTTGCGGTGATTCCCGGGATGGGTGAACAAAGGTGAGCTTTAGGAGCCCAGAGGAAAAAACGGGAATGATTGGTCTACCTAGACTCTCCATGACCCTTAAAAATGGGGTCATTGATAAAAATAATGAGGTCATGACCCCAGGTGTCACAGAGACTCTAGGTACCTGGAGGTCTCCGAATCTGACCCTTGAAAAATGAATGGTCAGACTGACTCTTTCAAAGTGGTTGGTCATTACCCAACAAGAATGAGGTCATGGACCCATTTTTAAAGGGTCATGGAGTCCAAAAGAAAGATTCGGCTCATGACCAACCATTTTAAAGGGGTCAGAAGCAAAGTCTAGGTACCCACATCCCACAACCATGCTCACTGATGTGCTTAGCTTGCGATCGGTGCGAGAGATGCGGGGAATGAGGAAAGGGAATCACCATGCCTTGCGTGTGTGTGTTCCTTAAAGGGGACCCCTGGGTTCATTCCCACATTGTTGCTGAGCACCAGCAAGTAAAGTAACCATGACTCATGACCCTTAAAACATGGTTGGTCATCTACCAACAATTAGGCATGACCCCCCTTTCAAAGAGTCAGAAGGAGACTTTAGGTTGCCACTAAGGTAAGCAAACAAAACAACAAACATGAGCCTAGAGGTATAAACAAGCGATTGAAAGCGCTGGGTCATGTTGGGTGGTGTCCAATACAAACTTAGAGCCACAGTGGGAGCCAGGGCAAGGCCATGCCCCTTCCCTAGATAGCCCCAGTCACTCATAGTCACTTCGAATTAGCCCTGGCCATGACTCTGAACTATAGATGGTCTGGGACTTAGCTACATGCTTGGCAACCCTGGCTAAAACCTACCCGTGGGACTTACAATGGTTGTAAGTCCCCTAAGTGGGTCACTTAGCTAAGTGGACCATCTTAGTATGATTGCCAGGCGGTCCTGTGACATCCTGTGACGTTGTGGCCGAATCCTTCATTTGGTTTAGCTTTGAACAGTTGAACACTCAGAGGAAACCGACGCTTGGGCTGCTTGGGGGGGGGGTGTGTAACACGGGGTCGGCTGCGGTGGGTGGGTGGGGTGGGTGGCAACCCTTAGTTGGTGATATGGCTGTGGCTCAAAACTAGGTACCCAAAATGGAACAGATCTGGCAATTGGACACATGGACTAAAACCTGCGCTCCCCTGATAGCGTAATTTTGACCCATCTCCATAGGCATCTTTTCTGGACAAAACAAAACTCGTCGACAAATCGCAACGGGCCCAGAGAGAAAACGAACACCAGCGAGGCCCCTGCACCCTGGAGCCGTCGCCAGGGGGTCAAAAAGGGAGGGTCATGAGTCCCTTTTCATGGAACAATTACCCACCATAGTCTTTTAAGGGGTCAGAGGGAGACTCCAGGTGTGGCTTTTTCTTCGGACATGCAACTTTGGTGGAGTTAAAGGCCGACCGAAACCGCAGGGATTGAAAACACCACCGCGCTTTCAGGGTCCAAGTCCTAAAAAATGGACGAGCCGCCCGCTGCGATGCGAAATCCGCCGCTTCGCCTTTGATCACCGGGTCCAGCAGAAGGAGAACCAAAGTCTCCACGGTGGACTCGATGCGGCAGTAGACCTAGCGAGTCTGATGTGGCGCTTCTTTTTGGGAGGGCACCCCAGGTTTTTTGACGTGGCTCTAAAGGGAAAACAGGAAAAGACACAACGTTGGTTGCCCAAAAAAAAGAAGAAGCACCCATGTGGGTTGATTGAGGAAAATCTGTATGGTCACCCCCCCCATTAACCACCTTTCCGTTGCCTCCTCGAACAAATACTAAAGAACCTTTTGGTGTGTTTTGAGGTGTTGTTGCTTTCACATTGTGTTTGATGGTTGATGTCTATATATATATATATTCCGTTCAATGGGGCTGTGGAATACGGTAAACTCATGAGTCACAATTACGGGGCAGAACTTATAGAATATGTCGCTTGGAAAAAGCGAAACGTGAGTTCAAGTAGTGATAGATTCCCTTCAAAGCCAGCATGGGAAAATGAAACAAGCATCGTGGGTCTGTCTTTTTGTTGAGACTTCCCCTCGGTTGTTGTTTTAATGGGAGACCTAAAAAACAAACAACCCACCCATTTTGGGGCTCCTCCAAAAAAGCCCGCCCCCGCATGAGCGCAAACCCTTCAGTCCCTACCCCGAAACTTGAATTGTCAAGCTGCTGGAAGTCCCCCCACATCGAGACCCCCGTGCCTGCACTGGGTCCAGGTCAGGTGTGAGCGGCGCCTCCGGCACCTCCTTCGCGCCTGATTTGGAGGGGAAACGACTGCATGGCTACGAATCTGCCCCACGAGCCTGGGGCTTGCCACGTGGTCTCAACAAAACTAGAGCTGTCCGATTTATCTGATCCCCCCTAAAACTGAAGAACTGGTGAATTGATTGGAAACCCAACCACGAAACCAACTAAAAACCCACGGACGGCTGGGAACCGCCAAGTGAACCGAATGGGAAGTTTTCCCTTTGCGTTTGGAGGAGTTTGGTTTGGAGTTGGAGTCGAACGTGAGTGGCGTGTCTTGGATTCGGAGTGGAACATGATTCGTTTTGAATGTGTTTTGGTTTTGGGGTAGAAAATGAAGGCACTCCCTGGAGTAGGGGTTTCTTGACGTGCAGGGGCTCTCAGAGAGTCAAGGAGTGAGTTGGACTACAGCTGAATGTATATGAGTAACAACACTTTTGTACTTGGGGTCGTATGAAAAATGATGTTTTCCCTGAGCTACACCTGAGAAACATCCATCTAGGAGAGGTGGGTTGCGGGTGGTGCGCAACAATGATCCTTGAGTCCGGCGGGGACCCTTGTGTCCCAAACTGGAACATCACCCAGCCTCTCTCCTTTGTTGCACGGCCCAACGCGCTTTGCTTGAAGCTTCATCTTTCTAAGGGTACCTTCCCCATTCTTTCCAGGGATCCTTCTTTCTAGAAACCTCCAGAAACCCAGGGAAAACGGCTGGTTTTTGAAAAGAACGATGGTTGAAAATAATTGACAAGGAATCAGCCCTTAGTTAACCCAAGTCTAAACCAGCACCCCTACCCACTGACATGACATAGCATTCTACCCACTCATGGAGTTTGCTTTCCTGACCACGAAAGTGTAACCCACAATTTGGCCAAAGCAACTGGACCCCTGTCCACTGAAAAACAACTTGGAGTTGGGCCCTTGCGGATCTTGAAACATGGAAAAGTATAGTGCCGCAAAGCAGCAGTTAGCGGAAGAAGATGAGGGTTTCTCCAAATGGGGACCCTCTGTTTCGTTGGAAAATGGACACCAAAAAGAAACCAACCATAAACTTGGATGCTCAACCAATTTAGTAAGTAGGTTATAACCATGGCTGGAACGGGACAATCCCAGTTTCCCAAGTAACCATGGCTATAACCTACTTACTAAATTGGTTGGACATGCAAATAGGGGACCACTATTTTGAGAACCCTCGGGAAGAATTCGGGAAGGCCTCCGGATCTTTTTCGAAAAATTGGGCCTCCCCCATCAATGTGGCCGGATAATCTCAGGAACCATGTCGAGCAGAACTCCGATCGGCTCCTTTAAAGGCTCCCTCTTACGCATATGTTGGGATAGCCAACGCGCACAATGATTCGTGGTCTCCTCTTGGTTTACCTGATTCTAGCCCCCAAAGGGTATGTGTCAGAACAGGAACACCAAAACCCAAATGGTGAGTGTCCTGTTGGTTTCCCTTTCAACCAGGTGAAACCAGCACCCCCAAAGCAACACACACCCAAACACGACACAAACGCATGCGGATGAGCGGGTGGCGTAAACCTTCCGGCCTGAGTAGCCTGCAGCCGTGTAGGCCCGATGCACCATGTGACTGGAGGTTTCCTCGCGCGTCTCTCGTGGCTGGAGAATTTCTTGGCGCAACTCGGGGGTGGAGCAAAATGAATCGCAGCCGCATATAACATAGGAATCGGACCCTCCCCCGAGGTATTCCTTGTGCTTTCCTTTTCAAACCAACCGAGCAGGGGTACCTTCAAAAACCCACACCCATATTTGGTCTACTAAAACAATACAATAATGTTGGAGGAGAATCCGTCTTTTTTTCAGTGCCTCAAGCAACTATATACTCCAATGTCTATAGTCTGTCAACAACATGTGATCCGTGAACGATGCAACAAAAGAAGGACGGCCTGATACAATTAGGGTTGCCATTGGGGCTGAGGGCAGTCTGATATCCCACAAGCTTCATTTGAGCTTGCGCTGAAACAAGGAAGCAACGTGTTGCATGTCATGACAATATCCCAAAGCCAACCAAGACAAAAGCAACATCCTCTCAAGCAAATGGAAGGTTGTGGTCAGGGTTCAAAACCCACGCTGTGCAGGGCAGAAGGGGAATTTCCTCACATTCATTGATTGAATCACACCCCCTCCTGGCTTCGTCCACATATGGCCTCAAAATGGTCTCATTAGATGGCCCCGAAGGCATGGATGATTAGTTCCGGTCGTACTCGTCATTTCCAACCAAGCAGGCACAAGGACAACTTCCCTGGACGGTCCGTTTTCTGACCTGCGAAAGGTGACAAACTTGTGGGGTAAATCCGGAAACAGAACCACTAAATTGTGGGTCCAATACGGAAAACCCACTGTTTCAATCAACAAGTCAAAGTCCAAAGATCCGGCAAACCAAACGGCCAAAAAGACAACCTTCATTTCGGCAAGTGTCCAGTAGAGAGGTTAGAATAAGGGTACCCTTTTTTTCTGTGTGCAATTTAGCAGGGGAACCCTCCCACAAAAAAGAAACGGTAAAAGGGCACCTAGCTGGGGGACCTAGGTGTAGTTAAGAAGTCCCAGGCGCCCTTCCCGAGCCGGCCACAGAAAAAAGGTAATCGCGGTTGCTTTCTGCTCGCCTGCTAAAAGTGACTAACTTTTAGTGGGCTAAAGGGAAACCCATTCGTTGGCAAAAAGTTAAAGTCCTAACATCCAACCAACATGCACCAAACTAATCATCGTGGGCTCATTTTTATCATGTGCTCCCGCCTTCACCGACTTCTTGAGGCCCGCCAGCGCGTTCACTCCTCAGGAACTCCATGGGTTTTTTCGTTGTTCGTGTTTCCCACCGCGCCAAGCAAATTCTAGACGACGTAGACCCATGCTGGTTTCAAGCCCCACAAAAGGGCACCCTCAAAAAAGCCACGCCCAAATTCGTATCTTTGACTGGGTTCAACGGACAAGCAATTTGCGTCCAAAAGGTCCTACGGGCGATTTGGCAACACCAACGGCCAGCGATGCTGAGTGGCCTGGCCAAAACAAGTCTGAACTTTTGCTCACTTGCCCAAAGCACCTGGATTCTAAAAGGTTGACCTACCAAATCCAGGGCAACCAAAAGGCCAACAGGTCGCTTCGCTTCGGGCAAGAAAGTTTCTTTACCAATACATCAACACCTATTCCCTACAAGCAAAAGACCCCGAAGGTGTTGTCGGACGGGTCTGAAAAGCTGCTGCCCAAAAGCTCTTCGTCCAGGAGCTCGGGGAGCGAGCAACGCAACTGGCTTCCCCTCCGCACGGTCCTTGGGACCTCACGGGGCGAAAGACGATAAAACAATTCGGGTGGCTCCTGGTACCCTTGGTGGGAGGGGCTGTGGTCTCGTGGTCTTGTTGCTCGGTTGCGAAATCTGCTCCCGTGCTCAAAGCTTAGCTTTTAGTGACCTCCATGCTGCCCGGTTAGCTTGCCGGCCTGTGCATTGACAGGCGAACAAGAAGCCGGTTTGGCCTCTGAATTGAGTGCAGCTCTGCCCAAGTGCTATTGGAAAACCCATTAGTTGGCAAAAGTTAAAGTCCTAACGCCCAAGCAAAACGCACCAAACGTTTGGTTGCTTCCCAATACCAGGAACTCCGATTCTGTCTAGTTCTTGTGCTGAAAGAGGGTCCCTGTTTTTGGCACCTCACTTTCAGACAAGCTCTTGATGAGGCAAGCAGACAACAGCTAAACAACAATGAAACAACTGTGTATAATATATCGTATCATATGCATATATATGTTGGTATATACTATTTCTATGTATATATATATAATATGCACAACATGGTTAATTTGATAGAGCAACAAACGAGTCCAGCCCCCACCCCTCCTGGTGCTGTCCAGGACAGCAAGGAAGACCTCAGTCGCGGTCTCAAGCGGGTCATGCTGCTAACCAGGCCACGTCCGGCGAGCGTAAAAGCTCGGAGGGAAAGGGAACATATATATATATATATATACAGACTACGGTTTGGGTGCAGCTTGTGGATCCACCCCTGTAGAATATCACAAGAGTACCAAAAGATTACTAGAAGAGGACCAAGAAGCTGAAGAAGTCATGAAATCCAACAAAATTTCCTCCAAACCGCTTTCTTGAACAAAGGCGGATTGTTCATTTGGAGGAGCAAGGTCACTTAGGAAGCTGAGCCCAAAGCCACTTCGAAAACAGGCCTGCAGTCTTTTCAAATTACGGCTTATTTGCTTGGCCACCTGGGTAACCACCAGGGGACCGTGCCGGTTTTAGTCCATTTGTCAGGGTTCCATTTGGAAGTTACTATTGTTTTACCCACATCCACCTTTTTCCTCCTGGTCAGGGAACTTCACGCCGGATCAGTGAGCTCGATAGAAATCGCCCAGATTCCTGTAGAAAAAAACTGGGCTACGGAGGTCTAGGGTTCATGGTTTCTTTGCTCATCTTTTTTGGGCAAGGGCAAGAATCTAAGATGGGCGCAGACATTGAACCAGAGGTTTTTCAACCCCCCGCCCCCGCTCAAACTATATCACAGGCAAAGCAGTCGCACCTATTATTGTCCTGTGATCATGACATAACTTGGCAAAATCGTGCCCCGTAACCCCGTTCCAATTATTTGGACACTTTTATCAAGGGTGCTCCGACCCCGGCCAGCTTTGTTTCAAGATCGGCTCCTGGCACAAGGAAACAAAAGCAGACCAACCATGTGTTGCACTTCTCGGCTCTGCTCGGAACAGCTCTGCGATTTCTGGGAGCCACAGTTTAGGGTCGTGAACAATTGCAATTACCCATCTCCCGCGGTTTCCCTTTGGAGAATTCAACATTTTCGTGGCTACCTGGTTGTGCTTGCTGAGCTGGGGGCAGTCTCCAAACCGTGAAACAACGAAGAAACCCAGCGCTGACACGTTCGGTTTTTGAGGTCACCTGTTTCGGGTGGCACATGGCAAAAAGGGCCCTTAATCCATTTCTGAGGTCCCCCCTTTTCTGGGCTGTCCAAAGAGATCCCCTAACAATGAAGAGCTTGCGGGTTAATCTGCGTAAAATCCCCAGCCACTAAACCAACTACAAAACCCCAAAAAAACTTTTCTGGAGCCGGACAATTCGCGGAAGCGCCTCGTATTTGATCGCCTGAGGAACCCTCCCGCCCCGACGCCCAACCGGACCGGCCGAGTCGGAACTCAGCTTCAGGCGGCTCAGCGCCCGGCTCCGCATCTGATACCGCGACACGGAGGTGGATCCGTCAGAAGTCCAGGCTTTGTTAATCTACCCCTGTTTATGCATATGAGTCACAATCAAAACCCGGAAAAAGGAGGAACTTGCCCTGGAAAAACCAGTTTTCAAAACATACCCCCCCCAAAAAAAAACAAACAAAACAAGCGGGTGTTTGAGTCATAATCAAAACCTGGTATTAAAATGGTCGTAATCCCAGAACCATGCTTCAAGAATTAAGAAGGCAGCTATTTGTGGCTGGGATTGTCCCTTACTAACCTTCATTTACCCGGGTTTTGGTTGTGGCTCAAATCAGGGATTTCAAAAGCTTAGCTTTGGGCAAGTGAGTGGCAAGTTCGTGAGCGGTTGGCCAATAATTGGGGCTTTCAACCGCCAATACCTGATGTTAACCCAACCCCACTGGACAGACGGGGGATGACGGGGGACTTGGAAGTGGGTTATAAGTTAAAACCTACACCAACAACGTACTAACTTGGCCGAACACCCAAGTAACGAGGACGGGCCAACCTCCTAATTAAGCAACCAGAGTACCGTTCTTCCGTTCAGTGGGACGCCTGAACTCATATCCGGAGAGAAAAAAAACAACGTTAGTCTACTGGCCCAACCATATAGCAGCCAAGGAATATAAGGGGCTGATTCAGTATTCCACATATTCATCCTTATGAACATGACTGATGGTTTCAAAGTGCCCTGCAACTTCATGCCTCCGGTGCTCAGACGCGTGGATTTTCATGGGAAGGAAGACCATCCCCTCGTTTGCGAGTTGACTTTACCGGAAAACCCATCCTCAACGAAAGGACTTTGTTTATGTTGCTTGGTTCAAGATATGTTTCAAACACCACCCATCGTAAGGCATCATTGAAAGCACGGTGAAGGATGGTGGTTTCAAGTTGCCAGATCTTCACTGGGTGGGAGGACAGAATCATTCCTTTTGAGTGTGCGTCTTTGAGGGCATTCTTTTCGCAGGTTGGTTTGAAGGAAACCCAACGTGAAACATGACTTCAGGGGGCCCTTTTGACACACACTCTTTTGCTGGTGGTCAAGTCTAACAGGTTACTCCCTCCCAAAATGAGCCCCGGTGGTTGCATCGTTCCGGAATCCAAGCCTGGCGCTGGGCCTATCGACCTCATAGCCTTCAGCTTTTGGGGAACAACAACACCAAACAAAACACCAGAAATTCACGATTTCCCCGTCCAAAAAGATCATGACATGAACAAACAACGAAATGCCCTTCAACTGGGCGGTTCAATACGGGGAAGGTGGGAGCAGTTTCTGCAACACATCCATATGCTTGAGCTATTGGATTCCGCTCTGTCAGCTCCTCAGCCTCCTTTTGGTTTCCTTTCAAACATGACGAACAAAGATCAGGGCTGGTAAGACATTCTGCCACCAACCTTGCCCTTCAATATTTGGTTGTGGCTCAAAATTCAAGAGCTAGGGTTCGCAGGCTTCAATCTTTGGTTCCATTTACCAAGGTGCCATTTCGGTACATGTATTTGAGCCACAGCCATGTCTTTAAACAGCTAAAAACCTCCTCCAGCCCCCCAGCCGAGTCTTTTGGCACACTTCTTGCTTGGCATTGACTAGGCGCTAACTGTTGGCTCCCTTGTCAACGATTTGCGCAAGCTGGCGCGCAGGGATGACCCAGACTGCTCTCCGTGCTTGCGACCAAACCCATCGCAGGCCCGTCGGGTGGCTCAAACAACATCTGCAAGAAACCTATATGAGTCTGTTTTTGTTTGTGGGTACCCGTTTTTTGGTGGTGTATAATAGGACACCACAAGGAGACCCGCCATGAATTTGTGTTTTTGTTGTTCGTTGTTTTTTGGGGGGGGAGGGTTCCATCAGACACAAAGCACCCATATGTTCACACCACTGTTGTCAAGCAACCTCCTGGCTGGGATTAACTCGCATTTGCCATTTCGTGCAGGAAAAACACGAGAAGATATGTCCACTAGTGAAATTGATTCGCTTTAACCAACAGGGGGAACAATATTCTGAACTTGCTGGACATGAACCTAGGGACTCCCTTAAAGGAAACCATAGGATGGATGCTTTTCTTGGAGGTCATCGGCCTTTTGGAAAAATACCTGGCCCTGGTAAACCGAAGAAACCCCATCTAAACCAGTGGAACCCATCTACTTTTAGTCAAACTAACCTTAAAAAGGACACCCACTGTGGATGGTTGCGAAATCCATTCGCACCACCTAAGAAAATCTTGGGAATGATGCGATTCCCCTGTAAATACCAACAAACGTTATGGTTTCAGCCATTGTTTCTTGGGTGGTGCAAGATTTCGCAACCATCCACAGCATGTCCCTGCTTGCTCGGCTTGGCAACCAAACCCAAGTCCTCGCGCCTACGGCGTCCGAAGCCAAGCCGGACGGATCGGGGGCTTCTGTGCCTAGCAGTGGGGCGCCTTGCCTGGGGCGGGAGGGCCTGGTGTGGGGCTTACTTGGGCTCCCTCCCCTCCTGCCCCAGAAATCTGGCAAAAGGAAACAGGGATCCGTGGCCAGACCCCATAGGAAAGATGGAATTTCAGGCTTTTGCACGTCTGAAAACATCAACCTTCGGGCTGAACTCGAGGTCGACATGAGTGGGACCCATGTCAGAAACCTCAGAGGGCCCAGAAGGGACCCACTCAGATCGTTTGATTTGTCCAAATCACTCTAAATTTTCTCTAAATCATTCCAAATCACTCCAAACCACTCTAAATCATTCCAAATCACTCCAAACCACTCTAAATCATTCTAAATCACTCTAAACCACTCCAAACCACTCCAAACCACTATTGCTATTACATCAGCCCATTGCGGAACGCTACGCGCTCTCTCCCCCCCCCCCACGCGCCTACCGGTTCAAAAGTAAGGGCACGGTTTCAGACTATTGCGGGGGTGGCCATGTACCACCCAGTGATTCCAAGACGTTCCCTTTTCATAGGATAAATCCTTTCTTCTGGGTGATGTGCGACACAGTTGCGAGAAAAGAAACACGTTGGGGTGTTCGATTCCCCCCGGTTCCGCTTTGGTTTTGGCTCGTTCAGATATGAACAAGTCTGCGCGCACAGACTCACACAGACACGCGGGAAGCTCGATCTCGCAAATGGCTTGAGGGAGCGTTCAAGCTTCAAACGGGCAAGCTAGATTGCCGAGCGCTTCACGGGAAAGCTTTCCCAAAACACAGTAGCCCATATTCTGCTCTCCGGATCTGTCTGTTCTCTTGCACTGGTTCTCATGCGCTGGTTCTCACACACTGATTCTTTGAGGGCTTTTGGAGGGCTTTGGCTTAGCCTTGTGACATGCAGCGAAACATATCAAACGACAGAAGAACTTGCAGTCGGTTTTTGAAACTGCGAGACTCCAAGTCAAACATCGATTGTTCGAAAGGCTCAACGACACTTCATCCAAGAATAGCCAATATTGGCGGCCAGGGACAATGCACGGCTTGACATCATACATGAATTGTGGGTCACCAACGTCTGGTCACCAGCTTCGTTCAGTCGGTGCCAGCAATTCGGTCACCGAGCTGTTCCTCTTTTGGCATTGGATATGTGCCTCTATGTAATGGCTGTATATGCCATTACTTCTGGGGTGGTTTGGAGATAGTGAAACCATCTTGGCCCCAAGGAACACTTGAAACCCACCGCAGCAAGCAAACCCTATATGTGCCGTGGTCAGGACATATATGGTTGAGAGTGAGTTCCTTTTTGGCGGTGCTGACACCATCAGCTTCCCTTCAACTAAGTTCGCCCTCCCAGTGATTCCATTTCAACCTGGTTTTGTAGGTCACCCTGCGGGAGCCGCCCTATATAAATTCCAAGAGGAAACTTGTACGGCTACCTAGTATCTTTCGGGGCTTGCCCCGGGATCCATTGGGCAAAAGGTGATCATCTTCCCTTTCAAATTTGTGTATCGTTTCTACGGCCCCTCACTCGATGCGAAATGGCTTTCCTATGGCTCCAGTCAACGGCTGAATGCAGGACCAATGTATTTGGGCAATGCAAAGCGCGACCTCAAGCAATCACCGCGACCGGCTCACATATGTTTGATTGGTCATTGATCATCAATCACCCCGAACTTGAAGGGAAAGAGTCACGGCTGCCATGGTCAACACACACCCCAGACTTTGCGTGGGCATTTCCAAGGTATGTCTTTTGGATGTGTTAGACTCTTATGTACCGCCAGCATGATAAGCTTGTAATGAAGCATATACCCCCCATATAAGCGGAATGGTAAGGACGGTTATGGATAATCCTTGAAAAGAAGACCAAGGAAAAAACAAAAACAAACACAACAATCTACAACTGAAAAACAATCAACACACATAGAGCTGGAACTTGAGGAATAACCAAGGACAAATGGATAAATTACATATCCTGAGGCGATGTAAAGCCTGCCTGTGCCCGTCTGACGGTAGCTAACTAGGTCCTCCAGTAGAGAGGTTGGAATAAGGGTACCTTCTTTTCTGTAGTCTATCTTAGTGGGGGAACCCTCTCCCAAAAACGGGTAGAAGGGTGGGGGACCTAGCTAACCTCCCCGGCCGAATTGAATGCCAGCCTTCCGCGGCCAGAGGGGAGACCGCGTCGACACCTGGAGGCCACGGTGTCTGGCAATGTTGGCCCCATACTGTGGATGGACAGAATCCATTTCGCACCACGATGAAACCATACCATTGTTTGTTGGCATTTTCAGGAGAATCATCTTTTCAGGGTTTGTTAGGTGGTGCAGGATTTAGTCCATCCACAGTATTCATCCACAAGCCAGTCTATATTAATAGGAGGGTGCTTCTCTCTGGGTTTAGTGGTCCACTTCTGGAGGGGTCAAAAAGAAAACTATCAATAAACTGGTTGGTTGATTAATAGGGGTCAACATTAAAGCTCGAAGCCTCTTCCCTTGGAAAACTCAACTGAGTCAAAATCAACACCTGGTATTCAATTGCTCTACCCAGAACCATGTAAACAATTCAAAAGGTGGCTGCGCCTATTTATGGTTGGGACAATCCTGTACGAACCTTAGTCTACTGGGTTTTGATTGTGGCTCACCTTACTTAGTAGCTATATAAGTCCCATACCTCTAAGTATGCGTGCTATGGCCTTTCTCGACTGATCCAAACTCATATTGGCAGTCCATGCCCCAAGAAGACTTGGAGAGGCCTGAAAAAGGCTCCAATGACTCAGCACGGTTGGCAGAAGAGATCAACTTGTTTACCTCCTCTGTGAAAATAATATTGAACCCGCCACCCCCAAGTCAACTGTCGAAACTCTCCAAAGATGCGTCTGGTTTTGACCGTATCCTTCTCAAGCTGATGTAATGAATCGAACACCAAGTCTACTCCGTACCAGAACCACTTTCACGAAGGAAGGCATCTAGAGGCCCAGTTCCCAGTACAAAAAAAGGAACCCTTTTGGGGGTTGACCAATGGACTGGTTTTGATCAAACCCCAACATCTCATCCAGTTAGACAGGTCTCAGAGCGGGCTGCTACCAAGGTGGGAAGGAGCCCGGCAGGCAAAGCAGTGTAAAAGATCCTTTCGAGGAATGGAGCTGTTGTTCTTCGGTCACCCTATATAGTTCTTGATAAACCCTTGGGTGTGTATATCTATCTGTGGACGAAGATTTATGTGTGGAACCTATCCTGAGTGCTTCAGGCCAAGCAAAAAGGCCAAAGGAAATGGCTCACCGCCGAGTTCAGCCGGGGCCCTGTGTGCGCTGTGTGTCTATTGCACATAAGGTTGGTTTATATAATGGGCAACCAGAAGGAAAGCCAGAAAGTTGGAGTGTCCCCTCCCCCTCTTTGCAACACATAGGGTGTTTCTCAAATTTGGGGACCCATGGCAGGTGCTTTCCTTTTGGTTTCCCTGACAAAATATCCAAAAAGGGGTTCCCTATTTTGAGACACAACCACACTCCCAAGTAAAGCGATTCAAACGTTGGGGCCAGTCACCCTGCTCTATTCCCCGCGCCTATAGCCTCTGCCTGCTCGGCCGTCTCTGCAATCAATTCCTCTTCGGCAGCCTGCGCTTCGCCTGCCAAAGCAAATCGCGCGACAACGCCCTCGTACTTGGCTCAGCGGTTAGTATCCCTGGTTATAAAGCTTCAGCCAAGATGGTTCATTGACCATAGGCTTAAAGAAAAAGCATCATGCCCCGAAACCAACATCCAACTACCACGATCATAAGCCCACCAACCGGATGGTCAGGTCAAACCATTTGGCCAGGCCAAGTTCAGCATCAAAGTTCGGGACTTCAGTGAGTCACGGTCAAAAGATTACTTGCTCCGACAGGCCATAGTGAAAAATTGCGATTGCCCTGGTTTGTGTGAGACATGTCCCGCGCAAATACGCCAAAAACCACCAAACCCTACTGGTGAAGGACCGTCCTTATGTAACGGGACTATACCCAGATACATCTTATCTCGGTTGCTTTTTGCTGCCCTGCTAAAAGTGACTAACCTGTAGTGATCTTTGGTGGTTTATTGGGAAAACAAAACAATTAGTTGGCAAAAAGTTGAAGTCCTGACATCCAAGCAACATGCACCTAACCCTGGAATGCTTCGGCTCCCCAACGTAAATACCAATCGTTGTGGTTTTAAACATGGTTTCATTTCGTGGTGCGACTTGGATCTTGTCCATCGGCAAAATGCGCCAAGGTGATGACACCCTCATCTTCTTGGGCCTCCCCAACCAGACCGTTCCGAGGAAGACTTAAAAAACTCGGTTGCTGTTGACCCCCCTGCAAAAAGTTTATCTTTTTGGGGGTTTAGTGGAAAACACCTTTATTTCCCAAAAAGTTCATGTCTAAAGATCCAACCCAATAGCGGTCAAGAAGATGACCTAGACACTGGAAGTGTGTAGCAGTAGGAGCCGGTTTAATCGACCTGGCTGTGGTTGTCAAAACCGTTTGGGGATGCCATTTTGGGGGTTTTCGGTGTACCACCCATTTTAGAACCATCTTTTTAGCGGGGATTTGGATGTTCGCTGGTACGGGATTTCGACCCATGGCCGCCTAGACTCCCTTCTGGATGGTTTGCAATTCTGGCCTCTGAAACCAAACCAAAGCAATTGGTTCTTGTATCAAGGGCAAGCTCCGGTTCCCTCAGAGGGATTCCTTCGGCAAGTGGGGGGTTGCAAAGCAAAGCAAGTAATGTTGACCACGGATTCATCAACCCCTGTCTATTCATATGGATCCAAAAGTGATAAATCCCCACTAAAACCAGGAAAAAACACCCCCATATGAATAAACAGGGGTCTATGAATCAAGTACCCAGACTCTCCATGACCCTTAACAAATAGGATCATTGCCCCAAAATTAAGGGCTCACGACCCCCTTTTTCGGGGGTCAGAAGGAGACTCTAGGTACCCTGCCAGCATGGTTTGGTGAGGCCCCTTGTGGAAGACGCCGGCCGCGCCCGTCGAACTTCCTTTGAAGGAGAGCTGTACCACCTGGATTGGCTCACTTCCCATCGAGTGGATGACTTCACCCTGCAAACAAGGAAGAAACAAAACACGTGTTTTCGTGTTGAAAGGGACTACGCCGGGGAAAAATACGACTCCTACTACTACTACTACTGCTACTACTGCTGCTAGTAGTAGTAGTACTACTACTACTACTAATAATAATAATCATAATAATAATAATAAAGAAGAAAAACAAAAAGTCATATTCAAGCGATTCGCAAGTCTGGGGCTGGAGTCCGTCCGCGCCTTCAAAGGGTGCCAGCAGCTCGGCGGCCTCCAGCAGCTGCTGCATGGGCCGGCTGCACAGCTCCTGGCTCCAATCCATTCGCAGGGTGAAGGAAGTGATCTGACCAAGAGGAAAATGGGGGGCCCCCCGTTTGAACATGGTTAAAGCACCAACTGTTTAGCCGACCTCCTTTGCTGTCCCTTCCAAAGGGCCCCCACAATTTTGGCTTGAACCGTTCTAGTGGAAAATGGGGTGAATTACTCCTGGTGGTGATGTAAGGGGAGATAAAGGGAACCCTGTAGCACAGCCAAGGAATCGATCCATTTCGCAGGGTGAGTGAAGTACTGGACATGGAGTCTCCTTCACCAAGAAGAACATCGGGGGGGGGGGGGGGTTGCCCAGTTTTGCGGGGTGATCGGAGATCCGCCTCGTAGGGTCCTGGAGACAAGATCAATTCAAAGGCTTTGACTTTGGTGAACTCATTCCCACGAGCCCCCCAAACTCACCTTAAGGTTAACAAACTTTAGGCCACCCCCCCCCCAACAAAAACAAATACATAAATCAACAAAAAGAAAAGATACAAAGAACCAAACCGAAGCAAAGCAATCAAACTCATGTGGTGCAAATGGAATCTTGAGAAAGGGGCTATGACCCCAACATTGATTGGTTAAATATGACCCGTGTTTCAAGGGTCGGAAAAAAAACATCAAGACCAAGTATCTCTTAGTTGCCCAGTTGCCTTTGGATTCCTGGGGAAATTAAAAAACACACACAAACACTTCCGGGGAACATGGCACGGGCTTGGATCTGCATCTTGGGTGTGGACCCCCGAAAAGGAACCTGGCTTGAGGTCCCAAGATCTCTCACTTCCTGAGTTGTTTTTGGCCAACACAAAGCCCTGGATACGGTTTTCAGTTTGTTTAATCATTGCTTATTTATGTATATATATATATATTTACCACGAAAATGGTCCGTTCATTCTTTTAATCTTTTTTTTGTTGGCCTCTAAAATGGCCCAAGCCCAAAAGGTTTAAAGCCGGGAGCTCGGGAAGTGAGAGATGCTGCTGGAACCAAACTATGAGACTTTTCAATGGGCATGAGACAAGAGGTACCCCTCACTTCCGTGGATTGCCTGTGAAAAAGTCACCAACCCTTCTATGATTGCCCAAGAAAAGTCACCAACCTTCCCCCCCTCACATCCCCTCACTTCCGTGGATTACCCCTCACTTCCGTGGATTGCCCCTCACTCAAGGTACCCCTCACTAGAAGAAGCCCTCAACAAGTGACGGCCCAGTCCGAGTTCGGTCAATCTCAGGGACTGAGACCTTCCTTCTCCCGAATTTCTTGGTGCCATGGACACGAGTATATGTTGCAGCCAAGAACCCTAAACCACCACCCTAAAAGAAGGTCGCAAAATAGACCCTAAGTGTCCACCATACCCTCCGATTCAAACAAAAAAACACTCCCTAGGTCCGCCAGTAGAGAGGTTAGAATAAGGGTACCCACCTTTTTTTTTCTGTAGTCGATTTTAATACCTCCGACCCAAAAAAAGTCGGGTTAAAAAGGGCACCAACTGCTGGGGGACCTAGCCAGGTAAACGGACAATTAAGTTTCCTCTTGGAAGAAAATATCGGGCGGGTCCAGGGTGACCTACAAAACCAGGTTGAAATGGAATCACTGGCTTCCAACCAAAAACACTCGCGTCATTCCGCGGAGTCCCGGAGGTGCGAGTCGGTCGATCGCCGGAGGTGGATCGCCTCATGGGCTTCCACTGCGTCCAGCTCCGCGGGGATCTCCACACCGCAGCGCCAGCACCTGGCGCTGCTGGGAGGGGTGGGGGGTGGGAGGGGTGGGGTGGGGGTGGAGAGGGGTTGGGGGGGAGAGCGAGCATCGGTTTTCTGCACATGAGAAACTGGAGAAACAAGCTCATCCAACTTCTTGCCCGAAAAGCCAACATCGATTTCTTTTAGGAAGCAAATGTGCTTGAGCTTGAGCTTGGCGCGGAAAAGGGCAGGATGTTGCGGGATTGCAATCAGATCCCCAGCCCCAAGCCGGAATTGGTGAACCACACAAGCACTCTGGAGTCTAAGCAGGGCGTATTGCACGTCCAACATCACACACAAACCCTGGATTTCTTTGGCCGGCTGTTGAAAGACATCTGGGTGTGTCTTTTTTGAGGGCCCCCCAAAATGGTGGCATTTCCTTGTGGATTTCCTTTAAAACCAACGAAAGTGTATATCAAAAGGATTTATGAGGCCGTATAGGGAAGACATTGGAGTGGTGTTGGGGTGTATGGTCAAATCCTTTGAGAAACATGACGGGAAAAAGACAAGCAGACAGTCAAATCGCTAAACCCAGTCTGTAAATGTGAAGATGGTTGTGGTGGTTCATCTACCTCGAGTTTACTGCCCCGAAACAAAATAAAGGACACATTTGGGGTCCTTTGCGTAAATAAACGGAAGTCTTGGCAAAGGTCTGAAGGTAGAGCGCCACAAAGCACCTGCTCTAGTCGGGTGTACAAGTCAGCTGGCAAATGTGATCTGTTCACTGGAAGTGTACCATAGGGCTTAGGGACCGTGACATAGAAGTGGCTCGAGTTGTTGAAGGGAAACCAAGAGGAAAACGACCATTGTGAGGGGTCCCCCCAACAAAGTACCCCATCTCTTGGTCGTTTTTAAGGGACACCACCCCTTCTCTTGGTCATTTTTAAGGGAAACCAAGAGGAAAACCACCATTCTGTGGGTGGACAAAATTCTGCACCATTTAACACCATGGTTGAAACCGGAACGTTTGTTGGTTTTCACAGGAGAATCATCAGAAGCCAGGGTTTCTGAACAGTGGTGCGAAATGGATTTCGCAACCATCCACAGTGGTTTAATGGTTTAATGTTTAATGGAGATTGGCAAAAAGTTAAAGTCCTAACAGCAACATGCACCAAAGTTCAAAAAAAAAAAGAAGCACCCCACAACAGGGCCCACCGTGTTGAGAAACCCCCATTCAAGTTGATCGTGGGACTGCAAGATGGGCCAAAAAAAAGGGCTCGCCCAGAAGTTCGTCATGTTTTCCGGTTCCGTTTCTGGGGGGCTCAGTGGGTGTTCCCCGCCTCCCCATGATGCCGCTGGTGGCACGGAGCCTGTCGGCTCGCTCTTTGGCCGATGTTCTGGGGGCAGGTGGTGCTTAGATTCGGGAGGTACCTGGAGGCTCCTTCTGAACCTTCAACAAGTTCTAGGGGTTGATTCCTTGTCCATTATTTTCATCCATCGTTCTGACTTTTTTCGCCTGGAAAAGAAGGATTCCTGAACAAATGAGGAAGTGTCCCCTTTTAAAAAGTACCCAAACTTGATATTCACCACTATGAGACCTCCAACAAAGTACCTAGACTCTCCTTCTGACCCTTTAAACATGGTTGGTCGTGACCCCATTCTTTTGGGTAATGACCACATATTCTTAAAGGGTCATGGAGACTCCGGAGGGTGGATGCCCCAAAATGTGCCGGGACTCAAGTGCATAGTACCGCTGAAAAATGCCACTGGGGGACTTACACTAGGTCTTTTAGTAGAGCGGTTGGAAGAACAGGGGTCCCTATATTTCCCTTTTTGGCGGTTTTAAACATCACTTTTTGGTCCATAAAAGGTGAGTAGCCCTTGGTGGGGGTGATGTTTTAAGGGGAAATATCGGGAGCCCTGAAGAAGGGTACCCACTTTTTCGGTTTTGTCGATTTTAGTAGGGTTCGGAACCGAATCTCCCAACCGAAAAAGGGGTCAAAAAGGGCACCTAGCTGGGGGACCTTGTGCAACCAAGTTCTTTGTGTGTGGGGGCCGAGGTCGCCTTTGAGCGAACACAAACCATAAGGGCCCCACATTGCGAGCGCGCAAGTGGCTCACCACATGACTTCCAATCATGGCCTTGGCGGGTTCTCGAACCGCTAAAGCCACAGACCATATATCGGTAGGTGGAACCACACAAAGGCTATACCCCAGTGATATTGTCTGTTGCTCCTGTACTTGTAAGTTGTTTTTAACCTAGGTTACAGTCTAGGTAAAGTCTCCAGGAATTCAGGAAGTAACTCTTCTTCTGGTCCCAAGGCCATTCCTTTCCTGCGGGTTGAAGCCAAGGGTTTGAGTAAAACCTGGGACGGGACTCCGCCGCTCTGATCTCGCCTTCGCCTCTCCTTCTCCTCTTCTGCAATTGGCTCGTCTGCGACTGAGCGCGGGCATACTCAAGCGCCAGGGGGGGGCGGGTTCTGGATAATTACCTTTGGGTGAACTACAACAAGGACCAACTGGAGGTTTTTGCGAGCGACTTGTGCATTTCCGGTTGTTTCAAATGGAAGCCAACTGGAAACCCATTTGTTGGGCTCGCCCATGTCCGGGGTTTGCGAAACCCATTTGAGCAACTCGATGTTGCTCCAAAGGACTTCCAGAGATCGACGTTCTGAAGTCGCGTTTCCCCAATCATTTTGGGGCCGCCCGGTGACAAACCCATGGGCTTGTTGCCCCAAAGCGGGTCCCGACTCACATGGCCGACTCATATGCCCCAAAACGTGGCCTTCCACCCCAATTTTCTGGGGAGTCTCAGATCTCAGATGCCCAGTGCATTTCCATGCGGAAACAACGGGCATCCAATATTTCGGTTGGTTGACTTGAAAGGGGAACCCAAAACCCGAAAAATAGTCGAAAACAGGAACCCAACCCCCCGCCCAAAACCCGAAAAAAGTAGGGGAACCCACCCCCCTCCCCCTCCCCCCCCCCCAAAAAAAAACTATAAAAAAAGTCGGGGAAAAAAGTCGGGAAAAAAAGAGAGGGAAAAAAAGAGAGGGAAAAAAAAGTGAGGGAAACAAAAAAGAATACGACAACAATGACAAGAAGCCACCCGCTGGGGCAACTCCGCGCCTCTCCGGTCCTCCGGCTCCTGGACAGCACCGCACGGGGCTTTCCGGGGCCGGGGGCGTGCAAGCGGCGGTTCAACAGGGGTCCCACTTCCCAGGCAACCAAAAAAACAGCTACCAACTTAGGTTGTTGTTTTCTCTTTTCCGGATAAACTTAGTTGTTGTGGTTTGTTTTTTTTGTTTGTGCGGATGGAAAATGGCCACTAAACCCCAAAAAGTGACGATGAAGTGATGCTAGTTGTTTTTTTGGTTTGCGGATAAAAAAATGGCCACCAACCCCCAGAAAGTGAGGATGAAGTACAGGAACGGGAGTGAGGACTCGTTCCTTTTTTTGCCGCTGCCATCCAGTACTTAAAACTAGGTGCTCCAGTAGAGAGGTTAGAATAAGGGCACCAACTTTTTTTTGTAACCCTCCCAACCAAAAAAGGGGAGAGAAGGGCACCTAGCTGGGGGACCTATGATCTCACTCACTATATGGCAGTGGGTCAAAAATCAGAATCTCACAAAATGGCACCCTGACCCTGGTAAATGGAACCAATGACTAAAACCTGTGGTCCATGTCCGGGTGGCTTGATTGTGACCCACACCCATATATCAGCCGCTTGAGAGGCCAAAACTCGACCAGGAATCCGACACCTTTTGCTTCTCGGTCATTGAGCCGCGGGCAAACTTGGCGAAAGGATCCAGTGTTGACACGGTTTCAACTACCCCCCAAAGCACCCCCAAAAGTTTTAAGAGATATACAGCCAATATATAGATATACATCTATGGTCACCATTTTGTACATGTTGAAGGGGAAAGGTAGGCCCCTTGGATGGATTTCAGAGGAGCAGACTTCTTGAGCGACAGGAGCAGACTACAAGCATCCTGAGACCTCAGAAAGGCCCTTGATGAAGCCCAACACCAAGCAACTTGCTCAGGGAATAAAAACGAATTAATCAACCCGCCTAGGGGAGTGTTCCACCCTGATCACAATCAACCGGCTTTCTTAATCCGGGATGCCCACAGGATAGGGGGAAACATTGATTGGCCCCTTTGGCCATAAAATGCAAACCGGGGAGGGGGAGGCTCCGGCTTTTGGGTGTTTTGTGTGGCTTGTCTCATCTGGGGTTAGCATATGGGTGCTTCTTTGTTAGGGTAACCCCCCCCCTTTTAAACACAAACAGACAACAAAACAACAACATGGCTTTCCTTGTGGCTTCAATTTTCGAGCCACACAAAAATCCATTTCGCACCACCGAAATCTGAATCCCGACGGAATGCCCCCACGTAAATGCCAAGAAACGTTGTGGCTTCAACCCTGGATTCATTTCGTGGTGCGGTTTCGGGATTTCGTTCATCCACAGTATCATCTTACCCCCCACTCCAAAATACTCCAAATACTTTTTGCTCGGGCATTTGTTTGGGGGAAACCTGGTTGTCCAATGTAATAACTACATCCTCTCTTTAGGTCAGGCTGTTGTGTAGCGTATTTTTGGAGGGACACCTGGTTGTCCATTCTCAAAAAATACCTCCTATGGTCGGGTCAAGGCATGACCTGACCAGTTGCCGGGCATCCTCCTCCTTCTCGCTCTTCAGCAGCTTTGTGGCTTTCGACGCCAACAGCTCTGAGGCGCTGAGCAGCGAGGTGTAGGCGGAGCTGAAGGTGCCTGGCGTCGGGTCGGTTTGGGTTCTCCGCCCCCCCCCCCCCGTTTCGGGGATGTCCGTTGCCAACTAGGGTCCCACTTGCCCAAAGGACCCAAACATAAAAGGTTAACCTTTTGGAGCCATGACAAAACATGGACCAAAACTGGAAAACCAAAAGGCTAAAAGGTCGGCTTTGGGCAACTGAGTATAACCATGGGGATACGTGCATAACTATGGTTATAAGAGGGACCAACCCCAGCTAAGGCAAGTAGGGTATAACTGTATATCCTCGATTGCTTTCTGCTCCTCTGCTAAAAGTGACTAAGTTTTAGTGGCTTAATGGAAATCCCATTAGCTGGCAACAAGTTAAAGTCCTAACATCCAAGCAAAATGCACCAAAGGTTTTTTGGATGTCCGTTGCCAACGTGAGGCAAGTAGGGTAGAACTTGTTTATGGTGAAAAGGGGACCAACCCCAGCTGGATAAGGCAAGTTGGGTATAACTGTATATCCTCGGTTGCTTTCGGCTCGCCGGCTAAAAGTGACTAACTTTTAGTGGTTTAATACGGAAAGCCCAATAGTGAACAAACAGTTGAAGTCCTAACATCCCTTGGCAAAATGCACCAAAGGCATAACCATGGTTATAAGGGGACCAACCCCAGCTGCCTAAGAAAAAAGAAACTAAAAAAAGGGCCAGACTGATCCGAGCCTTTAAGGTGTTTACAGTTGGGTTTTTGGGGAAACACCCGGCTGCTCCATACTTTCACAACCATCCACAGATCCGAAAGTGGAGGGACGTCGTCATTTCCCCTTGTGTTTATGGAGAGGAAATGGGAACGGTTGACACCTTTCTTGTTCTGGCAGCAAGTGCAGCATAGATTGACCGTTTGACCTCTTTTTGTTGGGGCGTGGGCAAGAGGGGTTTCTCAAAAAGGATAGCCACGCTTGGTTCCCCAGAGCCCCAATCCTTGCGACCGGGTCTTCATCAACCCAAGGCTAGGGGAGAAGCCGCAATTAACACTCTCATAAGGTCTTTGGGATTTTTTGAGACCTCGTAGCCTTTGAGAGCTGTGGCTACCTAGAGAATCCATGACCCGGTCATGACCCCTTTCTTTGGGTATATACTGACCCCATGCTTAAAGGGCCATGGACACTCTACCTGGAGTTTAGGTAGAGTCTCCGTGACTCATGACCCCATTATTTTGGGTAATGACCTCGGGGGTCATGGAGACTCCAGGTAGGTATAAGAGAAATGTGTGTTCAGTGCAATCAAAGACCGCCTCTGCAGAGATTAACAAAGACACATCTTGAATGTCGACCAGGCACAAGCTCTGGCCACGACATATTCACTGTGCGCCAACTGGGTTTCTGGGGACCTAGTTGGAGGGTTTCAATTTGCCCAAGTGACCCCCTCCCCTCATGTGGCTAGTGGCCATGCTCTTATCATGCTTTGGATGGTTCCGAAAATCGACCCCGGATGAATAAACCCTCCAAAGGTGATGAATCCCCACTAAAACCAGGGACACCCCCTTATTAATAAACCGGGGTTTATTAATCCGGGGTCAACATTACCATCGCTTGTTGGTATTCGCAGTGGGGGAATCGAATCAATCCGTTGGGTTTCTGATTTCGGTGGTGCGAAATGGATTTCACAGCCATCCACCGGATGTTTCCCTAAGCCTTTAGTTTGGAGGAGCCACTGCTACCAAGGAAGCATTAGCCTTGGTTGACGGCCACTGGACACACCCCAGCAAGAAAGCAACCGGCCATGAACCTGCCACCTGACCGCCCCAAAAACGAGAAGTTGATCAACTCCCGTTGTCTGATCCGCAAGCTTGACTCCTGGGTGAAAATTGTTAAACCCACCCACCGGAGAAAAAAAAACGCTGAAGGAGCCTTCGGAACCGGATTTACTGGGAACCACCAAACATTTAAATCTAGGAAACGGTTTGGAGGCGGTTTTTGTGGATCCACCCTGGTAGGGTGGCAAAAGAGTACTAAAAGAGTATTAAAAGAGGAACAACTCGCCAAACAACATGGGGACACCACAGAAAGCGCATCCAAACCGTTTCCTAGATTAAAGGGAAACGCTTCCCCCCCCCCCCCGAACAAATAAGCTCAGGTGATATCCCCAACAGCATGCGGAACCCTGGTGGAACCCTCGTAGAACCTTACCTCAGGGCCGCCCCGGACCACCCCGGAGCCTATCTGGGCTGAGAATCCAAAGCTTTCAGCTGTTGGGGAAAAAAAACAAAAAGGAGTGCTGCCAGGAACCACGGCCAATGAAACAGAACGTGGAGGCCACCAATGCCGTGTAAGAAGTCCCTTACTATATAACCTCCACTTACCATTCAATACTTGAAACTGGACAGTCTGACCCATTGAGTGGGACATATATTCCTAGAGTCTCCTTCTGACCCTTTAAAAAAGGTTGCCCGTTTGACCCCTTTATTTTGGGTAATGACCAAGTCACTTTTGATTCGGGTCAGAAGGAGAGTCTAGGGACATATCTTCTCCTTGTTCATTCCCGAAAAGATTCAAGGGCCGTTTGATCAATCCCAGAAGCCCTTACCCCCAGTGAACATCCCAATTACCACTAAAAGAGACTAAAATGGGTGGTGCACCTACCCCAAAATGGTGCCATTGGTTTTGACCCACAGTCATATCCGGAAAAAAAACAAAAACTTTGAGTCAAAGGGCCTTTGGGCCAGCTCCCTCACCAGCCCCCGTATCCCACAAGAGTGTACCTGGAGTCTCCGAATCTGACCCGAATCAAAAATGGGTCCACCCCAGTTTGGGCTCATGGACCAACCATGTTTGATTCGGGTCAGATTCGGAGACTCCAGGGAAATTCAAAAGCGCTGACTCTCCGCGCTTGGCCAACAAAAAAACGCAAGCGCCGAAAACGCAGAAAACGCCGAGAAAAGACTCCAGCCCCAAGTCCCTGCCTGCGGAGGCCTCCGCCTCTAGCCAGTCACTGTGATGCGTGCCCCTTTTTTGGGGTGTCTCACTTCCGAACCAGTGGATTGGCAAACGCAAACCAACCAAACTCCTTGTTTGTCTGCCAATTTATATACCACCAAATGGACAAAATGCAACAACAAGTGGCTGGATCAAACAAACAACAAACAATTGGCTGGACTAAACAGCAACAACCACCAAACTTATTATTTGTATACAATGGTTTTCCCGAACCCACACGTTGTTCAAGTCCAGGAACTCAGAAGCGAGCTTGAATTCTCTGGCACGCCTGTGCCACAGCGTCTGACTGCTTGGATGTCCGTTGCCAACGTGCGCTACGTAGGTTTTTGCTTGACCATGCTGAAACAAGTTTGGGGAACCGGGGTTGGTCCCCTTAGAACCATGGTGATATGACCTACTTGCCTCACGTTGACAAGGGACATCCAAGAGCGGCTTGCACTGCCTCATCAGCGTTCCCCTGGGGGCTTTCGGGCCGGGCGTTGGCTGGCTTACCCGGGTGCGAAGCAAAGGACGCCAAGGGGTGCTCTTCTGAAAGTTTGCATGAAACCTACCCACAGGAGGCTCGTTTTGGGAATCCAGTTTTGGGGTTTTACGTTGACCTTCCGTGGAGTATACTTGCCTTTTCAGACTCAGCGGGGTGCCATTGGTTGGACTGTCCAAACCAACAGAAAGCCAGACTCAATGCACATTTCACATGGCTCGATGGCCAATTGCCCCTTGCTGTTGCAAAAGTCATGCCCTCCGGTCCACAACATGGATTCCACCAGAAAATCCCTTTCCAAAAAAGAAAGGTCTGCCCCCCCCCCCCCCCAAACCGCCTCAGTCAGGTGCCATGTTAGTGGGCAGGAGGCTAAACGGAGCTCAACGGCGCCGTTCAAAGGCCCCGAACCTCTTCAAGATCCCAGGCTGGGAATGTTCTTAGACTCTCCTTCTGACCCTTAAAAAATGGGCTCAAAGAGCCAAAAGAAAGGGGTCAAATGGGCCCATTTTCAAAGGGATCATGGAGACCCTAGGTAGCTTTAGAGGAAACACACCAAAGGTCTAACTCCATATTTATGGCCCCTGCGTGTTAGGCCTGACGAGGGTTGTCTCAAAGTAATGGTCCCCTAGACTTGGCTGGTCTAAACCTGGCAACCAAAAGGCGGCCACCATTTGGAGACCTCAAAAAACAGAAGCCAAGAACTTCCCCCCCCCCAAAAAAAAGAGGCCCAGAACTTCCACGAGCGATTCCACTGAGCTGCATTTCGTTTCCGAGGGCTCGGCCCGCTTCTCTTCAGGTGGCACTTCGGCGGTCTCCTGCAGCGATGATCCCCGATTCCAACTGCCCGTCCACCCCAACCCCCGCAACACCCCCAACCTCCAACTCCACACCCCAAGTCCCCATCCACTCAACCCCTTCCAACTGCCCATGCACCCCAACCCCCCAACCCCACTCCAGCCACTCAACCCGCTGCAGCCCGGTCTCAGGCACCCTTCTATGTGGAGTCTGGCACAAGCCCGCTCACTAGGCTTCGCCCTGGGAAGCTCACCCCATGTTTAATTTTCAAAGGGACCCCGCGAACGCCAGGTTCCATGTGAATCGGTGGGAGGGTACGATCCTACTCTTGGAGTGGATGCGACCGGTTGATGTCACACATCAATAACCTCACAACAGTCATGAGGAGCTTTCAATCACAGGGCCGCTTTTTACTTTTGGGGAGGTCGCCATGCTTGAAATGCCCTGTCGGGTGGTTGCGCTTGGCGGGGGGGGGGGGGGCCATCTTTTGGGCGGATCCTTGGGTTCTTGTTCACAAAGCGAAGCCGGCCCATTTAAGTTGGGAATGGCTGGTTCGCCCCCAGAAGCCCCAAAAAACACTCTCCAGGCACTCCTACAGTTGTCAGCCACCCAAACTGAAATGGTGATGATGGCAACCAGCCAAAGGAAACTTATCAGTGTTGGTTTCTTGATGTGCTCTTTTGTTTGCACCAAACCGGGCTTTCCCTTGCAAATCACGCCGGAGCCCTTCCCCACCGCCCCCTTTGCGCCTTCTCCTGCGCGTCCGATTTGGGGCTCAAATACCCAGCCGCCCGCTCCGCCAAGTTTTCGGCCCAGCTGCTGTCCTGAGAAACGCTCACAACCCACCATTTTAGGCGTCCCAAACAGCCACAAAGCTGGTATATCTTAGGTATCCTGATAAAAGTATGCGAGTTCAAGCCCAGGCATGGGTGTCCTTTGAACCCAAGCATAGGTGTCCTGTTGGTAAAATAGATGGGGGTGTCCCTGCTCTATGATTCACAAAACAAGTCTAAACCAGTCAAACCCATAACATTGCTTTGCCCAAACCAACCAATCAAAAGGAAACCTATGATCGCAGGCAGAGATCTCTCAATCCAATGGGACAATGGGACAGGAGATCATGTCCCTTCCCAGCCTGGAACTGATCCCACACTTGGCATACTAAGACTTTAAACATGGGGTCATTACCCAAAATAATAGGGTCAGGGACCCATTCTAAAACGTCATGGAGACTCCAGGCGGGGCAACTCGTCCTTGCGTTTGCCCACCGGTGAACCTCGCCAATAGAAGCCTTTCCAATGCCCGATTCTTCCTTTAAAGGGGACGGTTCCAAGGCTGAAAGGTGAATGACCCGCCCTATTTTTGGTTGCGGATGTGAACCAACTCTCGACCTCCATTTACTGAAGTCCCCAGGAAGACAACAAAAACACATATTTGCGGTAGTGATAGACTTCTAAAAAGGGAAATCGAAAACATATCCTCAGGCAAATGGAAGTCAACCACAAAACCGAAGTTTCCTGGGTTCCTTACTTGCAATACGGCACGGGCATCCACCTGTTGCACTTAGACAGTCTGGGAGTCTAGTCACCCCAACCCGCTTAGGATGGTGACCGGATGGTGGAAAGCCCCCTATGACTATCTAAGCAGTGCTTGAGAAAAAGATATGGGTCTGTCTTCTTGTTGAAGGTACTCCTTTTTTGGTGGGTTTTGAAGGGAAACTACAAGGACAACCATCGTGTTGGGGGGGTTCCCTAAAAAAGACACACCCATATCCTTCTTTTGTAGTCTGTGAAAACTTCATCTACAATTTGTTGGGAAGGATACGGCCTTGTTAAGGGCTTGAGGGCTTGTTTGGCCCCCCCCCCCCCACCCATCTCCTGTGCGAAAAGACACGCGGATCTTAGCCAAGGGAAGAAACGCCCAGGTAGTATCCCAAACGCCCGGGAAAGCACAAAAAACAAGCATGCCGCACCTCGTTTGCTTTCTGCTCCCCTGCTAAAAGTGACTAACTTTTAGTTTCAATACGGAAAACCCCTCTTAGCTGGCAAAAAGCTAAAGTCCTAACATCCCTTGGCAAAATGCTCCAAAATGCTTTAAAGGCACGTTCTCCGAGTTTCCCCCCCCCCTTCCCATAAAACAGAAGTTTGGCACTCGCTTCATCGCTCTCCCAAAAGGCCTGTGAGTCTGTTGCCGCCTCCTGCGTTGCCTCTTGGCTGCCTTCCTGGACTTCGAGTCGGTCGAATCGGTCGAATTGGGCCCCGTCTGCTCATCTCAAGCTGTTGAGCATTGGACAAATGTCTCCCTGGAGTCTCAACCTTGGGTTCCACAAAAGGAGAGAATGTCCGTTCCAAGCCTGGAACTGATCCCACTCGTGGCATACTAAGACTCAACCTTGGGTTCCAAAAAGAACCGCCTGGAGTCTCCTTCTGACCCGAAACAAAAATGGTTGGTCATTACCCAAAACAATGGGGTCATGGACCCATTTTTAAAGGGTCATGGAGACTCCAGGTCACCTGCTGTGGATGGTTGCAATATCCGACCCTGGTTCCTGATGGTTCCCCTGTAAATACCAACAAACAATGGTTTCAAGCATGGTAAGCGGTGCAGGATTTCGTCCACTGTATTTTGAGACACGCCCAGTAGAAGACACAGTAGGTGATCCATCTTTTGCTCGGTCGTCCAGGTCTTCTTGTCTTGTCAATGAAAGGACTTGCAGGTGGAGTGGGGCTTGAAGCCACCCAACATACTAGAGTACTCAAATCTGCGAAGCCCTGCGAAAAGTGACTAACTTTTAGTGGGCTAAATGGAAAACCCAGTTGGCAAAAAGTTGAAGTCCTAACATCCCTTGGCAAAATGCACCAATGCACCATTTTAGGGGTCCCGGATAGCGATAAAGCTGGGTTCCCTTAGCCCATTCTCAGTTCTCAGTGGGGAACGAATTTGAGGGTTCTGGGAATGAACCGGAAGGGAACCCCGAATCTGAGAAACAGGGGCATCTGTTGACGCCACGTCGGCATTCTGGGATCCCTTTTTGGGAAGAGCAACTTGGTTCGACCTGATGGCCCTGTTGACAATTCCCCAAAAAGGAAAGTAGTCTTCCAAAACCCTGCTGTCAGCTTCCATGATTGTCGAAGGGGAGGGTACCCCTTTCTTGTCTCAGTTGTTCAGTGACCCCGGAAAAAAGGGAACCCTTTTTGAGGAAGACCATTTTAGTGGGGCAGCGGTGCCACTGAAACTGAGTTGTGGCTTTCTTAGGAGAAACTAAAAGGACAACCACTTTGGGGTCCAATCCCAGCAGGCGCACTGTGGAAAAAGAAGAGAGCGGGACGCTTCAACTTCGGAAGCTAAGCCCCGGTGTCTTGTGCTTTTGTTTTTTGTGGGTGGCTCGTCAGTTTTTAGTGGACCCCTAAAATGGTTTCGGGTTTCCTTCTAAACTTTCATCTTCAAACCAACCAAAAAGGGTTTCCCTAAAGAAAAACACCCCCGTGTAACTAAAATCATCTGCCTCAAAATTTTCTCACCGACCCGCATCGAGAATCGAGGCCCCGAAACAAAGCCTCCAAATACGAAGCCATTAAACAGTCGGATGCCCTGCGTCCATTGCGGTCTGGCACGACCCGCCCAGTGAGGCCCCGGTGAAACCTCATGGAAACATTAGTAACTGTGTAAACGCACCCAGTCAAGCTTTGCCCCCAAGATCCAATCTTGGTTGCTGTTGACCCCTCTGCAAAAAGTTTAACTTCTTCTGGGGTCCCAATGTCCCAAGGCAAAATCCCACCGTAGACTGTAGACTTGGAATACATTGTACAAAGCAAACAAGAACATCTAGGTTTCCCAGCTAGGTGCCCTTCTCTACCAACTTTTTTTTGGTTGGGAGGGTTGAAGTCCAAAGATCCTACCAAATACATGATTAGAGTTAGGCCCACCTAGACCCACCATGACCCTTTAAACATGTTGGGTCATTCCCCAAAAGAAAGATTCGGGTCATGAACATTCTTTAATGGGTCAGAAGGAGAGTCTAGGCAGCTACAGAACGTATATTAGGTCCTTCAGTAGAGAGGATAGACTAAGGGTACCAACTTGTTTCTGCACTATTCCATTTTTGTAGGGGAAACTTTTTGGAAATCGGATCGGTACCCCACAGCCAGAAACCGACCAAACTCAGATGCCCAGTGATCAACCCATGGGGAAAAACAGAATCGGCATCCGATACTTTTTGGTTGGTTGACTCTAAAAGGGGAACCTTTCCCAAAGTAAGGAAAACAATGGGGGCGGAATCCACTGGGCAACTGAGATGAAACCCCTGAACCAACGGTTGTCGCTGGGACCCGTTCGGCATTTCGCCGCTTCCCAGCGCCGAGTCGATTCGAATCCGAATCGTCCGATTCGAATCGCCTGACGCTTGGGGCTCAAGTAGGTGGCCGCTTGTGCCGCCCACTCGCCGGCCCAGCTGGAGTCCTGGAAGGCTCAACTACTTGCTGGTGCTCGAAACTGCGGATGGTTGCGAAATCCTGCACAACTTTAAAAACATCGGAAACCACTGTTGGTTGGTATTTACGTACGGGAATCGAATCCTTCCAGGGATTCTTGGGTGGTGTGAAATGGATTTCGTCCATCCACAGGGCCAACAAGAAGCAGGTAGCAGGTGGGTTCCTTTGGGTTTGTAGGGGCCCCGAATAAATCTGCCAGGGGCTTCTTGATCGTGGCCGAAGCTTAAGGCTACGAGTGGTGACCGCAATCACTCGAGACCATGGGGGCTTACACTTGCATTTCTGTTGCTTGGGTTGCTACCTGGAGTGTCGTGGGCCAAGCAATGGGTGCTGGGGTTGTTGGAAATCCCAGGACCCCCCCGTTTTTGGGAATTCCACCTGGGGATTGATCATGGTTCTAGGGGGGAAGTCACTTTCCGTTCTTTCCTTTTTTTTGGGGGGGGATGTGACAAATGGGCACCCCATAGAAAGAATCCTTTCATTCACCCCCACCATACCCTATTCTTGCTGGTTCTCAGAAAAGGGAATGAGAAATGGAATGACCCCCATACACCATCCAACTTGTTTTTTCCTTTACTCCATTCCCAACACCCGAACTCGGTCATTCCCTACTACCTATCGCACCAGCAGGTAAACGAATCTGCCTTTCTTTTGAGGGGATTTTCAGGTTCCCTAAAGGATGCACCCAAACCCTGGCCCAAATGTGAGTGTGTCTTTTTTGAGTCGGTACTCTTTTCGGGTTGGCTTCAAGAGAAAAACACGCGGAAACGACCCAAGGAAAGATGAAGGCTCCCATAATTTTCTAATCCATCGGCCATGAGGAAAAGACCCTTCGGCTGCATGAATCTGCGAGGTTGCTTCCAGGAAAAAACAGTAGGACTTGACATGAGCCATGGTGAAAACTCCTTCAATGGCCCCCTGAATAGAAACCCTTCTACTCAATTGCCCAAAGGAACTAGAACTAAAAGGTTAACCTTTTGGCACCTGAACTAAAAATGGACCAAAATGGGAAAACCAAAAGGTCAAAAGGTCGGCTTTGGACAACTGAGTTTATGGTGGGTCTGAATTCCCAGTAGCGGGTCCACCATCCGTCATTTCACCAAGCCACATGGCTACATCAGACTACGGGTCTCCAAGTTCCCGAGGAAGTCAGAGGCCCGGGGAAACGTAACTCCGATGCCAAGAACAAATACCTCCAAACAAATTCAAGGGAGGCTCCCAAGACACCGAAATGGACAATTTGTGGGGGAGCTTCCGGCTGCTAGTCTGAGGGGGTGTAATACAATCCGTTGGAAAACAACAACCAAGAGGGAGCCGGAAGGATGTGGCAGCCTATGGGAGGGCTGGAAGATCATTTCCCTCTTGCAGGGACCGGCCCCCTGTCAGGCTTGGTTGCTGCAACGACCCCCCTGCAAAAAGTTTCACTTTTTGGGGGGGTTTAGTGGAAAACACCTGTATTTCCCAAAAAGGGTTAAAGTCAAAAGATCCAACCCCAATAGCAGTCATGGGTAGCTGTCCTGGCTCGAACTCGCCTCTTTGCCCTTCTCCTTCACGAACAGCCCCGCCGCTTGGCTCGCCAAGACCTCCGCGGCCTGCGTCCACTTCGTGAAGGTCGCCGGCCCGGACGTCTCCTGAGTCAGCTCAGTGCCCAAAAAAGACGCAACTGGCCCCAGTAAACACGGGCAAATGACCTACCTGGACTCTCCTTATGACCCTGCAACAAATGGTTGGTCATTGCAACAAAAATAAGATTCGGGTCAAATGGGCCACTGCGGCATCCGCAAAGGGGAAACTCCGAGCGTCTGCGGCAGCCCCCGTCGAGCCATCTCCATCCTCACTCGGCTTCTCGGGCGGCTCTTCCGACTCCTGGCCGCAAGTCGGCCAGAGGCCCTCGAAAAGTACCTGGACCCCCGAACCTTCCATCTCGTTTTTTCGACCCCTGGAAAAAGTTTGAAAACATATGTCCAGTAGTGATAGATTCCCTTTGAAACCGGCAGGGGGAAATAAGAAATATTCTTAAGCACATGGAAGACAACCCAAAGATATGGGGTGGTTTCCCATGTTTAAGGGTAGGTTGAGGGTGCAAGTAGCCCCCACATCCATGTTTGGGGTTGTTTTGGTCTGGGATAGATTGCCAAGTGCCTGGAGTGTGCTTGCGACCCTCAAAAACAGGAGTTATGAGCCCATACTTTTGGTAGATGACCAACCTTACTGTGGATGGTTGCGAAATCCGCGTCTCGTACTACGAAAAAAAACCATGGTTGAGACCGTTGTTTTGTTGGTAACCTGGTACATACAGGGAATCTTTATTCGAGGGATTCTTGCGAAATGGATGTCGCAACCGGTAGCTGTGGGGCTGCTTACGGCAAGTTAGCTTTGCCATGGTCATAAACCACCAAACCCATACTCCCGACACGCCGGGCTATCCGCTTAAATCTAACCAGGTATAATACCCAAAGTTCTCTCTTCCGGACGAGTGGATTGGCCAAAACAAATTGCCATCAATTGTATGTGCCACATAGTTTCCCAAGCAGTTTCAAAAACTCGAGAAGTGAGAAAGATGCTCACTTGGGGCTCTCTGTTTTTGAGGGTACCCCCCCTTTTGTGGTTTCAAAGAGAAACCAAAAAGGACAACCACCATTTTGGGGAGTCCCTTAGAACAAGCAAGACCCAGCCACTTGGAACTTTGAACCCACTGGACAGTTCTGGCCATTCGAAGAAACGATATAAGCAAAGTGCCAACTACAAACGGGATGTCTTGTAGACCCCTCAAATGGCGAGAATGCTTTTTGGTTTTCCTCTTCTGTCTGGTGCTCGGTAGAAAATGGTGTTGGGAATGAACCTGGGGATTCCCTTAAAGGAAAGCATAGGGGATGATTTACAGGGGTCATTCCCTAATTCCTTGCCCAGCAAGAAAAAGGTACCAAAAATAAGAGACCCAGCGGCGGACCCTTTTCTCAGGGTGAAGACAGGTACCCTGCAAGAAAACACGGCCAAAATCCTCTTCAAGAAGTACCTCTTGGTATGTCGCGTGGCCACATTACAAAAACAACAACCAAGTCTTCGTGATTCCGCCATGATTCCCATTCACAACAACACTATATCTGCCACAACCCTTAAACACTTGTTCCCACATATGGGGTACTTAGTTTCCAACAAAACCAGAACCACTTGGAGACCCACAAAGGGGCAGCAGTCCAAAAAGATATCCTAAAGGGTTAAAACAAGTCCTCCCCCCAAACAAAAACACAACAACCAGGGCCCCCTTTTTTTTCCGCCACACGTTCCCAAAGGCTCGGATCTGAAGAACGGCCGATCCAAATTACAAGGGGGCGAACCTGTATTCCCATGTACTCATGAAACAACAGCATTCTAATTGCGTAGCTGGACCCTCAAACTTCCCTTTAAAAACGGAATTCACCCCGCCATTTCCCAGGGTAAGACGGTTTGTCGGCTCCAGGTAGCCCCAACATACTTCATACCCATCGAATGGGTCAGGAATGCTCGATAAGGTGCTGGACCCGGAAACCGGAAAGGGGCCTTTTTGAGAAAGATGCAAACACTTCTCGGTGGTTTCCCTTTAACCCCCCCCCCCCATTTTTTTTAAACTTAAACAGGACATAATGAGGGTACCTGCTTGAAAGTTAAGGGAAGTAAACCAAAAACCGGTCTACCATTCGATCAACCCCTGCCTTCGCTGCATCTGACGCCTGAGTGAAATCGATTTCCAGCATGTGGACCCGATGTCGGGAGGTGTTGACGGGTACCCTTTCCGGGCAACAACCGATTTTGCGGAAACCAACGCTCCTGACTTTGACACATACCCAAATGAGTTCCCGACTGAGTTGCATAGGGCCAGAGATCATGTTCAACTTCGCGTCAACCTACCGCGCAAACCTGAAAACACGACTTATATGTCCGGCCAAGTCAGTAAGTGACCAGCCACTTGTGTTAGAACCCACCACTAAGACACGACTCAGCTCTACTTAGAAGGACTTGGCTAGAACCTAGGTTACCCACCACTCACTCAAGTACCGTTCACAAACTCAAGCCCATCTTCACAACCCACTCGGTGAGCTTGGTAAAACAGAATCATCAGGGAATCCCTCTTGAGGGGCGAGGGCAAGGGGAGCCAGGGTGGATATTCGTGCAACAGTGCAAGCGAACCAACAAAATTACAGCACCCAATACATAAAGCAACTCACGAATGATGTTACATAATCATACATCACATTTATTGTTGCATCATACGAACAACCACACCGATGCTAAACCAGTAACAAGAAGAAGAAACAAAAAGAGCCAATGAGATCTCCACATCAAAGGCATGCACCAAAACCAGTTCCTAGACCGTATTTAATACCAGCGCCCAAGACAAACCAAATCATAATCAGAAACCTGGTACAGAAAGGGTCTACCCAAACAAACGCAAATAACTTATAGGGGAGTCGCACCTTCCTCTGGTTGGCACTGTCCGTATCCTTGACAACTTGATCTACCCGGGTTTTGATTGCTCGTGGCTTGTCGCCTTTCAATACCCTTTGATGGATCTGCGCCGCTCAATCTGGGGTGGTCAACTCAACCTCGGAAGTAAATGAACCTGCAGTTTCCATTACCCTTTAAACATGGGTTCATGACCCCATTATTTTGGGTCATGACCAACCATTTTTGAAGGGTCATGAAAACTCCAGGAACCATCGCCAATTCGAAGGCTAACACATCCCCAGTGGGTGCAAGGTACTTAAACAGCACGTACCCTTCGAAGCGTCGTTTTTTGTTCTTAACGGGTAGTTCTGTTGGCTCCCGACTTTTCTACAATGTTGAGCCATATTCATCAACCCCAATTTATTCATACGGGGGGTTCCCCCGCAAAAAGTGGTTTCATTCCCACTAAGCCCAGGGACACCCACCTATCTATGACCAATATGGTGCCAACATGTTAACATCTTACAGGGACCTAGACTCTCCATGACCCTTTAAAAAGAGGTCCATGACCCCATGATTTAGGGTAATGACCCCATTTTCTAGGGTCATGGGGACTCCAGGGACATGGACTCACTGGGACCATGGAATCAACCCTCGCGTTTTCACCTCGCTCGGGTTGCTTTCACGGTGCTTCCGAAGCCCCGACGTTTTTCGTCGCACGCCGTCTCCGAATCTGACCCGAATCAAACATGGTTGGCCATGACCCAAAATAATGGGGTCATGCACTCTCCATGACCCTTAAGAAATGGTGTCATTGCCTAAAATTAAGGGGTCATGACCCCATTTTCTAGGGGTCATGGAGACTCTAGGGTCATGGACCCATTCTTAGGGTCAGAAGGAGACTCCAGGGAACTACTAATCCACCAGGGATTGAATCAACTTGTTTCCCAGTGTTACCTCAAATTGTGCGACCGTTCTCGACTGCCGAAGAGCTGTAGGCGGGATCTCGGGGGTCACATAGATCCAGCCAGCTTTGCCGTTGCCCTCTTCTTCCGTGTCGATCTCCTCCGCTGGCTCCTCCGTGACATTAGCAATGCCCGTTTCACACGAGCTGAGCATTTCGTTCTACCAACGTAGTTACAACGGTTTATCCGGGTATTCCCTCAACCCCAAAAGGATACCATCGAAAGAAGCACACGACCATATAGGCCTTAAACCCTAAACCAGGGAGTAGAACCTACTAAAACCGCCAATCCGAAGCAGGTTGAGGCGCTGTTTGCGTTGGCTCTGTTTCCAAATGGAAGAATCCATCACAGACTTTATGGGGGTTCCGATGCAAAGCATATCAATCTTGCATAACGCAAAACTGCCACCCGCAACCACCCCGCAACCATCCCACCAAAACGGGCCCCACCAAAACCGACCCCCGACCCCGGTTGTGGTGCCAAGACCGATGGTTCGCAGGCTCGGCTTTTGATGATTTGAACTTTGGACTGCAAAAATGATGCGAAGCATGGGAGGAGGCGTGGTTCAACAGGGAGGCCTCGGGTGGACAAATCCAATTCGGAGCCTAGGGGCAAATCAAGTTGTCTGAGTCGCGAGTCATGAGACGGGTGTGGACATTATTAGGGGGATTCATGACCGGCTTAGGCCACTTTCAGGGTAATTCCACACTGTCGATGGCCGGGAAACCATTGTTTGCTTGGTAATTATCATTTCAGAGTTTTCTAGGTGGTGCCGGATTTCCTACACCCCTGTATTAAAAGACATGGCCACAAAAACACAAAGATAGGTTTGCAAGTGCGTCTCACACAGCCTCAAGGCTGCCGAATGGTTTGGCTAGGAATGGGGAGGTGACTTTCTTACGTGTACCGCTTTCAGGCTTAAAGATAAACCAACAGGATAACCATGGAAAGGGCTGGTTGTTGGGCGCTCTGCGACTGAGGTTCAACCCGGTCCTTGGTTTTCACCTCCTCGGTCTTTCTAGATGTAAACAAGCCAGCAGCTGAGGACGCCCATGCTTCTGCCGCCGAGGTCAGCTTGGAAAAAGACCCACTGTCACCTCCTCCTGATTCCTTGGACGTGTGGAGAAATCGCCACACGAGGCTCGTGTACTTTCTCTCCTTCTCGTCTTCTCCTCTTCTATCTCGCTGTATCTCTATCTCTCTCTCTATCTCTCGCGTTCTCTATCTCTCTCCCTCTCTCTCTCTCTCTCTCGCTTTCTCTCTTTGTTGTTTGTTTCTCTCTCGTTCTCTCTCTCTCTCTCGTTTGGTTTCTCTCTCTCTCTCTCTCTCTCGCTCTTCTGTCTCTCTGACCCACACAAGCGTGGCCAACATCACATGGCTGTGGCTCAAGACACCGGTACCAACATGGCTTGCCCTGGTAAGTGGAAACATGGACCAAAACCCGCCGGTTTAATTTTGAGCCACAGCCGACATTTTCCCGGCCAACTTCCTGGCCAACTCTCAGTTGTTCAGTGACCCCGGGAAAAAAGGGCAACCCTGTTTGAGGCTTGGACCATTTTTAGTGGGGCAGCCAAAACAAAAAGTTGCAAAAAGAGACTCGGTGCCACTGAACAACTGAGCCAAATACCCGTTAATGTTTCTAGGGTTTCATCCGGAAAACCCATTAATTGGCAAAAAGTTAAAGTCCAAACAGCCCTTGGCAAAATGCGCCAAAGGTTTCCTGGCCAACTGCGCATCCAAGACGCAGTTGAAGTCTCGGCTGCTGCGTCGGAAGCGGGCTCATCTTTCTGGTCCCGGTCCTACGCGCAGAAAATCAGCGGTGAGCACTGCAGATGGATGGCTCACCCTTTTTTGAGGCTGAGGAACCAATTTGTTGGATGGTTTAAAAGGGAAACAACAGAAAAAAAGAAAAATAAAAAATAAAATAAAAAAAACACCAATTTTGAGGATCCCCCATTTTGATATATATATATATATATTGTGAGCAGCTGATTAATGGTGCCGCAATCGACCGGATCCTTAATAGACTTGACCATTGATTTATTTGTCAGATTGTTTGCAAACCCAACTGGTCACTTTAGTAGGTGGTGCTACCATCTAGCTTCAGGATACTGAAGGAATATGTGAAGTTTGCCTGCCACGTCCGCTTCGTCAGTTACAGAATCTTCGGCTTTGCGCCAACCAGTGGCCATGGGAAATTTATAGGAACTCCCTTCTGTTGGTACTTGTTTTGAAAAGAACCGACCGTCAGAAGCACTCCGAACTCACAGCTCTGGGGTCGGTACACAGCAAGTCCAAATCTCTGCTTGATCTTTTCGGCAAACTTCTGGCCTTGGGGTTAGAGGGGTCCCTAGATGACCCTGGTGATGTTAAGCATCACCTGTTGGGTGGCTTCTTGTTTTGAGCTTCCTTTTATTAGGACAAAACGAGATAAAAGGAGACTTTAACAAGGTAAAGGTCGAGTCATGTTAAAATGGGACATGCGTTTGCCCAACATGCGGCAGGGGTATGCAGGGGTCTTTGGGGAGGGGGAGGGGTTGCTAATTCGGGTCGACTGCTCAACCTAGGAACAAACACTGGAAACCCCAATCCCAACAAAAGGGAAACCACTCCACTGGTCGACGTCTCAGACCCCTTGCGACAAACAGAAAACAAATTTGTATTCAATTGATCTAACTAAAGCAAACCTGGTTACAACCCACTTAACGGAGACGTTTCACCATGGTAAGTGGGTTATAACCATGGTCATTACCCACTTGTTAATTACCCTGCCCCTTTAAGTTTAAGAACCACACAAACCCCATGTAATGAATCAACAGGGCTGCTGCACCTAGTTGTGGCTCAACAGTCCCTTACTAGCCCTCACTTGCTCGTGGGTCTTTGTGGCTCACCTGAGCTACGCCCAAAACCAACTGCCGATTGGTTCTGCCAGCGCAGCAAGGGTTTGCTATGGGCCTTACTTTTATCCCGCTAAAAAACCAGGTAGAAGAATCACCTACTACAATGGCTGTGGGTCAAAACCAATGGTAACATTTTGGGGTAGGTGAGTGCACCACCCATTTTAGAACCTATTTTAGTGGTTGGATTGGGATGTTCACTGGGGGTACGATTTGGATTTTGACCCATAGGAAGAATGGCCCCAAATCGAGGGTGGGGCACCGCTCTATCCCTGAAACCCAGTCCTTGGCGGTTGCCTCCGTCTTTTTGCCGAACAGTCCCGCTGCTGATGCGAACGCCTCGAATCCCGAGGTCAGCTTGGCAAAGGACCCGTCGCCGCGAGGTTCCTGGAACAGGCATGCGGTCATTATTATACAATACCCATATCTTTTTATGCTCACCACCCCCTCCCATGAGGTTGAGACAACACTGTAATTTGCAGTGTTTTATTGCATACCACATTCTAGGTGTGGATCATGGGGGGTGACTGTATAACAAAAATAATATGCATAGAGAGAGAGAGAGAGATACACACACAAAAAAGACTACCAGTAGATGCGTGCATCAGTTGCTCATATGGATCTTGATCAATATTCCTGGCCGCGGCCATGACGGGTAACTTATGGGTAACTTTTTCCAGGTGGTTGAAATAGCATCTTTTCTGTGTTTTCCAACCGATAGTCGTCCCATGTTTACCGGACCTTTTGATGCCATGCTTTTGCTGACATGTTGGTTGCCTTTTGCCTCCCGAGAACCAAGGCACACTTGAAGCAGAGCTTGAAAAATCATTGGGGTACACAACTCCCAGGAACGTCACTGGGGTGTGCTGTCCTTTTTAAGGGGACCTCCCAAATTGGTTGTTTTTTTGGGTTTTCCCTCAAATCTAACAAAAAAGGGGTTCTCTTAAAACACACACACACACACACACCGGTTCGGGGAGTTTGGTGCCCATTGGCTTTGGAAAATCACCCCGGTTTGAGTAGGATAAGCCCATGCGGTATGCCCAACAGCCACGGAGCCCTCTGATTTGTTTTTCCAAAACCCTCCCTGAAAGATGCTCCGAACCTGGGGAATGGCCCCAAAGCGTTCAGCTGTTGGGGAACAACACACAACCTGGCTGAGGTGTCGCCGAGTGTCCGTAGCATCGCCAGCCTCGTCTGCGGTCGTCGCTGGCTCCGTCGCTGGCTCCGTCGCTGGCTCCGTCGCTGGCTCCTGGCTACAAAAAAACTCGCAAACTGAGTCGACCCATGCGAACAAAAGCGTACCTGGAGTCTCCAGAGGAACCCTTCAAAAAAGGGCCCGTAAAAAAGGGGTCATGCACGACCTCTTTTGTTTAAAGAAAGAACCAATTTACGATTTGGGTCATGACTCAAGGCTCTAGAACCCCAACCTTCCCTGGGATGCGTAAACTTATATCCGGACCCAAAACGCGGTTGAAAGAAATGCGAACGGTCAGCATGGAATATATATATATATATATATGTCCTGGAGTCTCCAGGACCCTTTAAACATGGGTCCATGACCCCATTAGTTGGGGTAATGACCCCATTTTTTAAGGGTCATGGAGACTCCAGGTTCTGTGCAGCTCATGTGCAACCAACGGCTTTTTGTGGAGGATAAACTGCTGTGGACTTGCCAGTGCTGGGTTGTGAGCAGAGCTCACCACCAAGAAAAAGGAGCAATAGATGCAGTACGTTAGGCAGCAAACATCCTTATATACGAAGAGCTGGTTGGCCAAATAGATGTAAGTTTTGCTGGTGGACCTCGTTTTACCATGAGAGAACGCAAGCATGAGCTTGTCTTTTTGGGTGTACCCTTTCGGCATACGTGTCCCTTTGGCAAAACCGATGGCCCTGGTAAATGAAACAACACCAATCTAAACCAGTGAAACCCATCTATTTCTAGCCAAACTGACCGAGCAACAGGACACCTATGCTTACCTAGTACCTAGACTCTCCATGACCCTTAAAAAATGGTTGGTCATCACCCAAAAGAAAGATTCGGGTCATGACCAACCCTTTCTTTATTCGTGTCAGATTCGGAGAGTCCGGGTCTCGGTGTTCGCGCGTTTCCCCGCCCCATTTTGAGACACAAAAGCTTCCTTTCAAACAGAGCTCCAGACCAAGTCCTGCACCCGGGATGGATGAAAGCGGAATGACCAACCCGTCGACTGGTGTCAGCATACATATCACATCTTGAAACCCGAGGAGATAGGATCCCACGACCCTAAATATGAGGGCCTTTGACCCCTTTGACCCCTTTCCGGCCGGTGTCGCCCGAAAGGCCATACATGTGACACCTAGATTTCCGGCCAGGACAAGAAGTCTCCATCCTCAGCTTTGGGCGGTCTGAATTGCCGGTTGTGCTGGAGTCTCCATGACTCAAAGAAAATTCATCTCCAGGATCTCCAGGAAGTTCAATTGGAAAGGTGGGAATATAGCCACAGTTGCCCCTTAGGGACCTGGAACTAAAAGGTGATCACCTTTTGGGGCCTTTACTAAAGATAGACCAAAGTTGGAAAACCAAAAGGTCAAAAGGTCGGCTTTGGGCAACTGAGTATAGCCTAAGCTGTTTTGAGGGGGATAGCATGTGTGGCATTTCAGCTTTCTTAAGCTAAAATAAGCCCAATTTAACTTCCTGGAGATTTGCCCACTGGTACGACAAGACGCCCGTTCCTGGACAAGCCCTTCTGAGATCCCGATTTCGATGATTTCCAAGCTTGGATAAGCCTTGGATAAGCCCTAGGCTTGGATACGCCCAGTCTAAGCAAATCTAATTTCCTGTAGAAGTTCCAGACATCTTCTTTGACTGACCCTCTCAAAATGGCTTCATCGGTGGAGACTCTAAGTGGAGCTTGGGCTTCCCACTGGCCCGTAACCCTTCCGGGCCTTGGACATTGGGACGGGATCGATGTCCACCAAACCCCAACAACGACCACCTAGACTCTGGACTCTCCTTCTGACCCTTACAAAATGGTTGGTCATGGCCTAAAATTAAGATTCGGGTCAAATGGGCCCATTTTCTAGGGGGCAAAAGGAAAACTCTAGGCATGGAGACCCCAGGTACTCAGCCAAAGGGGAGGTTTCCGGGTACTGGTGACCCCGGATGAATCAACCCCGGTTTATTCATATGGGGCGTTCCCCTTCGAAAGTGATGAATCCCCCAAGGACACTCCGCTGTTCATAAACTGTTTTTGTTTTTCTCCGGGGTCAGCATTGCAAAAGTCTTGTGAGGGTAAACTTCTCACTTTCAGAGTAAATTGGCCAAAACAAGCCTGAACTTTTTCTTTACCACCAAAATGGTCTTCCGAGAAACCGCTCTTCCGCGGAAGGAGGTGGTTTTCGGGCGCTTTGCCAACTGAGACCCACACCTCACCAACCCGGTCCTTCGCTTTCACCTCCTCGGTCTTTCTAGATGCAAACAAGCCGGCAGCTGAGGACGCCCACGCTGCCGCCGAGGTCAGCTTGGCAAAGGACCCGTCAGCTCCGACTCCAGTTTCCTGGGCTGTGTGGAGGAATCGCTAAGCTCCCGGACTTTCTCTCCTTCTCTCCTTCTCTCCTTCTCTCCTTCTCTCCTTCTCTCCTTCTCTCCTTCTCTCCTTCTCTCCTCTTCTATCTCACTCTATATATCTCTTTCTCTCTCTCGCGGCCCCACACCCTTGGCATGCAAATGACTTTTTCCCCAACTGCACATCCAAGACTCTGCAGTTTCAGACGTCTCCGTGGCTGCTGCTGCATCGGAAGCAGGCTCGTCTTTCTGGTCGGGCTCCTGTCCGTGTCTCACATTCCCATGCATCATGCAATCCCTAAAGCAAAATTGACCCGGAGTTTCCTTGTGACCGTTTAAAACGGGAGCATGACTCCTTTTTTTAGTGGAGCAACCAACTTTGATTCCGGTCAGAAGGCGGCTCCAGGAGCATTGATCAACATACGCATAAGGTAATTCGACTCGTGATTGACCCCATAATCCCCATAATCAAACAGTACCTAGAGTCTCCATGACCCTTTAAAAAGAGGTCCATGACCCCATTCTTTAGGGTAATGACCTCATTTTCTAGGGGTCATGGAGACTCCAGGTACTCAGCCAAAGGGGAGGTTTCCGGGTACTGGTGACCCCGGATGAATCAACCCCGGTTTATTCATATGGGGCGTTCCCCTTCGAAAGTGATGAATCCCCCAAGGACACTCCGCTGTTCATAAACTGTTTTTGTTTTTCTCCGGGGTCAGCATTGCAAAAGTCTTGTGAGGGTAAACTTCTCACTTTCAGAGTAAATTGGCCAAAACAAGCCTGAACTTTTTCTTTACCACCAAAATGGTCTTCCGAGAAACCGCTCTTCCGCGGAAGGAGGTGGTTTTCGGGCGCTTTGCCAACTGAGACCCACACCTCACCAACCCGGTCCTTCGCTTTCACCTCCTCGGTCTTTCTAGATGCAAACAAGCCGGCAGCTGAGGACGCCCACGCTGCCGCCGAGGTCAGCTTGGCAAAGGACCCGTCAGCTCCGACGCCAGCTTCCTGGGCTGTGTCATGGAGGAATCGCTAAGCTCCCGGACTTTCTCTCCTTCTCTCCTTCTCTCCTCTTGTATCTCACTTGCTTACCCTCCATATCTCTCTCTCTCTCTCTATCTCTCTCTCTGCCCCACACCCTAAGCATGCAAATGACTTTTCCCCCAACTGCACATCCAAGACTCTGCAGTTTCAGACGTCTCCGTGGCTGCTGCTGCATCGGAAGCAGGCTCGTCTTTCTGGTCGGGCTCCTGTCCGTGTCTCACATTCCCATGCATCATGCAATCCCTAAAGCAAAATTGACCCAGAGTTTCCTTGTGACCGTTTAAAACGGGCAGCATGACTCCTTTTGTTTGGTGGAGCAACCAACTTTGATTCGGGTCAGAAGGCGGCTCCAGGAACATTGATCAAACTACGCATAAGGTAATTGGACTCGTGATTGACCCCATAATCCCCATAATCAAACAGTACCTAGACTCTCCTTTCTGACCCTTAAAAAATACTTGGTCATTGCCAAAAATTAAGATTCGGGTCAAATGGGCCCATTCTCTAGGGGTCATGGAGACTCCAGGTATGTTTTTTTTAGTTGTTAGGTTGAGACTCCATTGGCAGGGCTCCCTCCTTTGCAAGGAAACGAACACGCATCCAAGCTGTGGGGTTGGCATATCGATCTCGATCGAACATCCATAAGAAATGGAACCCCGAGAAAAGCCACGGGTTCATTCCTGGTGTTGTTTTTTTGCAGAAACTTGCCACCCCAAGATTGGTGGAATCCCAAGATTGGTGGAATCCGGAATTCCAACGAACCATCCGATTTGGCTTAATCCTTTACTCGGGAATCCCAACCCCCAGGCGTATTCCCTCATTTACTACCTATCTTGCTGGTGGGATAGGAACGAAGGTGATTTACTTGAAGGGAATCGGTTCATTCCAACACCCAACTTGGAACAAAGTCGCAACACACTCGCACCTCCGGAGGCCCCGATTTGGCGGCCTTTTAAGGGATTCCGCAAAACCGGCTCATTCATTCCCAACACCCGGACTCGGTCATTCCCTACCTATCGCACCAGCAAGAAGGGGAGGAATGGGCTGCTCAGCGCGTAAGCTTGGCTGCTGTTCGGTTGCACCTGCAACCTTGGACTTGTTGGTTGAAAATGTTTCCCCACTAATCAACGAAGAACACAAGACAAACAACATGTTCCAGCCTGTAACATGTTCCCCGCAAACAAAACAACACAAAATAACAACATGTTCCCACGATGTATACTTGAGATGTATCCCTTGGACAACATGTTCCCACGATTCAACAACAAAAAGAACCATCTCAAGTATACATCGTTCCAGCATAATGGACCAACAAACACCACCCAGTTCACAAACCAACGGGACCCAGCGACCAAACCGCAGGCTGCGGCTTGAAACGAAAATCAAACCCCCGCGCCTTCGAAGATCGCACGAAGCCCGCCGCAGAGGCCAAGGCCTGAGGGGTGGGGGACCCGACTCCCAAAACGGATGCCCAGGGGAACGTAGAGTCTCCATGACCCCTAGAAAATGGGGTCATGACCCAAAATAAAGGGGTCATGTACCTATTGTTAAAGGGTCATGGAGACTCCAGGTAGAGTCTCCTTCTAATAACTTGACTTGGGAAACTGGGGTTGGTCCCCCTATGGCCTATGGTTCTTCTCTACCTCGAGTCTCCTTCTGACAATTGAAAAGTGGGTAGTCATGCCGATGCCCAGAATCTTGCTTTTGGGTAGTCTGAACAACCACGTTTCAAGGGTCAAAAGGAGAGTCTAGGTGGTCGTCTGACTACCCAAAATCAGGGGTCATGACATGACCTTTCTTGAGGGTCAGAATGAGACTCCAGGTACCCTTAAAGGGGATATGTGTCCATGGAATTATGGGGCCAATTCCGTTTGAGTCACAAGCAAGCTCTGGTATTAAAATGGTCTACCTAATTCTGGTTGGGACTGCCCCTTTCCATCCTTCACTTCCCTGGGTTTTGATTGTGGCTAATTTTGTCATGGTTGAGGTTCTGAGCTTTTCCTTTGACACGTCTCGATGCTTTTTCGGTGCCTGGCCCACCTTCCAATCATTCGGGGCACGCGTCGAAATCTACCCGGGCGGACATTTGGTAGTATGACATGGCCCCTCAGAGGTACCCTGCCACCGACGAACGCCAAAGTGCACAAACCCCTCTAGAAAGACTCTATACGTTCCTCTTTCAAAAGGTCTTTGTGCGCTTCCATGCTAGTTGGAAATATTAGTGTGTCTGTTTTTGGGGTGTTAAAAGGAGAACAACAAGGACAACCACCTATCGTTTGGGCCCAAGTTCTGACAAAAGAGACACATAGGCCATACACAAAACCTCCCTAAAACCGGTTTGTGTGTGTGTGCCCTCTACTCCAAGAACCCGTACAAAAACCATACAAAACAAGTACAAAACCCATACAAAACCCGTACGTTTGTATGCTTTTCGCAAAACCGGGTTTTCCCGCGAAGAACCCGGTTATTTGCGAGAACCTTTAAAATAAAAGGTTCTTGGAGTAGAGGGTGTGGTTGTTTGGCCTCAGTGTTGGGCGTTTCAAGCCAAATCCTCCTCAAAAAAAAAGAAGAATCCGGATCCAAACCCACGGGGAAATCGCCTGGATGGGTTTCGTTGCTTCCCCAAAAAAATATCGGCCTCCAACTCATAGGCTGGATCCTTTCCCATTCTCGGGTGGTCAATTTTTTGTTCTCGGACCCCATGGCTGCTAGCAACTTCCGGCGGCTTTGAGTATCATGGGGGCTGGGGGGGGAGGGAGGAGGGCGGGGGGACGGAGCCCAAATAAGCCCTAAATAAGGCCTTATTTAGGGCTTAATAGGAGCTTATTTGGGCTCCCTCCCCCCTCTCCTCCCTCCCCCCCAGCCCCCAACAGAGTACACGACCATGATTCTGGCCAAAAACAAAGTGAGTTTCCTGTTGCTGGGGATGATGTTGAAAGGGAAGGCATGGGGATTTCTAAAGCCTAGACCGGGCACTCTTAGTGAATCACTTCTAGTGGGTTAAATAGGAACCCAACCACACCAACCAAAAGACTAAAAACCTAAGCGCACAGCAAAGGGCCCCCAATTGCTCCAAACAGAAATAACATGCCAACTGGAGATCAAGGAAAGAAAAGCGGACAAAGAGAATGGGGATCACGCCTTATCGGCCGGCCTGGGTCTCTCACTGAAATGGTGCAAACAGGGTACGGTTTCAAAAGCTGGGGAGTCATCCCAGTCTACCCCTTGGATTCCCCGTATCCTGAAAAACCCAACTTCCAAACAAACTCACACGAGTCACAATGCTGGTACAAGAGGTCTACCCAATTTCACCTAAAAAGAAGAAAAAAGCCGGCCGCAGCTATTCATGACTGGGACAGAGCCTTATTAATCTTCAATTGCCCGGTTATGATGATGGCTCACCCCACTTCCACTTTGGCAATTTATGTTTGGTCCGGGTTGTCTTCTCTCCTTGGAAAGCACTGCTTGACTTAGTTTGACCTGTTTCTGTTTGCCCGGACCCAACCGACTTTTCACTGCCTTTCTATACTTTTCAATACATTTCATGCTTGCTTAAGCGCTTGAAGGTATTTTGAAGAACACGCTTTTCCTGAACAACTACTTGATGTTAGAGCCAGGAGGTGGCATCATACACCAAGAATAAAGTGCATGAAGAACGTGTATGAGTATCCCTTTTGGTGTTTCTTCAAGATAAGCCGCAGAGCGTTAACAAAAAAGACACAGAGAAGTGTATAAAAACCATGTTAAACCTGAATTATGGCAGCTGCGACATCTCCAAGCCCGGCTCTTTGGAGCAGAAAACTTTGGGCGTGCGCGACTCGAGACGCGCCTCCGCCGCTGAGCTCAGCTTGGGGAAGGTCCTCGGGGACAGCTTCTCCGACTCCGCTTCCTTCTGGCAGAACTGCTCCTGAGCCAACACGCTTTCTGGACTAACTTTTAGTGGTTTGATGGAAAACGCATGAGTTGGCAAAAAGTTGAAGTCCTAACATCCAAGTGACCAAAGTCTGAAACGGAACTCAGTGGGATGAACCCTCTCACCAGCGGCTCCTGGGACACTTCCATTTCCATTCTTTCCAGGGATCCGAATTGCTTTCCAGAAAACCATCAGAACCCCAGGGGAAACAGCGATCGGTTTTTGAAAAGAACGATGGTTGAAAAGCATGGACAAGGAATCAAACCCTATAAACATGGTCCTCCCAAACATTATCATTCAAAGTCCAGGACAGGAGTGGGTTGCTTGAACTAGGTCCTCCAGTAGAGACCTAGAGTCTCCATGACCCTTTAAAAATGGGGTCATGACCCCTTTATTTTGGGTAATGACCCCACTTTTTAAGGGGTCATGGAGACTCTAGGGAGGTTACAATAAGCCATGAACCCCCAGAACTGTGGATGCTTGGGGTTTCTTCCTGGCTTCCCTTTACTTTTAAGTTGTGGCTGCGCTTAGGTGGGCTTGGGGTAATTTAGGCCTCGGGGATAGTTGAGTGTCAATATTTTAGAAAACCAACGACTTATGATGTGAAGCTCGGAAAGCAGAACCAGCAACCAGCAACAACAAACCTCCAACTATTCTCGGTTGCTTTCTGCTCGCCTGCTAAAAGTTTAACTTTTAGTGGTTTTAATGGAAAACCCATTAGTTGGCAAAAAGTTAAAGTCCTAACATCCAAGCAAAATGCACAAAAGTATTATTAGGAGCCCTCCCTGGCCGAACTACTCCTGACATTGGCCAAAACCCAACTGCGATGGATTGGTCACCGAACCCTAGAAGCCCAAGACTTCGTTTGAGGCCGCAAAGGGGGCCAAAGGCCCTCGTGTTTAGCTTATGTTAAGGGTATTCGGCTAGGGGATCCTTGTATTTACACCACAATGACAGTCCAGGCAGTCCATGAACTCTGGAACCGAGAATATCGGTCGCAACTCCAATGACTCTTCGCAGCACCTAAAAACATGGAATGATAATAATTCTAGGGTACGAAACACATGCAGTAAATAACACGTGTTTAAAAACTGCGAATGGCAAAACACCGGCAATGGAACCAGAACAACTTGTTGGATGTCTTGAGCAAAAAGTCCAAACTGTGAAGCCCTAGTAGACCCGCGTGTAAGCCTTAGTGCTTTCAGTTCCAAAGGTCACCAGGGTATTGTTTACCTCTAGGTTTCTCGTGAAGCACTTGGCTACATAAGGCGGGATAATCGAGGAATTGCCACAAACACATGCCATGGTCAAAACTTTGTTTGCTTGGCCTGTGGGTGATGACTCCAAAGCGAATGACTACAAAAGCTGCAAAAAGTGATTTAAAATTGTGACCAGCTGGATGACCACCCCGTTAACCCCAAGTAAAGGGGTCTGTTGTCTGTTGACTATGGCACAAAGGGTTACTAAGCCTGACCAACCCCAGGGATCCATTTTGTAACCATGCTCATAACAAACCTCAATTTGGTTAGAAAAGTAAAACGGCAACACCTAACTATCCTGAAAACGGGCCATATCCGCCCAACATACCATACGGGGTTGGATTCTTATGGTCCGCGACGAGCTAGGCTAGGTGGCTACTGACCGTGTGAGGTCTACAACCCCATTATAACCAGGTTCTAACCACTTACTAAGTGCTCCAAAGCTTGGTCAAGCAATTTCTTGTCAAGAGAACTGAGAAAGCAGCGCTACACTGGTTTGCAAAAATGAAATAGACTAGGCCACGGCCCGTTTGAGCGAGCGCTTGAACAAGTGTTGCAATCCAAGATGGTCCCCCTGATGGTTGTAGCCTACGAACTCAAGTAGATGCTTTTAAGGGGAAACCAAAAGAAAGCCAATGGCTGACTCCTCACATTTCCAGCAGCAGCCCGACGAAGAACTAGAAAAACGTCAGATTGGCAAACTAGACAACCGTTCTTGTGGCCACAACATCAAGGTTAACGAAAGGGAAATTGAAGAGGCCGCCGAAACGCAACGATCAACATCCATGAACACCTCCATGTGCTGAAGTCCCCCCTGAAGGAAAGAAACCAGTAGTGATACCCCCCTACTCCAAATACCCGCTTTTGTCAGGGCATTCTTGGGAAAACCTGGTTTTCCATGGCAAATACCTCCTTTTTAGTAGAGGGTCGACATCCTACCCTGAAACAAGTGGGTATTGGGTGTAGGGGGTAGACTCCCTTTAAAACCGGCAGGCACAACAAAGACATTCTTACGCGAATGGAAGAACATCATCGAACTTGAGAGAAGGTGAACAAGGCAATGAAGGCAAGGACGATCTTGCAACTAACATGGGCTGTCCTGAGATCCTCTTCTAAAAGTTTAACTTTTAGTGGGTGAAATGGAAACTACCACTAAGCCCTGAAAGCCTAAAAAGCTAAGGAACCAGAGGGCTGGGGGCCACCAAGTCTCGGTTGCTTTCTGCTCCCCTGCTAAAAGTTTAACTTTTAGTGGTTTCATGGAAAACCCATCAGTTGGCAAAAAGTTAAAGTCCTAACAGCCAAGCAAAATGCCTCAAAGAAGTATCATGGAAGATCCAAGGCAATGGAACCAACTCCAATGGGATCATGGAGCTCCAGGCTTTGGAGGACGAGAACTGTTGTCTGGTCTGCTCCCCTGCTAAAAGTGACTAAGTTTTAGTGGTTCAATGGAAAACCCATTAGTCGGCAAAAAGATAAAGTCCTAACATCGAAGCAAAATGCCCAACGGATAACTGTTGTCTGGTCTGCTTGAGGGATGAAACATCCAGTTCGATGTCCAAACCAGATCAGACTAGTTTTTTCCTACTAAGTGGATGCGGAAGTACAAGCATCGTGCTTGCTGTTTCTCTTGACGCAGGTCTTCCCCCGAACTACATCAGCAATAGCATTTCGCAAGATATCTTCCAAACAATATCAACATGTCCTGAAAAGCCCCGCGGCCCTTCCAAATCCCCAGGAAACAACAGGGTTCATGACAATGAAGAAAACTGCCTTCTTTTGTGCCCCTTTTCTAGGGGGAGCTTCTTTTGTAGTCCTTTTGTATGCAAGGCCCAACGGGGCACCTCGTGTATCTCCTGCCAAGCAAGGGACATGCCAGCAAACAAACATGCAAACTGTTCTTGGTTGCGAAATCTGCTCCCCTGCTAGAAGATTAACTGTTAGTGGCTTAATGGAAAACCCATTCTATAGTTGGCAAAAAGTTATTCAGTCCTGACATCCCTTGGCAAAATGCACCAAACTGCTGCCCTCCCGCCCACTAACCAAACACCTCTGAAAGGCCCTTCTCCTTGAACTGGGCTGCAGGTTTTTTCAGTTATCCTGCGAAAAGTGAATAACTTGTGGGTTCAAGGGAAACCCCCACTAAACCCTAAAAAGCTATGGGGATGGCTGGGAGCCACAAGGAAAAAAGGGACCATGTCTCTGGAGGGTTCCATGGCAACGTGGACATGAGGGTCGACTTTGGCGATTTTGGACGTCACATGCTTCGATGCTGCCTCTTTGCATCCGAGGGTCGTAGACCTCTTTGGCCACCGGGGTCACTTCTTCATACTCTTCTTCACTCCTCAGAGTCGAAGCAAAAGACCAGTCCCCTAGATCCATAACTCGGTTTCTTCCTGCTCCCCTTCTAAAAGTTTAACTTTTGGTTGTTTAATGGAAAACCCATCAGTTGGCAAAAAAGTTAAAGTCCAAACATCCAAGCAAAATGCAACAAAGATAATTAAGCCGGAGTAATATGGAGATGGGAGCAGCAATGCTCGGGAGTGGCCGTTCCCCGAAGCCTTGGGTCTGAGTGTCACGTTCAAGATGGCATCAAAAAGCACAACCAAGCTGAAAAAACCCGCATATGTTGCCATTCGAATGGCCACCGAACCGAAACCACGCGGGCTGCTTTAGACAAACGCACTTGACTATTTAACAACACCAGGGGGGGTTGCAGGGTCCCTCTCAATGCTGTACAAGAACACCAGGGATGGTTCATAGGGGTATTTTCTCTGAGAATCAAGCTGAACTATACACTGAATAACAACTCTGTGTTGACTAAGTTGGCACCCTGGTTAATGTTGAAGTTGGTACCCTGTGTGAGCTTGGTTGCAAGGGACTCACTTTCTGAGTGGTCTTGCCAAACAAGTAGCGTTGAATTTACCTAGACTCTCCATGACCCTAACAAAAATGGGATCATGACCCCTTTCTTTTGAATAATGACCCCATTTTTTAGGGGTTATGGAGAGTCTAGGTACCACTAACATGGTCCAACCCCAGAAAGCGACTAAAGTTCGAAACGGAACTCAGGGAGCGAGGGCACCCCACTCACTGCCCGAAGGACCCAGAAATAAAAGGTGATGACCTTTTGGTGCCATGACTAAAAATGAGAACCCAACATGGGAAAACCAAAAGGTCCGATCTGGTCGATTCGCTTTGGGCAACCGAGCAAAGGGAAACTTCCATTTGCTTCCGCCCCCAGCAAAAAAATACTTGCAGTAGGGAAATCGATTCTCTTTACAGCCAACAGGGGAAACTCAGAAAACATATGTTTAACCAATCGGAAGTAATCCTTCACCAAAACAATACTCCTAGTTGGTGTTTCGGGGCCTCAGGTTGGGAAAAATAACAAAGCAAATGTTGTGCCCAGATTCTCATCTACCCCAGTTTATTAACATGGGGAGAGGTCTATTTCTGGTTTTAGTGGGGAGTCAGATCACTTTTGGAGTGGAACACCCCCATATTAATAAACTGGGGTTGATGAAAATATGGGGTCAACATTATTCCGTTTGTCGAAACAACAGCAGGGGAATATAAACCATGTTCCTTTCATTTCGGTTTGCCTATTTGCCGGGGACTCCGACCCTCAGCTTGGCTCCGCTGTTGGGCCAAGGCTCTTCTCCGGATCCGCGGGAAGCTCCGCAGGAAGCTCCGCGGGAAGCTCCGCGGGATCCTGGAAGGAAATGCAGCTTGGGTCTCAGGGGGACGGAGAACTACTCGGTTGCTTTCTGCTCCCTGGAAAAAGTGACTCACTTTTAGTGGGTTTAATGAAAAACCCATTAGTTGGCAAAAAGTTAAAGTCCTAACATCCAAGCAAAATGCACCAAAGACTACCTAGAATTTCCGAAATGGGCCGGGTCATGACCCGAACATCTTTCTTTTGGGAGTTTTGACCAACCATTTTTCAAGGATTCGGAGAGTCTACCCATAACCCCCCCAAACAAAACGTGGTCTACCAATGTTGAGGCCCTACCAATGTTTTGATTCGGGCCGGAGGCTCCAGGCTTCCCCCCCCGTTCTGCGGGCGCCCGTTTTGGTTTGGTTTTTCAAGCCGCCGGGACCGGCCTATGGGGGTAAAAGTGCCCTCAAATCTTTTGTTCGGGTCCTCTTGCGCCTAGGGAAGGCGAGCCATCAGGAAAACAAACACATGCTTGGAGGGGTGCCCTAAACAAAACACACACGCCCTACTCCAAATACCCACTTGTTCTAGGGAATTTTGTGAAAAATATGGGTTTCCATGGTAAATACCTTCTTTCTTAGTAGAGGGTCGGCAAATACCCTGGATAGCCAAGTTGCGATCGCTTTTTTTCAGTCACTGTTGCGATCGGTTTTTGGGGTAAAGTGCATGGAAAAGAAACAGCAACTGGCGATCCAGAACATTTTGGGAGGGGTACCCTAAACCAAAAAACACACGAACACGCCATTTGGAAAGTTATTGAGAGGTGGCCATGTTTTTTTTTTTTTTTTGGGGGGGGGGGGAACCTCCCAAGGAACTCCCCGGACATTCAAGGCTGTACTTCAAGGGGGATACCTGGGTGGACAAGCTTCAATATCACCCACTCCTCAGTTGCCCAGTTTGGACCTAAAAAATTTAACCTTTTGGGGCCATGACTAGTGGACCAGGAAAAAACAAAAAGCTTGGATGCGGTCGATTCGCGGTGGTCAAGTTGTTCGGCTCGCTTCCTGCGAGCCAAGCTGTTTGCTTGGCGATCCAAAGTCCTAAAGTCCAGAAACAAGAAAGTGAGCATAAAACTACTTACCTAGAGTCTCCCATGACCCCTGGAAAAAAGGGTCATGACCCCTTAATTTTGGGCAATGACCTCCTTTTTAAGGGTCACGGAGAGCCTAGGTAGAGTCTCCTTCTGACCCTGTTGGGTAATGACCCCATTTAAAGGGTCAGAAGGAGACTCTAGGTAGTTTAAGTCTCTAGGTGGGTCATGACCAACCATGTTTAAAGGGTCATGGTAGTTACCCTGTTAACATTTGGGGCCCTGTGTTTTTTCATCGCTTGAGTTGGGGGGTTCACCCCAGACACAGGATTCCGATCCAGAGTGCACAAAAGTGCAAGCGTGGAATTTCCCAACGAGCAACCAAAATCCATTGACGTCCGAAAGTCCGAAATGTTGACCGAAACGGAACTCGCTTGCTAAACCAAAACCTTACAGAGTTTCAATTCAAAGTTTTGCAGTGTCTGTCTGGCAGCATGCCACAAGTCAGCAGCACAGGTAGCGGCAAGCTTTCAGAACTCATATTTTTTATTTGTGACCACTGCTGTTCTGAGAGCAAAATTTGTTGCCGACCTGAACATGCACAATTGCGGGAGCAGCACCGAAAGCGAGGCGGAATGGATTCTTCGCAAATTAGCTAAGCGAACCTTCACGGGTGAGCTCCTTGTTTTCTCGCCCCTGGTAAGCTTGTTGCAATTTGTCCAAGCATAATCTTAAAACACGGGATTGCCACTCACTTCCTGAGTGGGTTGGCCAAACAAAGAGTCCCAAGCTGTGTGGTTGCCACTAAAATGGTCCAGACCCAAAAAGTTTTACGTCCAGGAACTCCAGGTATGAGTCCAAATGGGTGGTTTCCCCTTCATGCGACCCAACAAAATACCCTCGAGAGCTTCGAGTCACCCAAATCCTCCGAAGGCTTCGCATCGCAAGCGGTTTCGGCCTTGGCGTCCATGTCAGAATGGGATACTTGCTTTTTAATAGGATCCTCTACTAAAAAAGAAGGTATTTACCATGGAAACCCAGGTTTTGCCCACAACCCTATAACAATGGGTGTACCTAGACTCTCCGTCCGACCATTAAAAAAATGGTTGGTCATTACCCAAAAGAAACATTCAGGTCATGATCCCTTTTTCTAGGGGTCACGGAGACTCTAGGTGGATGGGTTCTCCTTCTCGCTGAAGTCTAGGTGGTCATGGAAATTCTAGGTACTTGCCTTTTTGATAGGATCCACATGAAAATGGCTTGGCTGGTTGGCTGGATGGCTGCTTGGTTGGCTGCATGGCTGGCTGGTTGGCGCTTTTGCTGAAAAAATGTAGAACACTCCTTGAGTCAAAGCTTCCGATTTCTTTCTGTCCACTACTGTGAATGGACCAAATCATTGACCAGTGTCTGATGATTCCCCTGTACATTCCAACAAACCCACCACTGTAAATATCAAACAAACAATGGTTGATTCCCCTGCAAACAGCAAACCAATTTTATCGTGTCGCCTGGTTTCAAGGTGGTGCCGGATGGCTCGTCCATCGAAAAGCGCTTCACTTCCCAAAGGCGTAACAAACGGACGGAAGCGCGCAGGACCGTCCACGAGAAACGTCTTCCAAGAGGAAGCGCTCTCTATCAATGTGTATCTCACTTGCTCAAAGTAGCCAGAGAACACATGGCTACCTTACAGGAGACCTCGACAAAATATAGACCACCGGAACAGGTGGGAAGAATATTTGGAAGTAGTTTGTTGGTGGTTGACAAGACACGCAAGAAACGAGAGCGCCAAACAGACCTGTTTACCATGAGAAGGGGCCACTCTTTTTGCACCTGGACTCTGACACCATAAAAAATCACAGTGCCCCATAATATTGGGGCATCCTTTTAGGTCCCCCATAATAGTGGGCATCCTTTTAGGTCCCCCATAATATATGTGGGCATCCTTTTAGGTCCCCCATAATATTGGGGCATCCTTTTAGGTACTTGACTTTTCACAAACAGCCCGTTTGACGTCTCTCTGAAAAACGCGAGGGGATTCAGCCGAACGGGGTCCACCATTTTTTTCGCCAAACGCCCAGAAAATCATTCTACCCCAAGGTGCCTGGAGTCTCTTCTTGGACCCATTAAACATGGTTGGTCATTACCCTAAATAATGGGATCATGGACCTCTTTTTAAAGGGGTCACGGAGACTCTAGGTAGACTTATACTTAAACCCAGAGAATTGGCTTCCCAATCTGCGAAAAAGTCGACCACCAGGTTCAAGTCCACGTTGTGGTCAAAAAAAGGACTTGGCTTCCCTTTGTGCGAAAAAGTCGACCACCGGGTTTAAGCTCATGCAAAAAATGGATCGGATGGGAGCCATTTGGATCCAAAGCTTTGAGCGCCCGCACTCCCAGGACTCCTTGGCACACAACTCGCAGAACAAATTCGCAGGCAGACGGCGGGTTCGCAACCCTGACAAAATTTCAAAGCGACCTGGAAGCAAAAGTCACCCAGAAAACTGGCGCCAGAATTATATACGGCTTTGTCCTTATACATTTGTTTTGTTTTTTGTTCGTTTTTTTTGCGTTGGAATCCTTTTTTTGTGTGGTTGGTTTAAAGGGACACCGAGAGGAAAACCGTGTTGCCATTTTGATGTCCAACCTGAAAAAAGACACACACACACATATCCCGCTTAAAACTGGGGCAATACAAAGAAGTTGCTCGCAACACTCTGAGGGTGCCTTCCATTTTCCCGCGCTTTCCAGGGATCCGAAGACAACCTCCGGAAATTGAGGGAAAACGGCGATCGGTTTTTGAAAAGAACTATGGTTGAAAAGAATGGTGAGTCAGTTTCTAGAAACACCCATTTGTGAAACAAATATCCTGTTCTTCCAGTTGCCTGTCACTGAAAAGAGCAACTCCAGCAAGAGTTCAAACCTGAATAGCACCCCCAAACAAAGTGAATGGGTTCTAACAAATGGGTTCTAGGATGCTACACTGACATGACTGCCCCTTGGTGCAAGCTGGAACCGGCAAGCTTCTACATGTAGAAGGACTAAATTTAGGTGTATCCTTTAAGGAACCCTAAAGAATAAAGTAACCCATGTTTCCTGCAGAACATGTCCCACCCGGAACCTTCTGCCAGCCCGAATCAAGTGAAAGCCCGCGAGCGGGCTTTAACCCGATAGTAGCAATTGGGCCAGACACTTTCGTCCGGGGGGGGTCCCAAGATTTCCCTGTTAAGCCCCTCTAAGCATCAACTTCCGGGCCACTTTTACCTAGACTCTCCATGACCCTTAAAAAATGGGGTCATTGCCTAGAATCAAGGGGTCATGACCCCATTTTCTTTGGGTCATGGAGACTCTAGGTAGATGTCTGTCCCCTTGATGGGGTGATTCTTCCGGGGGGAAATATCTGGACCCTTGTTGGTTAAAAAACACCCAATGCAACTCACAATTTGGGCCACTCAGGGCGTCAATGGCGTTCTCTACTGCCAAGATTTATCCATGGGCACTTAGTGACCCAAAACGTAGAAAAATAATTCGAACCATCTCTTCTTGACCATTGCGAAGCTAGAACACCTACAAAAAGGGTTGAAACAACACGCTCACATGTGCAATCGAAGCACCCGGATTGTTTTTTGCTGAGGGCGCGGCCAGTCTTTTCCTTCTCGTCTTCGCTCATTGCGCGAAGCGGCGACAAGTCTGTTCGATGCTGGCAACTGTGCCCTAGCGGCCCAAGACCTCACTTTTTTTGCAGATCGTTGGGGCTTCAAGGGCGCCAAAGCGCGCGATATTTTTCCATTGCAACTTGGCATCTCTCCGCCGCCCAGTGTCTGGCTTGGATTCGGGGTTCGGAACACTCGCGGAGTTGATGGCAAGAGCTCCTTGGGGTACGAGCTCAGCAATGACGGCAACGTTGAACGCGCAGTTGGGGCTTATAGCATGCAAGAATGAAAGAAGGCAACACACACACACACACACACACTTTCAACATGGTCTTGCGAAAGCCAATATTCATCGAGACGCACAAACATAGTGTTGTGTGTTTCGAAGCGATTCGAAGACAACCTTTGGGTGTTCAACCCCGCCGCATTTTGAAACTTCCAGTGCTAGGCTCTGGCTCTTTCGGACGGCCGGCAGGATTTGCGATTTGCTGACATCATGATCAAAAGTACCTGGAGTCTTGTAAGAACGGGGTCATTACATGTCAGTACCCAAAGAAAGGGGTCATGACCCCATTTTTAAAGGGTCATGGAGAGTCTAGGCACTTTTCCCCAAAACGAAGGATTGACCAAGTCCGGGTGTTGGGAATGAACCCGAAGGGGATTCCCCTAAAGGAAACTATGGGATGGATGTTTTATAGGTGTCATTCCCTCACTGGCTTTTCTGGGATATTTTTACAGCTCCCCAATCCCGAGGCCCAAATGGAGTGACCACACAGGTGACATGCTGACCAAATCTGAGGGCCCAACAGGCGACACCGGCAAAATCATCCCTTCGGTTCTGACTCTGATAACCACCCACAAAACGGTCATGTTGATGGACCCACTCACTCATGTACCGTGAGGGGAATAGACCTCATCTTGAAACACTTGCTATAAGCAAATGTCTCCACACTAGACATCCAAATGGCTGGTGTCATGTTGGTCTTCCTGTACAACGGTCGCAAAACGAGACTCGGAACAAAGAAACCTACTTGGGCATCCCCGCAAAAAGCAGATAAACATGCAACATGTACATGTATTCGTGCTCACGCACCTATCAAACAAAACACACAGCTGGCACCTTTCAACACTATATACAGCATATTGGGCGCTTACCCTTGGTTGACGTTGGAAGGGGAGCAAACGTGTAAATTTTAGCAGATTTCAAACACTGAGCCACAATAAGCAAAGATGTAAAATGTTTCCCAACAACAACCATGTACCCCGTCCAGTTCATTAAACTTGGGCACGAACAGGTCGCCGAACGCCTCATTGTCATAAGACGAGTGGAATCAGTGAGCATCTATAGTTCCGAGGCTGACCCTGAATCACAGCTGAGCAGCGCCCAAAACCCCTTGACTGGGTGGTTCTACTTTTCATGTGCATGAAGGTGTGTAAAAAGTGGTAATAAGCTGTGTGCGTGTCAAAAACGGGAGGGCCCGCAACTGGTGGTTTTCCTGTTGGTTTCCCTTTCAACCTTCCTAAAAAAACCGTCACACAAGCACTCATGCGCAGAGGCTTGCTACTGCGGATGGACGAAATCCATTTCGCACCACTTTGAAACCATGGGCAACCATTGCTTGCTGGTATTTACAGGGGAATCATGGTTCCAGGGCTTCTTAGGTGGTGCGAAGTGAATTTCGTCCATCCACCGTATCACCCCCGGAAATACGAGGTAGTAGCGGCCGCCTGACCTGTGGACGGACCTCTTTTTTTGACGCACGCCCCCTGACCTGCACTCATATGAAAGCCAAAAGGCACACTGATACAGAGCTTCTTTCCACTGGGCGCTGGCCCTAAGATGCCGTAGCATTGCGTTTCTCCCGATGGAACCCGTTGCTGCCCGTTTTCAGCTGCGGCCAAAACCACATACCCCCTTTTTCTGTATGGGCCCTGCAGCAAGTTAGCTATTGCTGGTTGAACAAGATAATGATGACAAACCACAAAGGCAGCAGCTTGAAAAATAGCAAGTCTAGGCTGGAATTAGGACCCCAGCAAAAAAATAGACCTTTTTTGCCTGGTTCGTGGAAAACAAAGGGAACCCCCAAAAAAAGAGAAAACAACACAAAAAGGGGAGCGAATTCTGGGGAATAAGTGAGGTCTGGCAACCTATGGATTCGTTTTGGTTTCCCCAAGCCATCCAACTTCGGCCGGAAGCCGTCAGCGTGCGCAACAGCGCTCTGAAGCTCTAGGTCTATGCTTCAGCTTAAGCAGTGACCAGGTATCTCTTACCTGATCATCCCAGGGTAAATAAACTCATTTGGCTGTGAGTTCTAATGGAAAAAACAACTGAACAAGTGTTGGTGGACATAAATCCCCACCTAGGTGATGTCAAAGGGCCCAACAGACCCTCAACCTACCCTCAAAACGGGGATATTGTAACCGAAGACTATAGGGACATTCCCTTCTCCCCAACAGCTGAAAGCTATGGGGTCTCTGCTGAGATAGGCTCTGCGCTTGGGCAGCTTTCAGGGAGGGTTCCGGAGGTTCTAGGCCTGTTTGGGATATGACTTGGGCTTATTCCGGGAAGTTTCTTTGGGCGGCACCCTTCTGAAGACTCCTCACTGCGTATCGGTACTAAGGTACTGGCGACATGAATCACTCGGAGGGTGTTCCCTCCAATGTGATGGATTCCCTCTAACGTGGGACACCCAAAGTATTGGGCATTCTCAGTTGCCCAAAAATTCAAGGTTCACCTTTTGGGACCTTTACTAAAAATGGACCAAACATGGGACACCAAAAGGTCAGGTCCGGTCGATTCGCTTCGGGCAAGTGAGAATTCGATTCCAGACTCGGGTGCTCGGCCAAGTTCGCAAGTTGGTTAGAGCAGCTGATTCTAATAACAGGTTTAATCTCACTTCGGGGGGTATTTCTGCGTTGCAACCTAAGTCATGAACAAGTTAGCCTCCAAAAATGACCTTGGGAATATGGATTCAACTTGTCGTGAGACCTCGTGAGACCTCCAGTAGCACTTTCACTAGAACCCACCAGCACCTTTTGCAACCAAACACTTAGACCCTCCAGAAGTGATAGGGAAAGACCTGGGTCCTCTTTTGCTGGTCGAGCTTAAACTCACCTGCCCCAAGGACCTTGAACAAAAGGATGAGCCTTTTGGTACCTTGACTAAAAATGGGCCAAAAGCGGCAAACCAAAAGGTCAGATCCGGTCGATCCACTATAGGGAGAACTGAGAAAAGGCGCCGTATACCCCCTAAACAAACAAGACCAGGTGGCGTCCCAGCAGCTGGAACCCTCCTTTGAACCCTCCCTGAAAGCTGCCCCAAACCAAGTTTGGGGAAACCTCCCATGAATCCCTATGTCGCATCATGTTGCTTCGAGCTTGCGCTTTCCTTACGCGACCCATGTTTTAGCTCTCGCGGCAGTCAGCGAGCATGTTAAGCTTGCGCATCGTTACGCGTCTGGGTTTTGAGCGTTTCCCCTCCAGAATTGGTTACGCGGCCTCCTTCTCCCATGCAGCCGCCAGAACTGTTCACGAGGACATGGTGGACCCTGAGGAAGGAAATGACGAAGAACCACCCTCACGAGCTTCAGCGGCTTGGCGTTGCTGTTGTTACTGCAAGCCAAAAACCGGCTTATGCGCCGGCGGTATCTATGGCAGCGGGCAGCCGAGCTAGGCAAGCTGACACTAACCTTACGCGCACGCTTACGCAGGCGTACGCGCCCGAGCCCCTGTAGTTTTCTTAAATCTGCTGTTTCAGAAGCCTTTGGTTGTCCCCTAGTAAAGGTGTCAACACCACCTGGCATAATCCCCAAGAGCTGCCAATTACAGATTGCTGTTTTGCTTATTTCTGTTGGTGCGCACATGCGGTCTCGGACGTCTTCCTGAAGACAAAGTCTCCGGGCAAGTTGCCAAGCTCGGCCAGGTTGAAACAGCACAAACCACCAATAAACATGCAAGCACATTTGTGAAACAACTCTTTCGAGCATGCTTACAAAGCTTACCAAGCAATCACGAAGAAGAGCTTACGCGGGTGCTTACGCAGCGCGTTTCCCCAAAAAGTGCTTACGCCGGCTCACGCCGTGCAGATTTTTGCTTGCGCGGGGCCTTGCTATGACACTATTGCTTGGGATGTAAAGTTTGTTTTTTAGAGCTGCTCAGGTGAAGGCAAAAAGGACGAGACAGTTGCGGGTGCTTTCCGCGAGCTTCGGAACCCAGCATGTCGACTTCCACTTGCTTTTTGGGTGCACGAAATGATTGCCCAAGCCTCATGATTCGAGGCCCTAAACAGAGCCAACTGCCCTCATATGGGTCTTGGGCTCCGAGGGAACCATGTTCCTTTTAAACCAACATGAAAGCATGCACATCAAACCTCGGTTGCTTTCTGCTCCCCTGCTAAAAGTTTAACTTTTAGCGGTTTAATGGAAAACCCATTAGTTGGCAAAAAGTTCAAGTCCTAACAGCCAAGCAAAATGCGCCAAAGAAACTCAACATCACGTACGCAAAATAAACGCTACAGTAGGTTGCCCAGTACGCAATTGTGTTTTGGATTGGCGCTTGGGGATCATCACCAATCCTTCTTGCCTAAAGCAAATACCAAGACATCAAGCGACCAAAGCACCATACCAGCACAACATCAGTCAACACCACAATGAGGCGAAGCCGTTTTAGGATATACATGTGCATATATATATATATACAATGTATGTAATGCAATATATGTATATATACATCGTCATGTAGCGGACTTTCAACTGCTACCGCACTGCCGAAGCGGGCTGGAGAAAATGCACTGCTCGGAATCCATTTCGCACCTAAGAAACCCTGAAGATTCCCCCCGTAAATGCCAACAATCAATAAGTTGACTGGCCAAAAAAGTCTGAACTTTTTATTTACCACTAAAGTGGTCTTTCCAAAAGGTTTAAAGTCCATCAACTCAGGAAGTGAGGAATCAATGGCTTCCCATGATTTCAATTACAATGGTGCGAAATGGATTTCGTCCATCCACAGTATCAAGTGTGTGTGTGTGTGTGTTAAAACTAGCGGTGTCTTTGAGGTTCACGCTTCAGCAGAAGCCAAAGCATGAACAGCGTCCAACACCTGCTGACAGTTGCTGCTATTGAAATGGCTATACATTTATACAGGCCTCGTCATCAAACAAGGTAGTGGTATAATTCGGTAGTAACATTCTAATTGTCCCATTCCTACCCATCTTATGGTCACTGCTCTCTCGGACTCTCTTGTCGCTTTGACGCATGATTGCGGCAACCTCTTCGCTCCCAGTGGCACTTAGAGGCACCAGCTTTCTTTCGTTGGATTCTTGGTTGCTCCAACGTCATCAGCCAATCCCTGTGTCAACAAAAACGTTGCGACCCATACTTGAAACCAATGCTGAACAATACCACAAATTATTACCAGAACCTGCAGCACCCTATCCTTAATCCACACCTATCCTATTGTCAGAAAACAAAGCTATGACCCCCCCCCCAAGCACCATATGAGCCTGCATAGGGCTTCTGGATCTCTGGAAGGAATCGGATCTCAATATGTTTGGCGTTTTTAAGGTCCAAAGATCCAAAGACTCAGCACCATGGCAAGAAGCGCATCCCGTGCGTGTGCCACCGGGGCCGCGTGAGGATTTTGGGTCTGCGCTCAACCGGCCAATTGGGCCAATGCGCTCTCATCGTCTTTCACTTTGTTCCCAAAGATCTGCCTCGGGGAAAGCACTGAATCAGTGGGCTGGTCGGGCCGAGGGCCAGAGCGAGGAAATGAAGCCGGGTATAAGCATGACTCGACACGGCCCATGGGAATCAGGTCCACAAACCTGCTAACGCTCATGAGTCTTGCTGATTATTTTGGACTTTGCCTTACTTGCAGGTGCACAACCCTTCTACCCCAGCCCTCTTCCAGGCACCTTCCCCCCCGCCCTTCCACCCCCTTTGCCAGTGACTTTCTGACTTTCCAATGAATGTTCCAACCCTGTTTTGCTCGTGGCCTGCCATTCGCCTACCACGTTCATGCCATTTTCCTGCCAGCCTTATGCCTCAAGGACCTGCCGGGACAAAAGGATCCAATACTCGACTCTTCCCAAAGTTGTCTCTCAGTGAAAGAGCCGTGTTCTTGGTGTTTGGAGCGATTCCAACATTTTTTTTGGTGGCTCCAAGCCCGCCAAACAGGATGATTTAGCGGGCGGAATTCACTGAACAGTAGTTCTACAGTTCTACCGCCAATTTTGTCCCTAGTCTTAACCAACCAAAAAACTGATTGATGCTAGTCTTACCCCTTAAAACTCCAAGGATTGGGGAAGTTAACCTTTTACAGACATATAGCCCATGTTACCCAAAAAGTTGAAAAGTTGTGTTTTTAAGAGGTAAGTCCAACATATGGGTATGAGAAACTCCCCCTTTTTGAGGGTGCCCTTTTTGAGGGCTGGTGTTGCATCCGTCTCTGCCTAGACTCTCCATGACCCTTCAAAAATGGAGCCATTACCCAAAAGAAAGGGGTCATGATCCCATTTTCGACGGGTCATGGAGAGTCTAGGTGGGAAGCCGGGGGGAAATGTCCGCACGGCAAACTGAGACCGCTGGCGCTTCAAAAGGCCGGCCGCCTTGCGATGCAACCCGAGCAGCGGACGCGGCGGAAGCGAAATCAGCCACAGGGATGCCACGTACAAATAAAACTCGCTGGTGCTCAGCCGGGAATGTGGGAATGAACCGTTTCGGGATTCCCGCAAAGGAAACCACAAGGGAGAACCGTACCTGAACATAGGCCTCCTTTTCGGGGAAATAGATTAGATGGCCCTGGTAGATGATTCAACCACCAGGTAAACCAGGAATCCCCATAAATTGTTTCGACCAAAAGAACCAAAAAGGACACCTATGTTCCTGGTGCTCAACTGGGAATGTGGGAATGAACCGTTTCGTAGAGGAAACTACCAGTTGGATGGTTTAGAAGGGTCATTCCAACTCATTCCCTGCTGAGAACCTAGCTCAATGGATAGTAAGCCTTGTACTCCACCTACCATGGTTGTAAGTTTTCTACCAGACGTCACTAAGCATTTCGCGAAGATCCCTAGACTCTCCATGACCCTTAAAAAATGGTTGGTCATTGCCTAACATTAAGATTCGGGTCAAATGGGCCCATTTTCTAGGGGTCATGGAGACTCTAGGTCCAATAGTAAGCCTTGTACTCCACCTACCTTGGTTGTAAGTTTTCTACCAAATTGTCTACCAAACGTCGCTAAGCATTTTGCGAAGATCCAAAGTGGTTCATAGCTTTTTCGCCGAACCCAAGCCCGGCCCGGGGGACGCGAGGGACTTGACTCAACGCTTCAGTTTGGATTGGCTTGGAGATCTGAACCGCTGGTTCTGGTGAGTAAATGAGACACTACCGAACCTCCACACGTCCCAAGCACCGACTCGGCTCCTCCAAACCACCAATTAGAGGGAACACCGCCCCTGCAACAATTCTGCCCTTTTTGAACATTTCGTTGGTTGGGGAGGAACACGGATGTTAAAGCCAACATGACCAACAGTTCAAAGGCGAACTACGCTTCCAATTGCTTCGCTAGTGATAGATGCCCTTGAAAGCGCCAGGAGAAGATAACACATATTCTAAAACGCCAATGGATCTAAGACTGGCAGCTCCAAACGACCCGGGCCGTTTGAAACCCCCGAGTCGGTCGGGGGGTTGGGGCATTGGGGCACCCATTCTCATTCGTTCCTCGAACTCGGTACGTAGTACCTGGCGTCTCCGGTCACCTGAATGGTGACCCCAAACATTGGCAGACCAACCCTTTTTGCTTCTCTTTTTTTATGGGTTATCATGCCCCCCGCCCATTTCTCAAAGGTTTCTTGGAGATAGCTGGGTGAGTCTTAGAGTCTAGGAGCAACCCGCTCCTAAGAAACATGCTACAAGCCTTGGCAACAGTGTACGTCTGAGGTCAGCGCCTACTTTGGAGAGACATGCTACCCACAAAACCTCTCTGGGGATTGCGGCTTGGCCTCTTGGACATGACCGAAGGTTTACCTAGACTCTCCAGGACCCCTCAAAAATGGGTCATGACCCCTTTCTTTTGGGTAATCCCAAAGTGCAAATTCAGCGCAAGTCACAGTATGTCAGACCTCTAAAACCGGACTTTGCATGCCCAGTGGCCCTGCTAGAAAAAACGAGAACCCTTTGTCGTGGCCACTGTTCTTCAGTGGCGAACCCAGCAAACCAAAAAGGAGGAGGAAGGTGCCACTGAACTTGGACGCCAAACGCATGCCGAAGGGTTCTTGAACCGATCGGGGTGGAGTGGCCCTTTGTTTTGGCACTCCCCTAAAGGTGAACTCTTTGTGCGGTACTACTGTGGGTGGACGAAATCCATTTCGCACCACTTTGAAGCCATGGGAAACCATTGTTGGTTGGTACATATGTTGGGGAAGCATCATTCCGTTGGGTTTCTTAGGTGGTGCGATTCCTGGACGTCGCAAGCATCCACAGTATGAGGAATATACTGGACAACAAACCAACCCGGGAAACGAAAAGAAGAAGCTGGAAAGGTGGGCGGTTCCTCCAAGAACACACCTCTAGGGGTACCCTTCCATTTCCACGCTTTCCAACAATCCGAATCTTTCTAGAACTCCTTCAGACAAAAAGGAAAACGGCTGGCTATTATGGTTGACACCCAGGGAAACGGCTGGTTGCGGAAAAGAACGATGGTGGTAAATAATGAAGAACCAACCCCTAGGTTGCAAAAAAAAAAAATGTCTCTTTTTGTACGGTCAGCTTCCCAACCTTTTATGCAGATACACTACAAAAGCATGCGGTCCTGAAAAAAATAACAATATTCCCGCCAATCATGAAAGCTGACACCTAGTTGCTTTCTGCTCCCCTGCTAAAAGTTTCACTTTTAGTGGCTTAATGGAAAACCCTTTAGTTGGCAAAAAGTCAACCTACTAAAATCCAAGCAAGCTGCACCAAAGGACAGGTCTTGCAAAATGTCGGTTCACACTTTTACGCACGGCCTTTGGTTTTCCATGCTGCTTGGCCCACGTGGGTTTTTCAAACTTGGGAACCGACTCCTCCAGGTAGTTGGTGTCCTTTTGGGTTTCCCTTTCACACCATCCAACAAAGGGCCTGGGAAGTAGGAGGAAAGTAAGAGGACCAAACACAAAAAACAAAAAACTTACCGTCGATCATTGGGTTTCAAAGAAACCCTATCTGGCGTCTCTTTATTTGTTTGTTATTCTTCGTGTTTTTCATGGGGTCACAACCTTTCATTTTGGATATTGTTTGTAGGCCCCATATTTTAAAGGTCAGACAAATCGGGGGAGCATCCTATCGAATCCATGTCGATCTGGATCGCCTGCGAAGGGCAAATCCTTGGGCTCATTTGGCTGAATCCTCAGCCGGAGACATCTAAATCCCAGCCAAAAGAAGCACCGGAGGCAGCTTAGGTCACTGGAGTTCCCTTTTAGCCTTAAAGAACGCAAAAAGGAGATCAGATGGTAAGTTGTTTTTTCAGACCCTCTATTGAACATCCAGTCTAAGAAGGAGAACATGGATGGAACCGGCCCTGTATGTTGCTGGATCGGGCGATCGGCCGCGTGACTTGCGTGCCTAAGCCCAAGTGTCTGGAAGAAATTGGTGGGTGCCCCGATGAAGGATGTCCTTTTCAACCAAGGTTCGCCATTTGGAACCTTGAGTCAGAAAGTGGACCAAAGGGGGAAACCAGAAGATCGCCCTGGGGGTCATGACCCCTCCAACGCACACCCCGGACCCTCCAATGGAGAACAAAAGCCCTTGAAAACAACCAGATTTGGGGGCGCAAAAACAATCGAGACCCTTGGGGGTAGTGAGAAAATAAGCGAGGTGTTCCCAACAAGTTGCAGGTTGAAGATCCAACCCAACAGCATTCAAGGAACAGAAGGGGGCGTTTCCAAAAGGAGGGCCCACTCGTGCCGTTTGGGGACACCAAGGACAACAACCCCGTTTCTGGGCTCCTAGTGTTCGTGTGTGTATTCCTGGTCTCTTGGCTGCTGTTGACCCCTCTCCAACATGTTGTTCACGTTTTCTGGGTTCAACTCGGAAAGCCAATTGATTTCAACCAAAAGGTTAAAGTCGAAAGATCCCCCCAATGGCAATCATCAGCTGGGCATTGGCCGCGTGGCAACGAATCTGACCCACAGATCCCCTGCTAAAAGTGATTTTGCTTGTGGTCAAATGGAAACCCAACCCTTGGAACCGCCAAGAAAAGAGAATCAATGACAGCCCATAAATGGAAGTGACACCGGAAAAATGCCGAAAGGCAACCAAGGCTCCCGACATTGATTTTCCCCCTGAAACACCACCAGGAAGCGCACTGGCCATGCTAAAGGTGATGTGAACCAATCATCCCAACAAGTGGTTGTTTCACTAAACACCCAATGTTTAAACTGAACAAACAATCCCCACAAGTGAGGTCATTAAAAAAGACAAAATCCAACACCGAGGTTCGTGTGGCTTCCGCATTTGTGGCTTGACGGCCGGACAGCTACATAACTAGGATCCGGGCGGCTCCTGGTGCGGCAGTGCCTGAGAAAAACAGAAAACGCGCGTCGCCAAAACACCAATGGCTTGGCTGGAATTAGGACCCGGGCAAAAAAAGACTAGGTTGTTTTTTTTGGCGAAAAGGTAAAAAGACTATAGGCTGCTTTTTACTTTTATTGGGAAAAAGTAAAAAAGACTAGGGTTTTTTTGCGGTCCCACCAAATAATGTTGGACCCTCTTTACACCCTCCAAACAGTCACAAGATCCTGAATTGCGAGAAACAATTTGCTACAATAGAGTGGACTATTAACAAAGGAGGTGTAACATTACCCTCCCACCAACTGACATGGAAGTGCAACAAGGCCCTTTCCGGGAGGAAAGTCGTCTTTCTACAGGGGTCTGTGCACTTCCATGTTAGCTGGTGGGAGAGTACGTTTTGCCTGGTTAGTGGAAAACAAAGGAGATCCCAAAAAAGAAGAAAGCAACATGGGAGCTAATCCAGCGGAAAATGGCAGGAGGCACCACGGAAAATTTGAGATTTTGTTTACACCCCTGAAGGTCTGAATGGATGGTTTTTGGGCCCTCATTAAACTGGTTGTTTTCAAGTGCCTTCGAGGAATTAGTCGGGCCTTTTTGCACAGATAATTTATCAGTGTCTCGGATTTCTGCTTCATAGTCTACTGAGGTATAGCGCTTTGGAAGAGAACACAGAACTCAGAATTGAGGTAAGGTGACTGGGATTGAGTGTGTACTCCTGAAAAAACCCTTTTGGGGTTCGACGCTGGAAACGACACCCTCCATTTTCAGGAAAAGCAAGGGATATTGTTCAGAGCTCAATACTTCTAAGGCAAAATCTGGCTTTCACAATTGAGGTGGGTTCTTGGACGGTCCCTCCCTTCCCCTCCCCCCTCCCCTTCCCCGCACCCACGACCCACCAACGACCCTCACCGCGCGACCACCGCGCGCCCACCGCGCGACCACTTCGCGCGCCTCGGCCTTGGCAGCCTCCGCCTTGGCGGCCTCGGCGCGCGCCTGCTCCGCGTCCGCCTCCGCGGCCAGGCGCTCGCGCTGCGCCTCCAGGCGCCGGATCTCGTCCTGCGGGGGTGGGTTTGGAACGCACGAAGGGTATTTCCAACACCGAATCCTAGGCACGGCCCATGAGAAAACTCCAGGCGCCGGATCTCGTCCTGCGGGGGTGGGTTTGGAACGCACGAAGGGTATTTCCAACACCGAATCCTAGGCACGGCCCATGAGAAAACTCAAAAATCACGTTATCACGCAATGTTTTTTTGCTTTCCCGAAAGCATGGCGAAGGGTTCTTCCGCTGGGTTCACTTGAGTTGTTCTCATGAGAGTCATTACAAGGTGTCATTGCAAGGAATCATCATCATGAAAGTCATTGCAAGGAGTCATTGCAAGGAGTCATTGCAAGGATTGCAAGGAGTCATTGCAAGGAGTCATTGCAAGGAGTCATTGCAAGGAGTCATTGCAAGGAGTCATTGCAAGGAGTCATTGCAAGGAGTCATTGCAAGGAGTCATTGCAAGGAGTCATTGCAAGGAGTCATTGCAAGGAGTCATTGCAAGGAGTCATTGCAAGGAGTCATTGCAAGGAGTCATTGCAAGGAGTCATTGCAAGGAGTCATTGCAAGGAGTCATTGCAAGGAGTCATTGCAAGGAGTCATTGCAAGGAGTCATTGCAAGGAGTCATTGCAAGGAGTGCAAGGAGTCATGGCAAGGATTGCAACTTGCACTTGACTCCTTGCACTTGCAACTTGCACTTGACTCCTTGCACTTGCACTTGCACTTGACTCCATGCACTTGCAACTTGCACTTGACTCCATGCACTTGGCTCCTTGCACTTGGCTCCTTGCACTTGGCTCCTTGCACTTGCAACTTGCACTTAACTCCGTGCACTTGCGACTTGCACTTGACTCCATGCACTTGGCTCCTTGCAACTTGCAATGGCTCTCATGACTCCTTGCAATGACTCCTTGCAATGACTCCTTGCAATGACTCCTTGCAATGACTCCTTGCAATGACTCCTTGCAATGACTCCTTGCAATGATGACTCCTTGCAATGACTCCTTGAAACAAGCAAGGAGTCAAGTGCAAGTTGCAAGTGCAAGGAGTCAAGTGCAATTGACTTGCGAGGAGTTAAAATCTCTTCTTAGGGCGGCGGGGTAGTGCCGACGACACTACACGAAAATCGACCCTCTGCGGGGATCGGCGTGGTCGAGGTGCAAAAACCCATGGTTTTTGCGATTTCCAACATGCCCGCGCGACCCTCTGCGGGGATCGGCGTGGTCGAGGTGCAAAAACCCATGTTTTTTTTTGCGATTTCCAACATGCCCGCGCGACCCTCTGCGGGGATCGGCGTGGTCGAGGTGCAAAAACCCATGTCTTTTTTTGCGATTTCTGCGGTGCTCGCGCAACCCTCTGCGGGGATCGGCGTGGTCGAGGTGCAAAAACACATGGTTTTTTTGCGATTTCTGCGGTGCCCGCGCAACCCTCTGCGGGGATCGGCGTGGTCGAGGTGCAAAAATGCTCGCGCAACCCTCTGCGGGAATCGGCGTGGTCGAGGTGCAAAAACTCGAGGTTTTTTGGGGCTTTTTCTCGTGGTTCGCGCGCCTGCTCCCGGAACCGGCGGGTCCCGGGTTCGATTCCTCCCTGGTCCGCGGGCGGGCGTCGCAAGATGCAACTTGCATTTTAAAGCAACTTGCGCAGAGCAACTTGCGCAGAGCAAGTTGCACAGAGCAACTTGCGCAGACCAACTTGCACCGACCAGTTTGCGCAGAGCGCCTTGCCTGGAGCAACTTGCGCAGAGCAACTTACGCAGAGCAACTTGCACAGAGCAACTTGCACAGAGCAGCTTGCACAGAGCAACTTGCAGGGAGCGCAATTTGCACAGAGCAACTTGCAGGGAGCCACTTGCAGGGACCAACTTGCCGGAGCAACTTGCGCGGAGCAACTTGCGCAGAGCAACTTGCACAGTGCAACTTGCGTAGAGCAACTTGCGCAGACCAACTTGCACCGACCAGTTTGCGCAGAGCACCTTGCCTGGTGCTGTCTCGCGCTTGCTTCACAAATGCTTCGTGTAGGGATGCAGCGTTGGGCCGACCTCGCTTGCGATGTTCTGCTTTCGGGCCAACCGTGGTCTAGTTTTAATGATGGTTTCTCAGCGACGTCAGCAACACAAGGTCTGGTCTGCTCCGCAAGCCCGAACGGTCTATGTAGCACCAGTGACTAGTGTTGACATTTCAACATCAAATAGGCAAAACGATGATTTTCCTGAAAAAACAAACAATTTTGGGCAGCAGATATTGGCTCCATTTGCTTATGTCCGCAGGAAAAAAACTAAGGACATATTTCCATCAGTGATCAGGGAACAATAAACAGTATATTCTGAAACACAAGTGGCAGAAGATAAGACTGATGGTTTTGGTTCGGAGACTCCATGTGCTTGATTGATTGCGCAGGTACGGAGTGGATGGTTAGCAAGGCCCCCAAGTGGGTTTTGTCTTCTAAGGCTTGCGAACATTTTACTCGACACACCCATTCCCCGCTCCAAGTGCTTCCGGAACAATCATATCGGGCTTCTCAACATAACCCAAAAAAAACAAATCGCCCCCCTGCGGCGGCAAGGGTTTCCTTTTGGGTTTCCTTTCTGGGTCCTCCAGTAGAGAGGTTAGAATCAGGGTACCAACCTTTTTTCTGTAGTCTACAAGTATAGGGGACCCCACCCCCCCCCCCATCCCTCCCCCCCCCCTCCCCCCCCCCTCCCCCCCTCCCAAAAAAGGGGTGAGAGGTCGGGCACCTAGCCGGGGCACCTAACGCCTCGCTGTTCGCTCCTCCGCCTCGTGCTTCTTCTTCTCCAAGGCCGACAAGGTGTCCTCCGCATCCTCAGAGTTGGAGGCCTCAAAAAAAAGAAGGTCGAGCGAAAACGGCGAAGTCGTCGGAGGCCATGGAACCCGAAATTGGACAAAGCTGAATTTCTGAATAAAACAAAATGGCTAAACCAAAAATTGGAGCAATTGTTACCATTCACTGAATAAAAAGCAAAGCTAAACCAAACCCATCTATTTCGAACCAAATTAAGCGATCAAAAGGAGACCTACTGTGGATGGACGAAATCCTGCACCACTTTGAAACCATGACACCATTGTTGGTTGGTACCTATACGGAACTCGAATCATTCCAAGTCTCCTTCCCACAGTATGAAGGCCCTTCTTGCGGGTCCAAGTACCCCGTTTTCGGGTGTCCGCAGGCCCAAATTCACGTGGGGCGGAGGGGCATAAGGGGCAGGGCTGAAGCTACAACATTCATGTCGCGCTAAGACTTGCCACTTGCGAAATCTTCTGCAGTTGTTGTGGCCATTTTACCCTGTAACCGCGACCAACAACCATCACTAAAGCAAACGGAAGATACCGGCTTTGTGAACTCGCTTCTTCCCAGACCTGCAGGAAAACGAAGCATGGCGCCCGGTTGTCGGGTCCCGGTTCCCGGCAGTTGATGTCAATGGGCTGATCCACACCAAAAACCGAGGCCAGGGGGATTATCAGTCCTGAGAACCGAATGGCAGAGACTTAGAGTCTCCTTCTGACCCCTAGAAAATGGTTGCCCATTTGACCCCTTAATTTTAGGCAATGACCAACCATTTTTTGGAGAGTCTAGGTATGGATGACCCCATTGTTCAAGGGTCATGGAGTGTCTGGGTATGGATTCTAGGTATGGATTCCATGGCTTGGCTTGGAGGCGATGGTTTTGTAAACCGGGAAAGGATGCAATCCTCCGAATGAAAGATGAGAAGGCTTTTGCGACGATGTGTTTCGTCTGTCTTCGCAAAGGCAAAATCTCTGTATCTTCTCGAAGGTACTGTGTTGCTAGTTTGAACGGATGTACAAATGTACACCTCCGAAGCCGGGGTTCGTCAAGTGGAAAGGCAAAGCCTGGCTGAACCAAAACCTCTAAAGCCAAGGTGCCCTTTTACAACATTCCCAGTTTGGGCCCCTGACCATGGACAAGGGTAGGAAACCAAAGGTCACATTCGGTCAATTCGTTTTGGGCAGAGTTGGCACTGGTGAGAATCAACCTGAAACCAGGGCCATCCGTTCATTCACAACCGAAAAAGGGATGCCGTGACTTGCCACACTTTCCAGCGGATACGAGAAGCCGCCCCAACTGAGGATGAGGTGTGGTTGGACATCATCACAGCTGGGTTGCTTTCTGCTCCCCTGCTAAAGTTTAACTTTTAAACAGTTTAATGGAAAACCCATTCGTCGGCAAAAAGTTAAAGTCCTAACATCCAAGCAAGATGCACCAAAGATAGTGGCTGCTAACCTCTTCTCTGCCTCATGACCCTGAAAAGTATTGAAGGGCGGGCACCCATGGCCTCGCTTCCCCATTGAGAAAGGCATTAACCCCCCCTCCCCGCAAATTGGCATGGAAACTGGGCAAAATCAGAGGCCGGAGACGAAACACATAAAGAATCAGCCCCTTTTTGGTTTCCTGGTGGGTCAACTCAAACCCAAAGCGAACAAGCACCTGGATGTTTTTCATATTTATATTCGCGCAACTGAAAGGCACACACTCCTTGACTCCTTCCCTCCAACTCAAGAAGACTCGAGCAGACTGGGTGCCTGACCTTCGAGTCCGACTTCGAAGAAGACTCCGATTTAGAGGACGCAGAGTCCGACTTCGCTGAAGAGGAGTCCGACTTTGTCGAAGACGAGTCGGACTTCGCTGAAGAAGAGTCTGACTTTGTCGAAGACGAGTCGGACTTCGCTGAAGAAGAGCCTGACTTCTCTGAAGACGAGTCGGATTTCCTTGAAGAGGAGTCTGCTTTCGCCGAAGACTCCGCCTTTGAGGAAGAGTCTGCCTTTGATGAGGACGACTCTGCCTTTGCCGACGCTGCCACTGTCTTCTGCGAAGAGCCCGTCCTACAGGGTAGCTGCCGCGTTGAAACATCACCCCACCGCAAGGAATCAAGTTTTCAAAAGCGACATGCAAAACCCACACCAATCGCCCCTGGAAAAGAGAAACATCAACAACAAAAACAAACATACTCATTCAAAAACATGGCAAACTGGACACATTAACGTCCCCCCCCAATCGCCCCACAAAAAGAAAGAAAGAGAAAACAAACACAAAAAAACGCCACCCACCTACCCAAGGGTTCGGAACCCTGGACCTCTGGCACCGTTTCGCTACATCGAGTTTGAGGGGAAGCCTCCCAGAACAGGACACATGTCATATGAAACTTTAAGGAACCACCACCCACACATGATTGGACATGAATCTCCATCCTAGGTCCTCCAGTAGAGAGGTTAGAATAAGCGTAGTACCCTTTTTTTGTGTAGTCTACTTTTAGCAGGGAAACCCTCCCCCCAAAAAAGGGTAAAAGGGCACCTAGCTGGGACCTAGTCTACCTGGAGTCTTCATGACCCTTTAATGGGTCCATGACCCCATTCTTTTGATTCATGACCAACCATTTTCCTTTAGGGTCATCTCACTTGCTGAGTGGATGGCCCCAACAAAAAGTCCAAACTTTCTATTTACCATTAAAATGGTCCAAGCCCAAAAACGTGACTAAAGTCTTCATGAACTCAGGAAGTGAAACAGAAGGAGACTCCAGGTAGACTGCCACCGCTCAACCTCAACCCTCGTCCTAGCGGCCTTTCCCGTCGTCTTTGAGCCCACCTTCCCAGGGCGAAAGCGCTGAGGTTTGGAGAGAGCCCCCCGTCCCCCCACGTTTTTCGGGGGCTTCCTTTTAAGGAACACCCGCAGGGAAACTCGCATTTTGAGACACGCCCAAGGATTTTGGCAGGGCTTTTCTTGAGGTGTCCCATGATTCAATGATTTGCGGGGGGGGGGGGGGAAGTATTATTTGAGACGCAGACATGTTGGTGTCAATCCAAGAGCGACAGCTGCCCCGGCTTGCAGCTCGCAGGATTCCAGGCGTCCATTTGCGGACGCGTCAAATGGAAACAGACAAAACATATTGCCAGAATTGAAATCGATTCCCTTTAAAACAAATAGGGAATGAACATTGTATTAAGCAAATGGAAGTCATTGCCAGCTTCTCGTTTGGTCCATGCGTCACTGGGCAGGCACATGCGAAGATGGAAGGCACAAGGCACAAGGACATAATCAAACAAAACATGTTCTTAAACAAATGGGTGTGTCTTTTTTAGGGAAACCCCTACAATGATGTCTTTCCGTTTGGTTTCTCCTTAAACCCAACCAAAAGAAGGTTCCTTAAAAACGAAGAGGTACCCGAAAGCTCGGTACTCCTGGCGGGAGGCCGGCAAGCATGTGCAAGCCTTTGGGCTCCTCCCCACCAAACAACAACAACACACAAACACACACACACAAAAAAAAAAACATGCCAAGGGCGTCAGGTCATCCCAACAGGCGCGAAGGCAACCGAGTTTGGGAGTTCCGATTCCTAGAACGGAAAACACACACCCAGATCTGTCTGATTCTTTCTCCAGACTTGTTGTACCTGTTGCGTGTGCCATCACGTGGCTCATGGTTATGGCTAGTGAAAATCCGCTTTCGCGGTCTGAACTCCCAAGTGTTGTTTGCCAGACCTGTGCCAAACCACAGTGCACAACCTTCATAGTCTAACCTCAGGATGGTAAAGGAAAATGCACTAAGGATATCCAAGCCCCTCCAATGGCGAGCCTTCTGGTTTGGTCATCATTTGGAAGCGACTCAAGAGCAAGACAGCCATATCCGGAGACCCTGGGACTGGCTTGATACCAAACAATTGACAGCTTTGCAGTTTGAAAGGAACAAAGGCAAAAAAGGCGGAATACCAAAACTTGGCCCCATACCTGGGGCATTCAAAACAAAACATGTTTTCTTTTTGTGGCATATTTGGCCTACCGAGAATGCCAGAAAACAGTAAACAGATTGGGAATTGGGAAATGACCCTTGGTTGTAGGTAAGTCACCTACATCGATCAAAAAGGGCACGTACCATGGAGTACTCTGAAAGCATCAAGCAATCTCACCTGCTAAGTCGATAGGAACAAAAAACAAAACATTGTGCTTAGCACGAAATGGTTTTACCCAAACGTACAAAGTCTTGGAACTCAGGGAGTGGGTAGTCCTGAAGGATCTTGGAGGGGTCTTGAAAAAGAAAACTAAGTCTGTCAATGTTTGTGGGAAACTGTCCCCCCCCGCTGGCCTGGGGCTTCTCCCTGTCCGAGTCAGCCTAGCCGACCGAAACGGCGCGAAGGTGCTTGGCGGAACGGCTGGCGAAGGAAAGCCCTGCCATAAGATACTGAAATTAGGCACAAATGAACGGGCCAAAATCATACAAGATGCTCTGAGCTGTGCACATGCGCGGGTACTTGCCGAAGGGTGAGATGCCCGTAGCATCCATAGCAAATTGGTCAACGACGTGTGGTCCCCATCCACTGCCATTAACTGCGACAAGAGGCAAGATAGATTATCGCGCAGGGCTATCTGAGAGGCTTGAGGGCAAAAGGAATGGCAGATGGCTCAAGGCTCAATGCTTTCTATGGCAAATGGCGTTGGTTTTTCAAAACAAGATAAACAAACAAGACAACAAAGCAAATAATACGTAAGCTCGGTGACATCCACAACAGCGCCATGCACCAGACCACCCCGAAACCTCCGCAACCTTGCTAGAACCTTGCACCTGGCCTACGTCAGACAACTTTGCTTGAACCCCGGACTTGAACCTTACACAGCTGACCATCCGCAGGCCTGCGCGCCCCAGAACCTCTGGAACCTTGCTAGAACCTTGCACCTGGCCTGCACAAGAGCACCCCCCAACCTCGGAACCTTACTTGAACCCCGGACTTGAGCCTTGCACGGCTGACCATCCCAGAACCTCCGGGCCTGCGCCAGAACATCCCGGAACCTCCGGAACCTTCCTTGAACCTGCACCAGAACCTGAACCTTCCACCCCGGAACCTCCGGAACCTTGCTCGAACCTGACTCCAGACCTCCCCAAACCACCCCCAAACCTTGTCTGGGCTGAGACCCTTAGCTTTCAGCTGTTGGGGAAACAACGAAAAAACACGACTATGCCCCAAGTCAGGACAGGTGACGTAGTCTTGTTTGTTGCTTTTTGATTGGTTGTTTTTCATTGTGTTTCTTGTTTGTTCAATATTGTTGTTTCAGTTTTTTGGATTCTGTTAACAAGAAACCCAGACCAGACGCCCGTTATGTTAAGATGGAGGCTCCAGGTACTGACTTCATACTTGACGTGCGCACCGAAAGAATTATTCACGACACGGATTGGCGGGGTTGGGGTTCCCCTATCTAGGAACTTCCCATGAGCCATGCACAGGAACTTCCCGAAATGGTTCCGCTGGGAGCTTCGCCCGGAGGCGCTGGAAACATCCAAGTCGCTGGAACCACTTCTATACTTCACAACCCTTACTCGGTTGCTTTCTGCTCCCCTGCAGAAAGTTTAATGTTTAGTGGTTTAATGGAAGCCCATTAATTGGCAAAAAGTTAAAGTTCTAACAGCCAAGCAAAATGCGCCAAAGCTTAGTATGGTTTATGGGCTTGCAAAAAACAGTGTTTATTGTTTTGTGCAGCCCCCTTCTAAACATGAACAGAACCAAAACAAACAAAGAGCTTGACAAGAACAAAGGAGTATACCTGCCCCTTGCAGTGGTAATTGATTCATCTTAATTAGTGGTATTCCTCGGACTACAGACTTTCAGACCCATCTAATTTCACACTCTTTTCAACAGGGGAAGCTAACAAAGGATTTGTGTACAATGATGGCAGTCTTCCAAAAAGAATCGCCATGGGACTATGGTGCACTTCCGGTGTTGAAAAGAGGGCTCCGTCTCTGTCCCATCTGAACATCGCGACTCGTGACCCCAGGTACGGGACCTAAATATTGCAAAGGGCACCAGGAAACCCTCTAATTTGCCCCGAGTCGTGGCTTTGTGGTTGAATACGATGTGTTTTACTTGCAATCTTCAGTTACTTTTTGTTGGGCGAACTGTGTCGAGCTACACACCCGATGCCGACTCGCGAACGATCCGGGTACTTAAATGGCCTGAGACTTAGGGTTGCCCACCAAACGCTTGGTACCCTACAGTGCCAGGGCAAAGCAACACCATTTCGATATGGTTACTAGCCATTCCCAGTGGATCCCAATCCCCCATATGGTAGGTCACCAGCTATTTCATTTTTATTTAAGGGTGGTTTTGTTGGTTACCCGCAAAACCAGGTAAATAGATCAACACTGGGATTTCGATAAGAGGCAAAACTGGTCTGTCCTCAGATCCCCTGCTAAGAGTGTAACCACTAAACCAACCAAAGAGATCTAAAAGGCTAAGTTGAACCGGATGGCTGGGAGCCGCCAACCTAAAACCCACCCCCACTTATCCAACCAAAAACCTCCAAACACCTTTCTGGAACCTGATGATGCGCCGGGAGCCCAGCAAAAAAAGCCCCTAGCTAGAAACCTCAAAAAACAACTCTGGAACCGGAAGATTCGCTGGGGTGGCAAAAGCCCCGCGAAAAAAAACAGAAGCTAAAAACCTGTTTGGAACCACATGATGCGCCGGGAGCCAAGAAAAACAAATCCCCCGAGAAAAGTCAAGACATCGACCTCGGACTCCGTGGCTCGCTGGTGGGCCTGGGGCTTGGTGGTGTCCAGCGCCAGGCTCTTGGCCTCGTCGGTGCAGCAGGTGTAGCTCACCGGGTCTCGGCAAGCGCGCAGCTGCGAAAGCGCGCGCGCTTTGCGCGTGTTTTTTTTGGGGGTCCGGTTAAAAGAGGACTCGGTCTTTTGGTTGTTTTTAAGGGAAACCAAGAGGAACACCACCATTTTGAGGGGTCATCAAAACACGGTGGCTTTCTGCTCCCCTGTTAAACGCGACTACCTTTTAAAGTGATTTAATGCGGAAATATGCGGCAAACCCCTCTTAGTTGGCAAGCAGCATGCACCAAAGAAAAGAGGGGCGCCGTGGGTGCCGGGGGCGGGGGTGGATTACGAGGGAGGGGAAGGGGAAGGGGGAAAGGAGTCGGAGGAGGATAGCAGGGAGGTTATGAGGGAAGGTGCGGAGGGGGTTAGCAGTGAGTGCTAGGAGTGAGTGCTAGGAGTGAGTGCTAAGAGGAGGGCTAGGAGGGTTAGGAGGGCTAGGGTTCGGAGGGTTAGGAGCGGCAAATCGAGTTTCGAACTCTGCGGGACAAGAAAAACCACTATATTCTGGCATAGGGAAGGATTGAACTCAAACAACCCAGTACTTAATTTGACCAAACATGCGCTGTTGGGCCATTTACGACAGAACAGATTGCAAAATTGAGCAACCGACCAGCAACCAACAAGCAAGCCAGCAAGCAACCAACCAACAAACAAGCGAATAAGCAAACAACAACAACAACAACAACAACAACAACAACAACAACAACAACAACAACAACAACAACAACAACAACAACAACAACAACAACAACAACAACAACAACAACAACAACAACAACAACAACAACAACAACAACAACAACAACAACAACAACAACAACAACAACAACAACAACAACAACAACAACAACAACAACAACAACAACAACAACAACAACAACAACAACAACAACAACAACAACAACAACAACAACAACAACAACAACAACAACAACAACAACAACAACAACAACAACAACAACAACAACAACAACAACAACAACAACAACAACAACAACAACTTCCACCCGTGCACATGCAACTGCATTGCGTTGTTGAAGAGAGGGCTTTACAAATTCAATGGAAATCCTGTCGGCCGCGGGGGTACAATGTGGGTGGGTAGTTGGGAGCTGCGGCCGGTCCTTAGGGTTTTATTAGGAAGGCTTAGGGAAGTCCCCCCCCCCCCTAGAAACTCCATCCAACCATCCAACCATCCAACCATCCAACCATCCAACCATCCAACCATCCGACCATCCAACCATCCAACCAACCATCCAACCATCCAACCATCCAACCATCCAACCATCCAACCATCCAACCATCCAACCATCCAACCATCCAACCATCCAACCATCCAACCATCCAACCATCCAACCATCCATCCATCCATCCAACCATCCAACCATCCAACCATCCAACCATCCAACCATCCAACCAACCAACCAACCAACCAACCAACCAACCAGCCAGCCAGCCAACCAACCAACCAACCAACACATAAAAGCAACACCTAAAAGCAACACAACAACCAATGGACCAAAGAAAAATCAAAACAATCACACCGAACCCCCCCCCCCTTAGTGACTCCACGTTTGTAAAAAAAAGAGAAGAAGCTGGGCGCGCGGCTCATCTGCAGCTTCAAGCAGATCATCCCGCTGGCGCAGTCCTTGCTGCAGTCCTTCTCTGAGTAGCTGGAGCAATCTCTCTGATCCTCGGCCATCCGGCCATCACCCAAACCGGCACAGGTATCCCGTTTGGTCGAATCGATGAGTTGGTTCTCACAAAACCCAGCTGCACCAGTGGAACCCCATCTATTTCTAGCCGAGCTTCAACATGTTACACAGGCTTCCCTTGAACGATGATGTTTACAACTGCAAAAAAAAGGAAATATAAGGATTCCTGCTAGCCAAGGGATTGGCCCAGCCCCGCAAAAAAAGAAAGAGGTCACATATCTTGGTTGCTGCAACGACCCCCCTGCAAAAAGCCTAACTTTTTCTGGGTTTAGCGGAAAACCCAACTTGATGTCCCAAAAAGTTAAAGTCTAAAGATCCAACCCAATAGCAGTCAAGACATGCTCGGCCCCTCGCCTTCTGGCACGTCAACTTTTCTTAGTTTGCCTGTGTTCCTTCCTGGAGATTCCAATGCCGAGGAATTCCTAGGCGTTCTGGTTCTCAAGGCGTTGTAGGCGTTTTAGGTGTTTTGCGGTTTTATGCGCTTTTTTGCGGGTGTTTGCCCCTTTTTTGCGGGTGTTTTGCGGCAATTTGCGGGCGTTTCCTGTTTCTAGGCATTTGCGGTAATTTGCGGGCGTTTGCGTCCAAAACAGGGTCAATGCCGAGAATGACTAGGAACTCCTTGACGTTTGAATCTCCAGGTTCAATGTATTTGTGTTTTTCGTGACCCAGCAACTTGACACGGCGCTTCCAAAACGGGGCTTGCCCAACTAACAGTGTAACTATCAGAAGTGAAACCCTTGTATTCCCACTGCAAGAGTTCGACCAGCCGTATGAATGCCTGAAGCACCAAATGGCACCCAACGTGCCTGCTGTTTACTAGGTCCCTCCAGTGGAGAGTTTAGAATAAGGGTACCCTTTGTTCTGTAGTCTATTTTAGTAGTGGAACCCTCCCCCAAGAAAGTTGGCAAAAGGGCACTAGGGGACCTAGTTTAGGTACGAGAAGAAACCGCTCGAACCACCGATTTCGGGCCGACCAGCCAAAGAAGGTTGGCTAAGGGCAGACATTTAGGTAGCGAAGGTTGCAGGTACTTGAAACCGACGGTGCTTCCAACAGGGGCGTACTGAAAGCCGAGCCTAGTTGTTGCATGGCTGCTCATACAAGGGCCACTGACCTGTCCCTTTCGGCACTGGACAGCTCGGCAACATGTTGGACCACTTGAGGTCCGGTACAAGTTATCCATTCAACCCCTGCGCAGCAACTAAAGTTGCCACATATAGGTGGCTTCTGTTTCAAAATGACTCATTACCTTTCTTTCCAGATCCCTCTGAACATAGCTTGCCTTTCCGGTCATGAATGAAATGACTTGCTTGGGTCCCTTCGCAACCCCCTCTCCACACACCCCTCAACGAGCTCCGCTTGTACCAAGAAGTAATATGCGTGGTTCCGCTCCGAGTATGTTGTGAATCGCAAGATGCAAAGTCAATCCAAAGAGACTTCAAATTGAATAGGGTTGCATACATATATGTATATATAATATGTTTTCTATGTCTCTCTCTCTCTCTCTATACATAGATAATCGACTGAACACTAAACAGTATCCAGGGAAGATCACAGTAATTTGATCAAACAATTGATGTTTAAAACCACCAAAGAAGAGACTATAGCTTCCATTTGCTTATACCTCCTGGCAAAAAGCAATAGTGATACATTTCCCTCAAACCCATGAGGGATGAGGGGGGGTAATATGTTTAAGCAAATGGACAATACGGTGGCTGCCCCTGCATATTGCAAGCAAACCAAGCATACTCGGACACGAAACCATTGTAGATTACGGAGCTTTAGATGGCTTCCTCGCTCCCGGAAACTTGCAATGCTTCGGGAATCCCCGAAATATGGCCATGGGTCAAAATCCAAATCGTACCCCCAGTGAACATCCCAATCCCCACTAGACTAAAACGTACCCATCCCAATCCAACCACTAGACTAAAATGGGTGGTAAATTCACCTCTTCGGCATCCGCTGGTCCGCCGGTCCGCGGGTCGTTCAACGGGTCTCCTTTCCCAGGGCCTTTCGCCGCCGTGGCACGTACTGCGGGCAGCTCAGACTGCTCCAGGTGTCTTCCCGCCAGCATTCCTCAGCTATCTTGCCATAGAGTCATGAGCCGAAAAAAAAAAAACACAAAAAAAAAAACATGGGCCAGGTCACAACCCGAATCTTTCTTTTGGGCAATGAGCATTTTTTTTCTCAGGGTCAGATTCGGAGACTCCAGGTACTAGGTCAGTCCATCTACCCGAAGACATGGGTCCTTCGAGTCTGAAAAATTCTTCTTTGAGAGCCTGCGGGCTGTTTGTCAGTTGCCCAGTGACTCGATTTCAACCTCGTGAAATCAGGCGACTCACTTTCTTCCTGCGTGGATTGGCCAAAAGTCCAAGCTTTTGATTTACCGCTAAAACGGTCTCCCCAAGAAAGTCAGTGAACTCAGGGAGCACCCCACAGCCCCCCTCCTAATTAGTGGTTTGGACTAGTTCGGAGGTCTTCAATGGCCTTGTTTCCCAGTCCAAATCCCAAGATACCTCAGGGCTACCAAGGTTGGAGGACGCATTCTCTTGGCTGGAAATAGGGCCCCAGCGAACAACTCGATTTGTTGCCTGGTTGGTGAACAACCAAGGGGATCCCAAAACAGCAAAAACAAATATTTAAAACAAAGAGAGCTAATTCTGGGCAAGTTCTTAAAGCACACCTGGGGCCAAATCAGGAAGTCTGGCCCAGTTGGAACCCCTGAAACTAAAACACACACTTCTCTGCCGTTCAGGAGGTAAGCTAACAGGGGTCACTGGATGTCCACTTCAAAAGCGTAAACTGCTGGTGTCCATTGATACCGTGGCTGTTGGGGGGAAATGGCTCAGAAACGCTGGCTCAGTCTGGGCTGGGACCCAGTCTTTTCCACTCTCGCTCTTTTCAAAACACAAGTTGGTTCCCCTCGTTTTTCGTTTCCTGAAAAGAAGGATCCCTGGAAAGCATGGGGAAGCCTTTCTTTAAAGAGGGGAACTATGGAGACTGTGGGACGATCCCCGCCCATGCGGCCACAGGCGCGTTCCCTCGGGATTCTTCTCTTCGCATGACTTTGGCTTCCTCCCCGAGAAAGGTGGGAGGGAGCTCCCAAACACCCCGCTCCCCTCTTGGGGATAGTCATGGAGGGAACCCCCCCACCCCCCGCCCAAGCATAGAAGAGGGGCGCCTCCAATCAATCACCCCCCTAGAAGACCAAACAAACCAACACCTGGCATTGCCGTGTTGGGATGAATGCCGGCTTCTGTTTCCGGGAAAACCGGCCCCACTCTGCAACACCAAAGCGGTTGATTCCCATCCGGCCGTGGCTCTCTAACTCACTGAAAAAGTGATGTCTCAAACATATCGCAGAAATAGGCGATCTAAAGCAAGTTTGTCTATCCACAAACATGTTGCCAAACAAGCTGAACATCCACTCAGTTGCCCAAAGGTCCTGGAATTGCCAGGTTCACCGTTTAGGGCCATGAATCAAAATGGTTGAACCAAGAAGGGGACACCCAAAGGCTGGAATCCGGTCGATTCGCGGGCTCTGGTAAGTCGAAGGTTACCCCTGTGACACTTGGTCAGGAAATCTGAACAGACATGTGTGTGTGTGTGTACAAAAAGAGGAAGTCCCAAACTGGATATGTTGGTTGTCCTTTGGGTATTCCCCAAAAACCTCCCCCAAAAAGGGTAACCTTGAAAAATAGATGCATGCGTGTCTACCTAAAGTTTCTATGGTTATCTAGAAGGGGGTGATGAATCATCAAATGTGTTTTTTTTGGTAGACGGCCCCCTTGTTTTACGGGTCATGAAAAATGGAGACGCTAGGTACCCTTGTTTGGTATCTGAGAATGGGAGCAACCTTGAGAACACTGCAAAGAAGGGGCAACTTCGGGGGAAAAAACAATTCCCGGGGAATCGCTTCTCGAGTGGCTTAGACTTGTTGTTCACCATTGACATGGTCTTCCCAAAAAAGTACAAAGTTTCTAGAAACATGGGAAGTGAAAAAATAAGGTGTTCGAACAGGGACTGTTGAGAAACAAACCACAAATCTGTCTCTGCGGAACCCAAGAAAGGCCTCCCTATAACCCAAAGTCAGTTGCTGGAACCACGTACTCCACTCAGCGATTGCGTTCATTGGCGAGAAGCTTTCTTGTTCATTAACCTGGTCCAAATTTGCAACAAAAATAGCCGGACTGGTTGTGGTCCGGTGGTACCCGGCAAACCCAGAAATACACGGTTGCTTTCTGCTCCCCTGCTAAAAGTGTCTAACTTTTAGTGGTTTAATGGAAAACCCATTAGTTGGCAAAAAGTTAAAGTCCTGAGTCCTAACATCCAAGCAAGAGACACCAAAGAATATATGAAGTGCAGGACAGGGAGTAAGTACAACTCGGCCAATGTGCGCCGCGCCTTGCTGCTTCCATCCGCCAGGATTTCCGTATGCCGAGTCACAGCCTGGCGGAAAAAAAACAAAACAAAACCAAAAAAAAAAACGACACTCCGCCTGCACGTCAGGATCGTTCTTAGCTCGCGGCTCCCTTAAAAACCTCAGTTGCCCACTTTGGACCCAGAAATATAAGGTGCCAGCATATTTTTAGTGCCCTTCAATGAAGGGCACTTGACGTGTTTTTGAATCGAGGGCACTGAAGGCCGTGCCGCTGCCCTAAGCGACCCTTTGATTCGTTTGCTAAGTGCCCTGTTTGGCTTGATAGGGGTTGGGATCCTGTTGATTTCGAACAGCTACCCGTGTCGAAGTTTGACAACGGCCACAGTTGGGGCCGACCCGGAATTGCCCGAACATTGCGTTTTGAGTGTCGATCGAGGTCACTTACCGCTTGAAAAGGTCACTTACGCTAGTGTCGGTCGCCCTGCGCCAGTGTCATTCGCATGTCGCTGCGGCTCGATTTGCGAGCTCCGGTCCCCCCCCGTGTGAGTGTCATTCGCATTCACGTTTTGCCGTTTTATTTTGCCCGGACTGGGGAGGGATCTGCTGGATCTGCTCGGGAGGGCGACCCTGAGGGACTAAGTGCCCTTCAAATGGCTTCAGTGACCTCTTTGATTTAGGACGAAGTGACCTTGTTTTAAAAATGGTTCAAACCATGAATCGAGGGCACTGAAAAGCTGGTGATCACCTTGTGGAACCATGACTTTATTGTGGGAACCCAAAATGGGAAGAAAAAAAACAACAAGTTAGATCACAAGGTCGATTCGCTTTGATTTGAGAAACCAAAGTTTAACAGGCCTCCTCAAGTTTCATGTGTGGATGCTTCCGGGAAACAATCTAATGAAAAACCAGTCGTGCAATCGTTTCCCTTGAAAACCCGAGGAAATTTGGCACATCACATGGAAGTCAAGTGTACCGAGGCATCCTGGAACAGGATCTCGCGATCTCGCAACTCAAGCGAGCAAGCGAGAGCTCTGCGCCCGCCTCGATGGCATCAGTGTGCGCGATAATGAGGACCTGGACGCTTGGGAAAGGGAACCGAGCAAAGTCGAAGATCGGACATTTTGCTTTGACAGGTCTTGTGAAACATGATTCTGCAGCCTGACGAAAAAAGCCCCTGGTAGAACCAGCGTGAGCAGGAAGAACGAAAAGATGGGTCAAACCTGAGATCTTCAACACTGCAAACACGTGATCCTAAATGCGAGACCTGAGCTTTTCAGAAAGGATGACACACCATATGGACAAGTACCCAAGTTCTAGCCACTGAAAAAGCAAACACTCCTCACGGTCCCCGTCCGCCGAAACTGTTGGGCCTTAGGCCTTCATTGCTTGTGTGGTGATGAGACCTAGGCGAGTACTCGACTACTGAGTTGTCGGGCACGCTGGATCAGTTCCCCTGCAGCTTGGCCAATGTGGGGGGTACCCAGAAAGTATCTCGGATGCTTTCTGCTCCCCTGCTAAAACTGGCTAACTTTTAGTGGTTTCATGGAAAACCCATTAGTTGGCAAAAAGTTAAAGTCTTAACACCCAAGCAACATGCGCCAAAGATACATTTATGATGTTCAGATTATTAATCGTCATATTTAGTCGACCCTGAAACACAAAGCAAAAATTGGAGGAGATCCCTGGGAACCGTTCCCAGTTTCGCGCATGTTCCCGAAGGAAAAAGGCACCGCCCAACGGCAACATCCCAACGGCAACCGGGGCCTCTGGACCGAAAGGCTGGGCGCTTCTCGAAAAAAAATCCGAATGCTCGGCTGTACCTACCTAGAGTCTCCATGACCCTTAAAAAAAGGGGTCATTGCCTAAAACTAAGGGGTCAAATGGGCCCATTTTCTAGGGGTCATGGAGACTCTAGGTAGACTCTCCTTCTGACCCTTAAGAAATGGTTGGTTGCCTAAACTGGGTCAAATGGGCCCATTTTCTCTGGGGCAGAAGGAGACTCTAGGTAGGCGGGTGTCCATTTGGCTTCCCTTTGAAACGACCCCGAGTTGTACTTGGAAACAGGGAACGCATTTTTGTATTTTGTCCCAAGAAAGGGTCCAAGGTCGAACAGCATCCATTGTCTGACTCTCACATTCGTGGGCGTTTTGGTCGACTTGTAGCAGAAATGGAATACTGCTTTGCAGGACCCTCTCCTTGAGGACCCCCCCCCCTTAATTAGTGTACATTGCGCATTGTGGCGTTCTAGTATGGCACTATTATGACTATTGTTGGCCTCTAGACATGAACTTCGCGGCTGCCCTCACAAGTGGGGGGAGCTGCTAGGAAACTTCGGCTAAGGATGCTAAGAAAACCGCCAAAATGAGTGCTCGGTCATGCGTGGCGCTGGTCCCGCGTATCAACCCAGAAACTGGTAGCTTCAGTTTCTGACACCGGCAATATTTAGTAATGTAGCAACAGCAAATATAACTAGCCCCACCGAATGCCTCCCCAACATACACAGTTCACGCCATGGGTAATTGGACAGGGGGGTGGGGGTGGGAAGATGTGTTCTTACTCCACTTCAGATGAGTCATCAGAATAGAAACCTGGTAGTAAAGTGATCTAGCCAACACCATGCATTCCCATTCTGCCTGGGACTGCCCCTTGCCCCTTCATCTGCCCGGGATTTCATTGTGACCCCGGCATCGATGAGGACGGTGAGGCTTCGTCCGAGCATCCTGCCACGCGGCAATAACTTCGACAGCACATGGACAAAGCCAACCTGTGTTTGTTTGTGCGCGTGTCTTTGGTGAGGGGTCCTTTGGAGTAGTTTTCAATGGATGTCTTTGTTGGGGGGCCCTTTGGAGTAGTTTTCAATGGATGTCTTTGTTGGGGGCTCCTTTGGAGTAGTGTTCAATGGAAACTACAGGGAAACCATGTATTGGGACAACATGGTAGCGATGTCGACATCCAGGTTGGACCGACCATCTGTTTCACAACTGTTCTATCTAACCAAAATTGAGCCTAACATCTTACCCGTCGCAGTATCCTTCCAAGAAAACAACCATCTGAAGGGTTGCTGTTAAGGGAAGCATTCGGGGTAAAATATCCCCCCCCCCCTCGGGGAGGGTTCTTTGAAACTTCTTAGAAGAATTCTGAGAACCTTTCTGGAGCTCCCTAATCACTCCTGAAGCATAAACATGACTCGCATAACAAAGGATCCCATGCATCCAGCACGACGCATTTGGGGCAAGGATTGGAGCCACAAACAAAACACGCTTGTTAGACTATGGTATTCATTTCGTAAGCCTAATTAGCATCTCTAGTCATATCAAGCGAGAACCCAGTGCTGCTTCTACCAGTGCATATAACTATTTTGTCATAGCTCTTATTATAACCGCAGAAAACCAAGCAACACCAATTGAGGAACCTGCCAGAAAAAGCTACTTGCTATTGAATGGAAAAGCTGTCTCGAAACGATTGCTACAGAGCTCTCTCTCCATGCATTCTCTCCTTGCTCTGCACTTTGTTGAAGCGAAACTTGACACGCTCAATTGCCATGAAAAAAAGGAGAGCAGTCCTGGTGGGCCTCCAACCTGTCCCAACTCCAGTTCAACGTTTGTTTGATGGAAGCTGAGTGGGCAGTAAACAAGATCCAACGGCACATCCACGGTTCGCGGACGTGACACATCAGCTCTGAATTTAGATCGAGATGCAACTCATGAAGTTGCAGACTGCGCTGTTCTACAAACCAATCACGGAACCCAACAAGAGGATCCTCCCTACAAACCAATCACGGAACCCAACAAGAGGCTTCCAACACTGGAAAACCCACGCAACTGCAATCACATCACAAAGGCTTGGTGCAAGAAGGGGGGGTGTCAACAACCCAACCCAACTACTCGCGCGGATGGCTGAAAAAAGCTCAAGCTGCTAAACGAATGTGGGTTCCGGATCAAACGAAGACGACATATTCAGCTTGTCTCCAGGGAACCCCTAAAATGAGCACTTGTGGTGATTTGACCAATCCCTGCTCGCGTGCTCACCAAGAGCCAGCCATTTCAGGGGTTCAATCAACTTGCTGGCTCGTAGATGGACATCACGTTGGGAATGAACCGAGGGATGCCCTCAAAGGCTCACTGCCTGAGTGGATTGGCCCCAAAAAAAAAGGTAAAAGGTAACTCCACACGGGTTGTTTTCCAATAAAATGGTCCAAACCCAAAAAGTTTAAAGTCCAGCAACTCAGGGAATGAGAAGGAGACCAGTTGGACGGTTCAATGGTTGCTTCCCTCGGAGCACCAGCACGAGTTGGGTTTTTGACACGAAGCCGGTCTCTCAGCTCGGGCCCCCGGCGTGATATGAAGGGCTCACCTGACACGTCTGTCCCGAGGCTCAGGGGGCGAAGCTCGGGTCAAAAACCGGTACCTAGAGTCTCCATGACCCTTTAAAAATGGGGTCATTACCCAAAATAATGGGGTCATGGACCCATTCTTAAAGGGTCATGGAGACTCCAGGTACCTAGATGGGTTTCCCTGGTAGATGATTCAACCACCAGGCGCACCAGGAATCGAAACCCATCTATTCTTCGACCAAAACAACCAACTAGGACACCTATGGATGGGCCTAGAGTCTCCTTCTGCCCCCTAGAAAATGGGCCCATGTGACCCATTCATTTTAGGCAACCTACCATCTTTTAAGGGTCAGAAGGAGAGTCTAGGTACCCAAAATGGAAGCCTACAGTGCTTTTCACATGGAACCCGACTTTTTTTCTGGGGGGGGGTCCTGGCTTGGACCATGTTCCTTTTCAAGGGACTTCCCACGCCCCGGCCCGTTCCACGTGCAAAGGACGAAAACCCTTTCGGCCCAAACCTGCGGGCCCAGGTTTGATCTTGATGCCGCTCGAGCAAGCCGAAGCCGAAGCAAAAGCAGAGAACGCTGCCAGGTTTGAAGGATTCCACAAGGGCCTGAGCTGTGTCTTCAAATTCGGAAAGGAGAGACAGAGATTTTAATGGAGAAAAGCAGATGATATTTGTGTGATTCCTCTCTTCGCTCGGATGTTTTTTCTGAAATTGTAAGAAGATGTAAGAATATGCTGCTTGGGAATGTTGAATAGGAAATGGACACTCACACAACTGGCTGGCTTCTTGTTAGCTTCCCCCTGAATCACAATTCAATAGGGGCCTAAAGTTTGGGAGCTTACTGCCAGTACGCTTTTGGTGACCAAAAATTGGGGGCAAAGCGAGCTCTGAGCTCTTGCAACCCTTTTGCGGAATGTCTTGATACGGCGACTGTTGGTTTGGTGTCTCAGTGTTGAGCCTTGAACAATCATTCGTGAAAACTCGAATCAATGAACAAATACACATGCGGGGGCAGTGAACCCCAATGGTTGTCAGTCCCAATACTGGAGTCATGTGGGGGGCCAAAGAGACAGCAGGCCGCACTCTAATATGAATCAGCCGCTTGTGGTGGGAGGGGGGTGGTGGCAATTGTAGGATGAATCCAGGCGGTCAATAGTGTGTCACTTGACTAAAAAGGACCTAAAAACAACAAAGACCTTCTGCAACAGTAGGACCAAGAAGGGCAAACCAAATGGTGAGGTGCTCCAACAGATGACATGAACGTCCGACAGCCCTCCGGCTTGAGGGTAACCATGTCCTAACTGAACTCCTGCGTTCGCTCTCCCCAGCTCCTTGGCCCCCTTCCGACCAGCTATATAGTCAACCTTACTTTCTCACATGGGTGTAGCTCAAAAATCGTGGTCGACAATGGAACCCTGGTAAATGGAAAAGCAGACTGAAACCTGCGTAACTGCAGCTGGTTGCTTTGGAGCCACACCCACATATTGGGGTTGCTTTCTGTTCCACTGCTAAAAGTGACTAACTTTTAGTGTTTTAATGGAAAACCAATTTGTTAGCAAAAGGTTAAAGTCCCAACATCCAAGCAACATGCACCAAAGAAAAAAAAGACAAGCGAACCCTGACGGTCCAAGTACCTCAGGCATTTGATCAGCGCCTGTTTTTGGATTTAATCCGACTTCGTTGCAATGCCAATCCTGAAAAAACCCACAAAGCAACGTGACACAACAGGGATCCTTACAGTACACACCTGAACATTGCCTTGTAAATGGTGCTTTCCCTTTACTCTGGTGGAAAAAGCCATGTTTCACATGGGCAACATGCATCTTTTTAAGGAGCCCTGTTCAATCCCCTCCCTTCCCCCCCCAAAAAGAAGAAGAAGAAGAAGAAGAAGAAGAAGAGGAAAACACATCCCCTCCCTTCCCCCCCCCAAAAAAAAAGAAGAGGAAAGCACTCACCCCGACGGTCGCATCCATTCGCAGCCCGCCTGTGCGACCGTGTTCGCCAGGCTGAGAATTTGGAAGAACACAAGTCTACCGTCCCGTTTGGGCTGATGCCAGCGGACAGACGACAGCTCACTAGTCAGTGCTTAGCAAGTGGATAGTAACCTTTAAAACCCACTTAGGAGACTTAATTAATTATAACTCTTGGCTGGAATTAGGACCCTAGACAAACTCTATTTGTTGTCGGGTTCGTGGAAAACAAAGGGGACCCCCAAAAAGCACAAAATCAGAAAGGGGAGCTAATTCCAGGGAAGAACCATGGTAAGTGGGTATTTCCCACTTCTCTGACGTTCTCGATCGCCCACTTATCTGTATGTAACACAAAGTAGCTGGAGTCGAGACCTCCAGGTTCCCTTTCTGACCTTTTCGCGGGTCCCATGACATGGCATTTTGATCGAATGACTAAAAACCGCTGCAAGGTATGGATACGTCTTTAAGGAGTAACCGCTGCTTTTGAACATCCAAAATAAATTGGTGGCTTGCCTTTGTGTGGGTTCACCTTTTGAACGGGACTTAAACGCCCAACACTCAGTGGCCATAAAAAGAGGGTCATTTCTTTTCGTGGTAGTTGACAGTAAAGGGAAACCCCTCCGAGCATAAAGATGAAGAAAGGTCAGCACTCGTCTGGGAAAGAGTTCTCAAGGTAAAGAGTTCCGGGCGCGATCCAAGGCAGCTTTCTCAAGGTCTAAGGCCCACGAAGGTTAACTTTGGATTCATCCGGGTCCTACTAGTCCGAGCTCACCTATATTGAACATATAATGTTGACCCGTATCAAATTAATCAACCCAGTTTGTTAATAGGGGGTGTCCCTGGGTTTAGTGGGGATTCATCACTTTGGGAGTGGGGTTGATCAATATGGGGTCAACATTACTAACAGGAAGGAGAACTGCCCCTGAGCGCAGTAATCTGAAAATAACATCAATCCAGAAAAGGGACGTAGCGTGGACCCTTGAAGTTGCGCCTGAAGCGAAAACCGAACGGAAACCGAAGCGTTCGGGTGGCCCTCGTTTGAAGACAGACCCATCCGAGAGGATCCCTGCATTGGATTCGGGTACTTTGGCCCCTACCCCCCCCCCCCCCACACACTCAATTAGGCTGCGCTTGGATCAGGCCTCCCTTTACATTTGCCCTTTAAACATCACGCCGACGTTTCGGAAACTCAGTTCAATTTAGCCCCTAGTTGATGATGTTTAAGGGAAACAAACACCTGCCAGGGATATCAAAGGGACAAGTCAAGAAGACACCTACCTAGACTCTCCATGACCCTTCAAAAATGGGGTCATGACCCCTTTCTTTGGGGTAATGCTCCCATTTTTAAAGGGTCATGGAGAGTCTAGGTACTAGGATACTTGTTTCCCTTAACTAACACCACCCTTTGAGGGAAAAAAAATCAAGGGCCTTCTAAGGAAATCAAGGGAACACTGTGGATCCGCATCACAGGATCGGATCCCCGGTCTCTCTGCACATGTTTTGTTCTCCCGCTCAGCCGAACAGCCGCCGCAGCGCGTCGGCCTGCCTAGGACGGTCGCTGGGGGTGGTTCTAGTGCTTGTGTCTTGCAGTGAGGTGGGCGTTTTTGGGATGGTCCAAACAAGAACTAAGAAGGAAAGCAGAAACTTTTGGGGGTCGAATTGAAGACAACCTAACCACCGGGGTGTTTGGGTGATTGTTGGAGTTAAGAAATATAACCCTCTGGTTCCAGTTGTAGACAGCGACCGTACCAAGTCTCGTACTTCCTGGGATGCTTGGCTTCGGATTGGCAAAGCCCAAGGGATTTTTTGGCTCAGGGCAAGGGAAAGAATGGGGAGTTCACTGGCCTTTCCCTGTACAGAAGATAACCAAAAGAACCACCGTCAAAATCTTTAAAAGCCAAAAGGACAATTGATCTATGGGTTGCCAATAGGCGAAACGCCTCTATCCGGGCTATAGAAGTTTGAAGTAACAAGGGCCTCATGGGCTTCCTCTCCGCTGGCACAAACAAGCAGCCCCCCTAAGCTCTTGAAAAGGGGAGGCTGTTGGCAGAGGCAAACCCTCCGTCCGGTTTAATGGACCCCGACCCAAAGACCCCAAGGGTTTGGGGCTCTGACAAACGCAGGCACGCACAAAGCTGAGCCTACTCTGGGTCCACACCTGGGGCACAGAGAAAAAACATGCTCTAACTCATCCTCTTCGCACCAGTTGAATGGGTATTCACAGGGGTGTGTCCCAAACTTCTCAAACTAGGGACACCTCCATGGGTACCAGATCTCTTTTTGGATCTCTTGTTAAGCAACCCACACACAAAAAACCAAAAACAACTTGGCAAGCTGCAAAGACCAAAACGCAGCTTGCCTCCAATTGGTGGTTTGGATGGGTGATGGGTTCAGGAAACGTCTTCCTTGTTACCCTCGACAAAAGCCCGGGACAACCAGCACTCCCAACCACCAACCTGGGCTACCGATCGAACAGGGATCCGGATGCATACACCGATCGAACATTGCAACTTGGAAATGGTGGGTTTCCAACTTTATTTTGGTGTTGAAAAAGCAACATGCTTCAAATGGTTGCAACAAATTTGGTGTTGAAAAAGCAACATGTAACTCAAATGGTGGCAACATGGAAATCTTTTAAGGAGCCCTGCTGAAACGGTGGCACGCAACCGGAAAAGAAAGGCCCAGGGGACTCCGACAGTTGGGATGCGAAATCCAGACATCGCACCACATCTTTCAGAGTCCTTTTCCCCAACGTCACCCACAAACCATGGATTCAACCATGGCTTCACAGTGGCCCGAACTAGATTTCGCAACCATGCTTTTTAGAGCCGGGGACAATGAACAATATTCTTAAGCAAATGGAAGCAGGTGAGAGGGGCCCCAAGCAACCTTCATTTTGGTAAAGGCCCTTGGAAAAAATAGAAATACTTCCAGTTGTGATAGATTCCCTTTGAAACCAGCAGGGTTGAAAAATATTATTATTTTCAGCAAATGGAAGCTCACTCGCGAGGTCTCAAGAGACAGCCATAGGACTCCATGGAAGCAAGCACATATTTCCTGTAGTGATAGATTCCCTTTAAAACCAACAAGGGATTTTTAAATTAAAACACATATATTCGTAACCAAATAGAAGGTGAGAGGGGCCCCAAGCAAAAAAACGAAAATAATAAAACAAAATACAATATGTTCAGCAAATAGAAGCAACAATTCAACAAAAGAACATCGTAAGCAAATAGGGTTCAAGTGAGAGCCCCAAGCACAAAGACGGGTCCTTCGGCCTCGTTTCCCCCCGAGGCTTCGGCGGCCGCAGGGTGTCGAGGCCGGAGGCATGGGCCGCCAGCAGGCCGCTGGCGGCCACCGCGGGGACGCCGATGCCCGGGAAGCAGCTGTCGCCGCAGAGCAGCAAACCTGCGCCAGACAACGGGGGAGTTTTGGGGTGCCTGCACCCTGAACACCTGGCAGAAAACGGGAGTTTGGGGCACCTGGACCCGTGAAAAACTGGGATTTGTCCTCACACTTTAGGGGAAAGATCTGCAAAAACTTGGATTTTTGGTACTTGGTCCCTTGAAAAATGGGTTTTGTTGTAGAATTTTAGGGGAAGTATCCCATTTTTAAAGGTAGACGTAGAGTTTGTCCCAAAACTCTAGGGGGAAGATTTGCAAAACAACTTCTGGCGGAGGGAGAAAACCGGTCCTTGGACCCCGGCATCCCGGCGCAGGACATGATCCAGGTGAAACGGTACATGTACCGGTATCCACGCGAAAAACGCATGGTTCTGACGGGGCCTAACTGCGCCGGTACGATCAGCCCGGGAAAGGCGCGTCTGGGGATCATGCCCGGCCATATCTACCTGCCCGGACATGTCGGCATCATCGGACGGTCCGGAACGCTCGGATATGAGGCAGCAGCCCAGTTGAAAGACAATGGCATAGGTGTGTCGACAAGCGTCGGTAGTGGTGGAGATCCGATCAACGGATCGTCATTCAAGGACATCCTGGCCCGTTTCGAACAGGACGACGACACGCATGTGATTGCCATGATCGGGGAAATCGGCGGGCCGCAGGAATCGGAAGCTGCCGAATACATACGGGACAACATCTCCAAGCCCGTCGTGGCATATGTCGCGGGCCTGACCGCGCCCAAGGGCCGGACAATGGGGCACGCCGGTGCAATTATTTCCGCTTTCGGCGAGAGCGCTTCCGAAAAGGTCGAAATCCTTTCATCGGTCGGCGTCACGGTTGCCGAGAACCCGGCTGTCATCGGCGATACCATTGCGCGCGTTTACAAGGAAGCGGCATGATGACCAGACCCACTGTTCTTGTGACAAGACGCTGGCCGGCAGCCGTCGAAGCTGTCCTGAGCGAGCGTTACGACACGGTCCTCAACACTTGCGACGTTCCCTTGTCTCCTGCCGAGATCCGCAGGGCACTCAAAACCTTCGACGCGGTGCTGCCCACAGTTACCGACAGGTTGGATGCCGAAGCACTGGATGTGCCGGACGCCAGAACGAGGATTCTGGCAAATTTCGGCTACGGCTATGCCCACATATGTGAACCGGCGGCGCGGCAGCGTGGACTGACGGTAACGAACACGCCGGACAACCCGTCGGAATGCACCGCGGATTTTGCCATGATGCTGCTGCTCATGGCCGGGCGGCGAGCGTGCGAAGGCGAGAGGAACCTTCGTGCCGGTAACTGGTCGCGATGGTGCCCGGACCACCTGATCGGCACCAGGGTCAGCGGCAAGACGCTCGGTATCATAGGATTTGGGAATGCCGGGCAGGAACTGGCCCGCCGCGCCTACCACGGTTTCGGCATGAGGATCGTGGTTCAGGATGAAGAAAGGGTCGATCCCGCTATCCTGGAACAAGTCGACGCGACACAGGCAAAAGATGTCGATGACTTGCTGCCACTTTGCGATTTCGTTTCGCTCCACTGCGCGGAAGTCCGCTCGAACGAACCTCTCATCGGTGCCCGCAGACTGAACCTGATGAAAGCGGACGCGTTCCTGATCAACACGGCCCGTGGCGACCTTGTCGATGAAGCGGCACTTGTCCATGCCCTCATTTTCGAAACGATC